ACCATGCCAAGATATATTTTGTTATATTTTTATATTGGTTTTATTATTTAATTGGTTGGGCCTTGCCCCTTATGGATGAGCCTCCACTAGTTGTAACACGTATTCCTTTCCGAATATAAAACATTAGTGAATATATAATGTAAATTGGTTCTGCTCTGATGTGAAGGAATATGTTCAACAATGTTTAGCCATAATTGAAGGGACTCTATCGGCACCCAGCTTAAAACTTTGTTTTCGGGTTTACATTGCAGGATTCCCCTGTGTATATTGTCTGTCATACTGACAACCACTCGAGGTGCTTCCGCTCAAATAGGGCAGTGAAGCTCCACTATTTCTATCAGAGATACCATCTGATTGGCACAGTGTTTTGAAGCGCATGTGCATTAGCCTCCCGATGCATTACTATGTGAAAGTATTTCATTGGCTGAGATCATTGATCTCAAGGATCTCAGCCAAAGAGGCGGAGTTTGTCAGACACGCCAGAGACCAGTGCTGCGAGGGCGTAAAATCACCATGTTAACCCACGTAGCAGGGGGAGGCGGACCAGTCACCTAAGCGATGACTATGGCACTATCGCGTTAGATTAGAAATACACATTTATATTCCTTTAGATTAGATGCTGTCTCAGTGATTGGCCTATCAATATTAGTAAATATGTCTAGATTTGCAAATTACCTGTGCTGTGTTTGCCAGGAAAGGGTTAACCTTTCTGCTTCCGAGTGACATCCAGCAGCCATTTTATCCATCACTGTACGATCATTCCTTATTTCCTGCGGCCCATAGTATTCATACAAGAGAAACCTGGTCTAATGAATTTCAGGCATTCAGAAACCTGCTGGTCCTTAATTACATGTCATAATTAGCACATGCCTGAGGAAATGTCTGTCCTTGGTGTAACGCTACTGCTTGCTGGCATAATTTTCCCTTTGGAAAAGTTCACTTAGAGTCCAGACGCAGCTGCATTACCTGGCTCAGTAAGATTCGTTCCATGGTGCATTCCTATCAAAACACTAATGACATATATGTTTGTAATTGAATGTCTTGTGCAGCTGGTCTGAATGGCCTTGGCAGTATTCTCAGAACAGACACTCCACACCCCTAACGCACTTTAGCTTTATGTATGAAGAATGTGTCCTCTTTTTTTAATTTCACAAAGAGTGCAGATTTCAATCGAAATTGACACTTTTATAAATGAACCTTGTTATGCCCCCTGGCTGTCAGACAATCGGTCCTGTTACTTCCTGGTTGGTTAGGTCACTGGGGATAAACTCAAGAGGCAGCAATTGCTCAGAGCACCTGCCTTGCAAAGTCTTTTCATTGAGTTGCATTGGGAAGTCTGTGATTGGACAGTCACAGAAATCTGGGCGGGGTTAGAAGGGGAGGCTGCAGACAAGAGATCTGAAGCTTTTTCAAGCGTTTTTTAGAATACCCCAATAAAAAAAAAATGTGTGATTAAATGCACGCATGCTTTCATTGGGGGTATATCTTCTAAACAATGATGTTTAGGTTTTCATATTTGGGCAGGTGAGTGTCCCTTTAATGAGTAATGCTTGTTATTGGTTACTGGAGTGTCTAGTGTCACTGGTTTCTTTATGTTGCTGATGCACTTGCTTTGGGTCATTTAACTGTATTTGTACCTTCACCTACAGGGACGTGGGGCATGTTGCTATGGTATATTTTTGTTGGCTCAGTATATAATCTTTTCTCCCAACAAAATGGTTTTCTCTAGGAAAAATGGACGATCCCTAGCTGTTGTACTCAAACTCCCATGATGGCTTGCCTCACTTAAAGTAACATTAAAGCATTAGGAATACAAACCTGTATTGCTAGTGCTACAGTACTTCTGTCCCTTATTATGTTCTAGCCGCCTTGTGGTAGCTCATACTATGTGTGGAGTTGTGGGCACCCTTAGGGAACCTCGATGCAAGTGGGAATTTGACTGTGGTGTGGCAGACTGATGCACCCTGCATTCGAGCTGCAGCCAGAAGTCAAGAAAAGCTTGTCCAGCTGGGTGAGTATATTCCTGGTATCAGCGCTGGGAGTTGGGAGCCATGCGGCCTCTGCCATATTAGGAGAGCATTACTGTACAGTGTGGCACACAGGCCTCGAGTGTGCTTCGTGTCTGGGCGCTAGTAACACGTTTTGCAACAGTGGGGGATACCACCACCGGTCCAGCGGGAAACGGGACTTGAAGCCTATCCAGCCAGTGCATTTACACTGATGAGGTCAGCCGCAACTCCCGGTCAGAACTACATCAGACCGCAATATCAGTGGCGTGGAGCCTTACAGCCACCGACAGCAAGAGAGCTCCAGAAAGGTTCCCTTCCATTCCCAGCCACCAGAAGAATCAAGTCCACCGAGCATCAAGATTAAAGGCTAAAAAGTAAGATGTGTAAAGGAGCTCCCATTCATGCGTCTTATTAGTATGGCGGTCAAGCCCTGCCTTCCCTATCTTGAAGAGTTAAACAATGCAGGACACCTGCCAATAGATTACTGCATTGATATAAAGTGGTCTAGGTGACTTTAGTGATCCTTTAAGGATGACAAATCATCACAAGAATTGTCGAACAGCTATGGATCATTTTGTTGTACACCCCAATATTAAGATCAGTTTAGCAGTGCCTGTGGTAATCACACTTGTCGAATTTGATGCTAAACTACTCATATGAAAAATTTGCAGAAGCCTACATTAATTCACGGTTTATGATTTCATACTGGTATCAGGTTTTTTTTTTTTTTTTTAAAGTCAGATGTAAAAGTAACCACAACAATACGGTATTAGGTTTAGATCTGTTGTAAAAATGTCCGAAGAGGAGAGCAAGTAAGCCAGTTTGATGATCACTGATGATTAATATTTGCCAACAGCTGGGGGGGGGGGAGGGAAATCTTCTCAATAAATCTTCCAGGGATTCAAGCTTTTAGCAGGCATAGAAAATAATAATCTTATTTAAAGACAAAGAGGGAGATCACAGAGTTGCCAGCACTGTTATGCCTAGTTTTCAAAGAATTCTTGCAATTTACTAAAAGGACCACTAAAGTCACCCAGTGAAGTTGTCTGTAAGTTTAACCCTATTTACATTCCTGACCACAGCTAATCATGTGACCAAATGCAGCTCATTGAATTCAATGTTCTACTTATAAGAAGCATTTTGATGCTCTTGCCGCGTTCATTGTTCATGCACATCATCTCCAATGCTTCACTACGGGGAGCATTTAAACGGATTATCGGCGAGAGAGCAAGATGACGCAGTGGGCTGCAGCACTGAGGAAGTCTGGACGCTGAAGAAAATAGAAAAAAAAAGTAAAAAGAGGCTTTTGTTTTCATTTGTTGCTGCTTTGGAGCCATAACCATAATTTTCCAGCTACTGAACAGATTTATCACATTTTCTATCACTTCCACCAACAGAAACGTGTTCGGTTTCTTTTTTTCCCCCCAATACTCTAAAATTTTCCTTGTCAGAAGACTGACAAATTTAGAGAAAGTGAATGGTATTTACCTTCAAGAAAACGGTCACTTTTAGAACTATGGCAGAATTTAAGCATCACTTTTTAGAACTCCCCAATGTGTTTTAATGGCACATGGGACAGGCATGGAAAAGTTTAAAAATGATTCCGTGTACATTTTTCCAGTGTCCATTATTTAGAACTATATTCTGCAGAAATCTCCAAAACACGTTGTTTTAGTAAAAGTGCAGACTGCATTTTGTTTTGTTACTTGGTTTTTATAGGACCAGTGTGCTGGGGGATGGCTCCAATAAAACCGGCAGAAGGGTTGTGTGCATTAACATCGTGTGTGCATGTTGTTACTCCCATAGGTTTGTATGGGAAAACACGGATTGGCTGAATTTGTTCGGCCACTTTGTGTCTGCTCTGTCATGCAGCATTATGGGAGATTTCCAATGTATTATACCAGACTACCTCCACCCTCCCCTTGGTATATCTCCCTCACCTTCCCTCAAAATGAGTTGCTCTCATTTCAGTTCCACCAACATTTAATTTGATTTCCCTTGCCAATCGGTTTACCCTCTAAACAATACTAAAATTCACCATTTAAAAACTCAGTTCATCTTTAAGCACTGGAATAGAAGAGGCTTTCTTAAAGGGAAACAATACCCAGAGTCCCATCCCCCTTAAAGCAATTGTCATATTGAGCTCTCCTAAGATCTTGTGTAAAGGACAATGGTACATCCACTCCCTGGGAGATTCTAGGCAGTATCCATGGTTACCGACCTGGATATCTTAGCTGCAACAAGAAAATATCTATTTATAAATTCTGTTGCGCAGGTGTAGCCAATCAGCAGCCCTCCTGCTGCTAGACTACACTGCCCATCATCCTGAAATGGGCAAGGCTTTATTATGGCTTTAGTTACCTTAATATCCAGCTCAAGCGAACTGTGATACTGATTGTAATGGGTAATATCAACAGATAGAACATAGATGGCGCATTAGTCATTGATCAACTGTTTCACTATGGTGTCTATTCACTAAGCTGCAACTTGGGGACAATGGAAAAGGAACTGTAAATTTTCCTAAATTAGCTAAAAATTTCCTAAAATAACTAGGCTGAAAAATTTCAAAGTTGCTAAAATGTTTCTAGATCTCAGTCTGAAGGGTCTCTTTAAAATCTTGTATGGTTGCTAGGTATCTGCATGTTGCAACAATGAAACAACCATTCTCATCCTCTCAAGCTCCCAGTCACTACCCAAATCATGCCTATTTTTTACTATGTATATTAAATATAGCAAAAACACATTCCATAGGGCTGTACGCACTTTATATCATATTACATCGTATTTTTATGTCCTCCAAAAAATATATCTTAGAACACTATATTAATGTGTGTACCCATGCCATACCCTCTCTACCCGCTCTGCGTATCTTCCATAGTAATGATTTAATGCCCTGCGGCTTGCAGACAGATATATTATTTTTTTGATATTGACTATAGCAACTTTCTGGAAACCCCTGAACACACCTTCAAAATGGACATACACACAGACAGTGATGGTTGCACATACAAAAAACACAACATAAAATACAAAACAGGGCACCTGCCTATTTTCATACTTCCACCTTTGAAATAAAGAACTATAATTAATTGTGGAACACATTTATTAACCATAACAATATCTCCAAGTATAAGGCATTCACTGGATCGAGCTACAGGCACAAGTTCACAGTTAATATTTTCTGATGAAAGGATATGTGGGGGAGACAGTGCATGATTCAACACGCAATCACAAACACAGAGAGATACATATGAAAACATTAAGCGGCCATCTTGGGACTGGCACACTTGCTCCTTCACTGCAAGCAGGGTCAAGAATAGCCATGTTGGAACTGAAACACACAGGGACCAAGCAGTTGAGCACTCCACTACCTTTTTTCTTGAGTTAATAAGGGGCTAAATCAAGGGTTTATATCACAGGAGATAGATAAACCGCATTCATTTTGAAGACCTGAGTGCTACAGAATAATATGGGACAGGAAAGCCTAGGGCCTTTGTAAATAATAAAACCAAAACATGTAGCTAAAAGGCTGAAATTGTATAATGGTAGAAAAAGTCCATTATGGAATAACAGGCAGTGTAACTGGCTCTAAAACATTAACTAAAAAGAAGAGTGGAAACGTGGCTTTGGACTTTTGGTTGGTGGTGCAGTCACTTAAGAACACATATTGTAGTGCGTAGGTAGGACATTTTAAATTGCCCCACGTTCACTTGCAAAATAAAAAAAAAGCCAATGGCCAAAGCATATATAAAATGGCTGACATACGTTCTTTCTTTCAGTGTAGGCCGAGTACAAAAGGCCAAAAATCTCAAGCAGCTGCCACCAACATGAATCCAAACAGTTCTGGAGAATATAAGTAGAAGAGGCAGCAGGGTAATTTTCCATCAGAAGTTACGACATGCGTCCTGGCTTCCTATATCCGCTCTAGAAAAGAAAAAAAAATCATTGGATTATAAACGGTCTTTCTTAGTGTTGTGCCATTAAATACCTTCTTCAAGCACTCAAGGTGTTAAAGCTGCAGGTAGTTTTAATGGAACAAAAAAGAGTAGCAACATTTCGACCTGGTAAGAGGTCTTTTCCAAGTTGAAAAAGACCTCTCACCAGGTTGAAACGTTGCTGCTCTTTTTTGTTCCATTAAAACTGCCTGCGGCTTTCACACTTTGAGTGCCTGGAGAATTTCTGGTGCTGCCTTATACTTGTGGGATTGCTGGTTCTGCTCCAGAGCACCGGGTGTCTGCTGGGATGGAGTGCAGCTCCTACCATCACTTTTGCAATTAAATACCTTATCATTCATGGTGTGGATTCTGAGCTTCCTTGTTTGTACAAAATATAAATCCTTGTATATAATAAAAAGTTCAGCTTTCTTTCGGTGAGATCTCTCACAATTAAAGCAGCAAAACAGAATTTTTTTTCACAGAAAATGAAAGTTTTAGTTATATTTAGTCTATTTTAAAACTTTTTTTATTGAATTTATTTTAATTTAGACGATTGGTCAGACAAGCCATGCATACTAGTTAACCCCTGCAGTGCTGTAAATATTTACAGGCATGAGGGAACCAAGGACAGTCACTCCTAGGGGAAGCATGGCTCCTCTTTAAACTACAATTTAATAGTCTCTAGAAAAAACAACAGTTAGGGTTTATAAGGTTTTATAAGCTTGCAGACTGGAGTTTACAAGTTTGTACTTCCCGAGGCTTTAGTAAAATGCTGCTGGAAAAAGCACAGCCATCCCATGATGGCCTTATTTATGTAAGGGGGCAAACTGTTAAAAGAATTAGTAAAAAACAGACAGCCGTTTTATGAACAGCAACAGAACCTACTGTGCTCCACTGCTACCAAAGCTGCAAGAACAAAGCTGGGTCACTTCTTCACCACCAACAGAAAACTAGACACTGATGACAAACTCTGTGGTAATAGTGTCATTATTATATGAACTGGGTGTAAACTTTGTACAAACAAACCAAAATGAACAATAACACAGTGATGATCAACTGACCTGGTTAATGCTGACACCGGTCAACCTCTCCACAGTGTCTGGAAGACGATTGAGAATATCCAGAACTTCACCGGTAATCTTGGAGGCACCAACCTCGCTCCCACCACTTGAGATCAGCTTGATCTTCTTCACCTCTGTCAGGGGTTTACTAATCTCATCGACAATCTGCAACATCGGGTGAAAAGTCACCAACAAAATAACCGAAATGAAAACTAACAAGACTTCCAGTGGTAAAAGAGACCCTGAAGTTTCAGGAGAGGATGTGTGGCATTGTGTGTAAAGAAAAAAAGAGAACCAGAAACCACGACAGAAATAGTAAAGGCACCTGTGATGTACAATGAGAATTAAAAAGGCATTTTAACCACGAAAATCATTTAACCTTAATGATTCTATGGCACAGATGCTGCCCCTGCAGCTTTTCATACAAAAACAAAACGGTTTATGAGAAATGGCACTTGTAATATTTTTACATTTTCCAGTAACTGAATGTGTCGTCAGCCGGCAAAGTACATGGACACTGACACCACATGCTGGGTGTACGTCCATTGCCGGTCTATGAAAAGTAGTGGAATCAATGCTTCTCATATAGAAACCGTGAACAGGCAGATAGTAGCAACTGACCTGCCTGCACCATATGTTTGCAATGCTTCCCTATGGAAAACATCTGACTGGACAAAAGTTGTGAATCTAGAGGACTTCATGCCTGGCCTGTGTGTTTTTGTTTTGGGTTTGTTTGTTTTTAAGTGGCGACCCCGGTAATCTGAAGTCATATAGGAACAAATCTAATCCAAGAACAAAAATGATAAATACCGTATGTTATAGATTTACATGTGATAAAAAAAGCAGAATTCAGGCAAATAAAAATGCAAATGATGAGTGTGTTAAATGTCGGGGGATGATGAGAAACCAGAGGGTAAAATGGAAAAAAACAGCAAGAATCTTTGGGACAGAATTGTGGAGAACAGCAAAACAAAAAACAAACAGACTGGCAAGGGCAGTGTTAATTGTGTACAGATATGAGCAATGCGAATGAGAATTGCAGGGTTTTTATGTAAGAGGTTAGTATGGAAAACAGAAGTGGACTGGGAAACGTGGATAGTTTCAGTGCAGAACACTCAATAGTATACCAAGAGACACAGAGTTATAGAGCAAGATGTTAAAGGGACACTATAGTAACTAAAACAACAATAGCTCCATGAAGCCGTTCTGGTGTATAGATCATGCCCCCGCCGCCTCACTGCTCAATCCTCTGCCATTTAGGAGTTAAATCCCTTTGTTTATGCAGCCCTAGCCACACCTCCCTGCATGTGACTTACCTAAACACTTTCTGCAAAGTCATCGAATGTTTACACTTGCTTTATTGCAAATTCTGTTTAATTTAGAATTTCATATCTCCTGCTCTTCTAATAGCCTTCTAGACACTACATGAGCTTCCTGTATGCATTTATAGAGCAAGAGATAAAAACCTTTAAAGTAAGTTACATGTGATTTAAAATGAAACCATGTTTCTCCCATGCAGGCTGTGTCAGTCACATCTAGGGTAGATGTGGCTAGGGATGCATTAACAGAAACAAAATGATTTAACTCCTAAATAGCAGAGAATTGACCAGTGAGACTGACCAATACAATAACTGCTTCATTAAGCAAAACTTGTTTTGGTGATTATAGTGTCCCTTTAACCCCTTAAGGACACATGACATGTCATGATTCCCTTTTATTCCAGAAGTTTGGTCCTTAAGGGGTTAAGAGACAGACGTGGGTTGTCAAAAATATTTCCAAGGTAAAATTACATGGAATTAACAACCTCAATCACCAGGTTACCTCAGGTAGTTTCTCCAGTAACATATCCACAATGGCTGCGTCCTGGTATTCCTGGAAAGCTTCGGCCTTTTTGGCCATCTGTTCAGCATCGGCACGAGCCTTGACCTCAACTGCATAGGCACGGGCTTCACCCTTAACCTAGAAACACGAGAGATTGAAAACATGTCAGGGAGCAAAAGACATTACAGTCAGAATGCCCATGCGATCCTGTACGCTCTGTTGCTGCTATTATCAAGTAAATTAAGATTACTTACATGGGCTTCGCAATAGAAGGATTCTCCACAGTAACAGATTAAAATGTAAGCAGCTCCACTGGATATATTGATTATTATGGATAATACGATACGAAGTGATGCTATTTTTCCACAAGCAAAGCTTTAACATGGGGTTGACACAGCATTCACAGTTTGTGCACTGAATGCTCAACAAGTCTGGTACTAGCAACAACTCAAAGTCTGGAACATTATGTAAGGTGTGTGACCTCAAACTTCCAGTGCTTACCTTGATTGATTCAGCTTCTGCCTCAGCCTCAGTGATCAGCCTCATTCTGAAGTGGAGATAAAGGGAGTTAGCAAGATGTAGCGGGGCCAACAAATGAATGTAAAAAAAAAGAGCCAACTGTGCATCTTGAGAATTATAGTCCATAATCACGTCAGGTTAGCTACTATTGTTCTACAGAGACACATTCATGAAAGAAACAAGCACATAAAACCATCTGTACCAGATTTCCCTATGAAGATTTGAAGTTGAAGTTTTAATGTTTTAATATATACTTACATCAAGCATGTCAAAATCAAAGGCTAGCAAGGGCCAAATAAACAGGGGCCGCAAAAAAACAAACAAAAAAAACTTAAATTTACATAGAAACGTTGGTAAATTCAGCATCCACCTGGAGCTCCCTTGCTGCCCCAGCGTCCTCTCCCTGCGGCCGGGTAAATTTGAGCAGAGTAGGTATCTGCAATATGGAGAGAGCAGATGCCTACTCTGCCTTAATATGTCAAACTCGCGGCTCGCCTCAAGACCCCGTCTGTAAACTACCTTTCCCTTGGGAAGTGGACCTTTGTCCCATGTCTGGCAGTTGCAGCATGAGGTGTGTGTGCATTTGTCTAGTGCTTACACCCCTCTCTCTCTCTCTCACTACCGAGAGACGTGAAACACATCTGACATGACTTTCTGCTTGTTATTTATTTCTGCTGAAATAGTGAGAAAAATGTGTGTGAAAAATACTCCTGCCTTGGACTGCAGCCACCACACTTCTGGGAGAAAGATGAAAATCTCCTATTTGCAAAGGAATAGGCAGTTATTTAATTTTTAAGGGCAGTCCTTCAGACATTATTTCCTCCAATATCCCATATTTCCTTTCGCCAGACATCCCACCTTTCAGCTTCAGCAATTTTCTCCAGTCGGTAGCGTTCAGCATCAGCTGGCTTCTTAATCCGGGCTTCCAGCTCCTTCTCCTTGCGCTGGATTTCTTGATCCTGCAATTGGATTTGCTGTGTCCTCTCCACCACCTGGACCTGGACTTTCTGCTCCTCAATCTTCTGCTTGGTCTTGGCCACCTGGGAAATGGTACAGAGACGTCACCAATGTTGGCTGCGTGAGGCAGAAGGGAGTGATGAATTGTGAATTTGCCATCGCCGTCCAGCTGATGTGGTTATAACCGTACCTGCAGCTGATAAGCCAGGTCACTTTCTGCCTTCCTGGCATTCACCTCCAAATCATACGAAGCTTTCTTTAGTTCATAATCTCTCTGAGCTTTCGCCATCTCAATCTCATTGACGTACTGTGACGAGACCTTTGCCTGTTGAGCCTCTGCTTCCTGCAATGAACAGCATCATTGTAATAATAATCTTTGAATCACATTTTTTATTATTAAAATATTTGAGGTTTTACTATTCATTTACCAAGTTCCGCAATAAAATTTTTTTTTTTAATCCTCCTGTATCTTTCAATTTCAAAATCCCTACATGAATAATGTTTTATAAAGATATGGTCTATAATGTAATCTAGGTTAGCTTCTCAGACACCTTGTCCATATCCTTCAGTTTTACTCCACACCTCACCTTTTGGAACCCAGGCTATTCTAAGACGTCCCTGTTTTATGTTCTATATCTCATCATGGTGGCATTCATTTCCCTACCTTGATCCCAGCATCTCTCTTTGCCACAGCCTCCCCAATCCTTGCATCCTTCTGTACCTGCGCTGTCCGTGCCTTACCCAGAGAGACCAGGTATCCCTGGAGGAGGCAAGTCATGAAGATATCAATGATTATTTTATCCAATTTAATCACTTTTAAGTGAAACACTCATACAATGTATTTTCCTTTACCTGGTCATCGTGAATGTCTTTCAGGGTGTAACTGACAACACTAATTCCCATGTTAACTAGATCAGATGAAGCCACTTTAAAAACTTGTTCAGAAAACTTCTGTCGGTCCTTGTATATCTCCTGAACGGTGAGGAGAGAGGGTTGAGAAATAGGGAGAAAAAAAATGTAGTTAAAAGATGGACATTTAGAAAATCAGCAATATAAAATAATGAAACTATTGGTCCCTAAGGCTAGCAATAAGCAGTTTCCTCACTACTTTATGTCTTACCTCCACCGTCATATGAGCCATGATGGCACGCTGATGGCCCTCCAAGGTTTCCAGGGCAATATGAGCAACCTCGTTCTCACTTTTACCAAGGAACATTTGGCAAGCAGCTGCCAGCATCTCCTTATTCTGTCCCTGGATCTTCACCTATCGGCCGAAAGCGATACGAGAGGCATGTGTTATATCAAGGTAATGAGATTGAGAGCATAAAAATGTAAAAATTTTTAAAAGCAGGTAGTGCAAGAAGAATGAAAGTAAAGAGAAGAGACACTGGTGAGTAATGGACACTCTCGTGGGGCCTCACCTGGGCGATACCAGTAACTGAAATTGGGACTCCATGACGGGTATACACCTTCTCACTCTTAACATTCAATGTCAGTGTGTTTAAGGAGATCCTATGAGATAGAAACTCGGTGTTCATATTTATGTATACATCAGAATTCAGACAGACACGTACAGATGTAATCTCACCTTTGTATCTTCTGTACACAAGGCAGAACAAAGACCCGACCTCCTGCGATCATTACTGGAGGGCTGCGGCAGAACCCTGGAGTGCGACATGAATATGTGACGTGAGCAGAAAGTGGAGAGCACTATAAACCTGCTTGTAAGGTGCCAGCATTCAAAAACATATTACATATATTTCATATCAATAACCAGATTTTCTGAAATGTAAATAAAAGTCTGCATCTCCTAACAGAATCTTAATACACAACAAAATGTATCAACAGAATCAGCAGCTTATATACACTGTTTCATAATGCACACACACACACTGGCTTGGTGTTTTATACTGTACTGAGTCATTATGTTATGGTGTAATGCTATCACAGTATCACAACACTGTCAGTATGTACTGAATGTAAATAGCTTGCTGTAACACTGCACAGTGTGGGCATGTCTCAAGGTAGAAATCTGTACAAACTATATTGTGTCTAACAGTAAGGCTGGCCCTGGCTGTGTACTTGAGGATGGTAAAAGCTGGCCCTGCCTGCTGGCTGTGAATTTGTAAGTGTGAGTAGTGGAAGCTTGCTCTGCCTACTGGCTGTGAATTTGTGAGTTTGAATAGTAGAAGCTAGCCTGCCTGCGAATTTGTGAGTGTGAGTAATAGAAACTTGCTCTGCCTGTTGGCTGTGAATTTGTAAGTGGGAGTAGTAGAAGTTGGCTCTGCCTGCTGGCTGTGAATTTGTGAGTGGGAGTAGTAGAAACTTGCTCTGCCTGTTGGCTGTGAATTTGTGAGTGGGAGTAGTAGAAGCTGGCCCCGCCTGCTGGCTGTGAATTTGTGAGTCGGAGTAGTAGAAGCTGGCCCTGTCTGCTGGCTGTGTATTTGTGGGTGGGAGTAGTAGAAGCTGGCCCTGTCTGCTGGCTGTGTATTTGTGAGTGGGAGTAGTAGACACAACTACTGTACCTGATACAACCATAGCTTCATTGGGCCCACAAGTATAGAATACCATCTAATAATAGAAGAAAGAAAATGTTTAGTATTTGCACACAATTTTATCCCCTGTATAAATATATCTGAATGGTCTTCATACATGACAGGAAAAAAAAAAAAAGTGTTTTTGATTATTGCGCTGATCATACAGTGCACATAATGCCAGATGTCAGGACTGCAATGTAATAACCCATTGTACAGCGCTGCAGAATTTGTTGGCGCTATATAAATGATAATAAAGTTATCTAGAAAATAGAAAAAAAGCAACAGGTAATATAGCGGTGCGTGGGAAGAGGCATTGGGTATTAGCTCATCTTATTGTATGTGGGTAATGGTGATTTTGCAACACACTAACCAACTACCATATCTCGCATCGCACCATAGGGTGGAAGGAAACCGCAGGAACACAGTACCACTCTCCTGCATCTGTTACCCACTCAGTCCCCAGCACATGTAGCTGGCAAGGCCACTCAGACCTTTCCTGCTGTTTAGGAAGTTAACAGGACAGATATATAGTTTCTTTATATCTTGTAAGATGATATTTACCTACAGTTCCCGGATACCATCCACATTTTGTAAGAATTACATCTTGGCTTGTTTCTTATAGTACACTGCTGCGGAATATGTTGGCGCTATGTAAAATAATTGTAACTCTGTAGGATGATTAACATAACCCATGCCCTGTCCAATTTACTATGGGGTTCTGATAAAATTTTCAGTGTGTGAAAAATATAGTGATTAAGAGATTTTGTTAATCAGAGGCAAAGCATATTTGTGAGTATCAATAAACAACCGTATTATCTGATTTTATTAAACGCTAGATGGCAATATTAAATCAATCTGCTGGTCTTATCAATTCTCCCTCAGGGTATACATAAGTATAACTTACAGTATCTCACAAAAGTGAGTACACCCTTCAGATATTTGTAAATATTTTATTATATGTTTTCATTTGACTAACAACACTGAATAAATGACACTGCTACAATGTAAAGTAGTAAGTGTACAGCCTGTATTACAGCGTAAATTTTCTGTCCCCTCAAAATAACTCAACACACAGCCATTAATGTCTAACCCGTTGGCAACAAAAGAGAGTACACCCCTAAGTGGATATGTCCAAATTGGGCCCAATTAGCCATTTTCCCTCCACAGTGTCATGTGACTCGTTAGTGTTACAAGGTCTCAGGTGTGAATGGGGAGCAGGTGTGTTAAATTTGGTATTATCGCTCTCACACTGGTTACTGGAATTTCAACATGGCACCTCATGGCAAAGATCTGAAAAAAATATTGTTGCTCTATAAAGATGGCCTAGGGCAGGGGTAGGCAACCTTTTAGCAGCACTGTGCCGATATAGGATGGTGATGTCCTGTAGCGTGCCGGTCCTATTTTTTTTTAAATTGAGTTGTGTATGCAGCCGTAGTCTGCGTGTTATTTTTATTGCAGTTGCTTTGTATCGTTGTATTTGTACGTATTTAAGCTATTATATTGTATATGTTCAGGAGTAGTTTATGGTATTGTGTATGATACATATGAATGTGGGCTGTGTATGGGGGCTGCTTGTGGAATTGTGTGTGTGTGCGTGGATATGTCACATTGTGTGTTTGGTAGTGTGTGGGGGCTGTTTGGGATATTGCATGTGAGAGGCTGCATGTTGGGTTGTGTGCATGTATGTGGATTGTTAGCGGGTTACGTTTGTGCGGATTGTGTGTGTGTGGGCTGTTCATATTATTTGTATGAGGGGAGGGTTATTCTGCATTTCTGTGTATATCTTGCGTGTGTGTGGCTTCCCTGGGTTCCAGTGGGGACCAGGCTGGCCAGATACAGGTTTAAGGACAGGAGCTGCAACAGCAGCTGCGGGCTGCTCTACTACAGTGTGGATTCCCATTCACAAGTGCTGGGAGGAAGTGATCTGTGATCACTTCCTCTATGTACTGCAATGCTTAAATTGAGGATTGTACTTCACCACCTCTTCGTATTAGCAGATATCTGAAGTTTTACTGGGACTCTTGATAGGCTAGCAGCCTTGAGTGCCGTGCAAATACACCTTGAGTGCCGTGCATGGCACTAGTGCCGTAGGTTGCCTACTCCTGGCCTAGGGTATAAGAAGATTGCCAAGACCCTGAAACTGAGGTGCAGCACGGTGGGCAATACCATAAAGGTATTGTACAGGACAGGTTCCATTCAGAACAGGCCTCGCCATGGTCAACCAAAGAAGTTGAGTGCATATTCTCAGCGTCATATCCAGAGGTTATCTTTGGGAAATAGAAGTATGAGTGCTGCCAGCATTGCTGCAAAGGTTGAAGCAGTGGGGGGTCAGCCTGTCAGTGCTTAGACCATACGCCGCACACTGCATCAAATTGGTCTGTATGGCTTTCATCCCAGAAGGAAGCCTCTTCTAAAGATGATGCACAAGAAAGCCCGCAAACAGTTTGCTGAAGACAAGCAGACTAAGGACATGGATTACTGGAACCATGTCCTGTGGTCCAATGAGACCAAGATAAACTTATTTGGTTCAGATGGTGTCAAGCATGTGGCGGCAACCAGGTGAGGAGTACAAAGACAAGTGTGTCTTGCCTACAGTCAAGCATGGTGGTGGGAGTGTCATGGTCTGGGCCTGCATGAGTGCTGCCAGCACTGGGGAGCTACAGTTCATTGAGGGAACCACTAATGCCAACATGTACTGTGACATACTGAAGCAGAGGATGCCCCCCCCCCCCTTCGGAGACTGGGCCGCAGGGCAGTATTCCAACATGATAATGACCCAAAACACACCTCCAAGACGACCACTGCCTTGCTAAAGAAGCTGAAGGTAAAGGAGATGGAATGGCCAAGCATGTCTCCAGATCTAAACCCTATTGAGTATCTGTGGGGCATCCTCAAACGGAAGGTGGGGGAGTGCAAGGTCTCTAACATCGTCTAATGTCATCATGGAGGAGTGGAAGAGGACACCAGTGCAACCTGTGAAGCTCTGGTGAACTCCATGCCCATTAGGGCTAAGGCAGTGCGGGAAAATAATGGTGGCCACACAAAATATTGACACGTTGGGCCCAATTTGGACATTCCACTTAGATGTGTACTCACTTTGGTGGCCAACGGTTTAGACATTAAAGGGATACTCCAGGCACCCAGACCATTGGAGTAGTCTGGCTGCCAACTCCCACTACCCTTAACCCTGCAAGTGTAATTATTGCAGTTTTCAGGCCATGCTGCGCATGCGCATAAGGTCTCCCCCACCAGCGGCCGCGCGGAGCCTGACCCAGCGCCGAGGGACATTGGCGCTGGACTCTTAAGTCACTGAATGGGGTTTTAACCCCTTCAGCAACTTGGGGTGGGAGGTAGAGGGGCACTAGATGGCCCTGCAGTGCAAGGAAAACGGATATGTTCTCCTGGCACTGGAGAATCCCTTTAATGGCTGGGTGTTGAGTTATTTTGAGGGGACAGCAAATTTACACTGTTATACAGGCTGTACACGGACTAATTTACATTGTAGCAGAGTGTCATTTCTTCAGTGTTGACACATGAAAAGATCTAATAAAATATTTACAAAAATGTGTGGGGTGTACTCACTTTTGTGAGATACTGTATAACCTGTGTGAATTTTGACTCTGTACTAGATTTGCTTTTGTATTCATCTATGATGTTAAATCACTTGCGGTAGACCAAGGAGAAGGGATGAAAATAGCAGTGACCATGGACACAAAAATTAATGGACATATGTCAACAAACTGAATCAAACATGCACCCCCAGTGTCCTGTTTTAGGTGGGAGAGTTCAAAACCAAGAACTCACTTCCATAATATTTAGTGTATTAAAGTAGCAGAGAATAGAGGGGTAGTAGGACAGAAAAAAAACAACAACAACCTGTCAGACTTAGTACTGAATGGTCAACAAGGTGAACAAATCCTAAATCAATGATTTCACACTTGGCAGATAATTATATTAAAATACAAGGGTTATACACTGATCAGCAACATCATTAAAATCACTGACAGGTGAAGTGAGTAACATTAATCATATTGTTACAATTGCACCTGTCAAGGCATGGGATATACTAGCAGCATTTGAACAGTCAGTTCTTGAATTCATGTGTTGGAAGCAGGTAAAATGGGCAAGCAAAAAGATCCAAGTGATTTTGACAAGGACCAAATAGTGATGGCTAGATGGCTAAGACAGAGCATTTCTAATATGGCAAGTGTTGTGGAGTGCTCCTGGTATGCAGTGATTAGTAACTACAAAAACTGGTGCAAGGAAGGACAACTTGCAAACTGGCGTTAGTGTCATAGGTGCCCAAAGTTTATTAATGCGCGTGGGCAGGGATGTATTTACCACAAGGCAAACAATGCATTTACCTAGGGCGGCACTTTCAGGGGGGGCGCCAAACAATGCCACAGCAAGCACCCAGACAAATGCCTTGCTTGCCATGTGTTCTGGGGCTGTCCACCTTACTGTGAGCGAGTGTAGCTGTCAGTGTGTGTCTGTGAGTGAGTCAAAGTGTGTGTGTCTTTCAGTGAGAATGGGTGTGCCTGTGAGTGTGTCAGTGTGTGTATATGTCATTTTATGTGTATCTGAGAGTGTGTGCCTGTCAGTGAAAGTGTGTGTTGGTTAAACAGCGTGTCAATGACTGTGTATCAGTGCATGTATCAATGAGGGCATGTGTCTGTCAGTCAAAAAGTGGCCTTGACACGAATTGGGAGGTCAAATTTAGATTTTGGGGGTGCCCGAATTTAGTTGTGCGTAGGGCAGCACAAATCCAAAATACACAACTGCGCGTGGGGAGCGAAGGCTAACCTGTCAGGTCAAATCACAAAGAATGGCTACTGTAGATCAACTGTCTGAAAAACTTAATGCTGACCATGATAGAAAGATATCAGAACACACACAGTGCATCGCAGTTTGCTGCATAGAAACATAGAAACATAGAATGTGACGGCAGATAAGAACCATTCGGCACATCTAGTCTGCCCAATTTTCTAAAAACTTTCATTAGTCCCTAGCCTTATCTTATAGTTAGGATAGCCTTATGCCTATCCCATGCATGCTTAAACTCCTTTACTGTGTTAACCTCTACCACTTCAGCTGGAAGGCTATTCCATGCATCCACTACCCTCTCAGTAAAGTAATACTTCCTGATATTATTTTTAAACCTTTGTCCCTCTAATTTAAGACTATGTCCTCTTGTTGTGGTAGTTTTTCTTCTTTTAAATATAGTCTCCTCCTTTACTGTGTTGATTCCCTTTATATATTTAAATGTTTCTATCATATCCCCCCTGTCTCGTCTTTCCTCCAAGCTATACATGTTAAGATCCTTTAACCTTTCCTGGTAAGTAAATTGAGAAGAGAAAAATAGAGAGTGTGTATCAAACTGCTGGAATGAGTAGGGGGGTAACCCCTGTTGAATGAAATATAAGTAGGAGGAAAAATACAACGTAAACCTGGGGAGTGCACATCCAGTATATCCTAGTGCACCTACAGGATACTTGTATAGAAGTCAGCAGTCTCAAAATTAAAATATAACTTTAATCATTTAAATTTAAAAATATATACGTGGTCGGAGAGGACAGAACTTACAAAAGTCAGGAGGAAGGAGATATGCTTGCTAGTATCAAATAGTGGCACAAATAATGGGAGTGCAGGAGGGAGGGGGTAGATAGAGAAAATCTGAACTCCAACTAATCCCCAGCGTACCCTCTCTTGCCTAAAGCAACCCAAAAGCCCAAAGCTAGCAAAGTCACTAACTCCTAACTCTAAAACTTAAATAATAAGCCTGACGGTAGAAATAGCTGCTTAATCGAAGAGAAACTGTCCTAACTAAAAACCAAATCGGGTAGAGAGATCTCGAGGGGGGTGACTAAATATAGAGTAATGAATTTTGCAGGAGCGTCCTCCCTATCTATCAGATTCACCCTCCCCTCAGTTCTTCCCGACGCGCGTTCCCGACTAGTCGGCGAAACGCGCGTCGGGAAGAACTGAGGGGAGGGTGAATCTGATAGATATCTGATAGATAGGGAGGACGCTCCTGCAAAATTCATTACTCTATATTTAGTCACCCCCCTCGAGATCTCTCTACCCGATTTGGTTTTTAGTTAGGGCAGTTTCTCTTCGATTAAGCAGCTATTTCTACCGTCAGGCTTATTATTTAAGTTTTAGAGTTAGGAGTTAGTGACTTTGCTAGCTTTGGGCTTTTGGGTTGCTTTAGGCAAGAGAGGGTACGCTGGGGATTAGTTGGAGTTCAGATTTTCTCTATCTACCCCCTCCCTCCTGCACTCCCATTATTTGTGCCACTATTTGATACCTTTCCTGGTAAGTTTTATCCCGCAATCCATGAACCAGTCTGCATAGAAGCAGACTGTTCAGAGTGCCCATGATGACCTCTGGCCACCTCCGAAAGCAGCTTAAATGGGGATATGAGAGTCATAGTTGGACTATGGAGCAATAGAGAAGGTTGCCTGGTCTGATGAATCCCGTTTTCTTTTAGATTAGATGGATGGCCGGGTGCGTGTTTGTCGTTTCCCTGGGGAAGAGATGGCAGCAGGATGCACTATAGGAAAAAGATGTCAGTGACCTCTTTCAGCAGGATAATGCACCCTGCCACACTGCGAAAATAGTTCAGAAATGGTTTGAGGAACATGACAAAGAGCTCAAGGTGTTGCCTTGGCCTCTAAATACCCCAGATCTCCTTCTGATTGAGTAACTGTGCAAGAACAACAAATCTGATCCATTGAGGCCCCACCTCACAAATTGCAAGACTTCAAGGATCTGCTGAAGGTCTTGGTGCCAGATACCACAGGACATGTTTGGAGATCTTGTGGAGCCCATGGCTCGACGCATCAGAACAGTTTTGCAAACACAAGGGGGATCTACATTATATTAGGCAGGTGGCTTTAATGTTGTGGCTGATCAGTGTACAGGTGATCCTCATTTTACAACGGCTCGCACTTACAACCAGCTCTCCAGCGTGGGGGTAAGTGCGAGCTATCGTGGGAATTAGAGGGATTCCCTGCTCCGCATCAGAGCAGGGAATCCCTTAACTCCTCACTTACTGACCAATTCTTTCTACGACCATTTCATAGGAACGGAACCCGGTCGGTAAGTGAGGAGGACCTGAATATAAATTAGACATATTCATGGTGAGGGTCTCACCATTAATTAGAAAAGGGCAAAATTATAAATATATCAAGTGAGTGGATACAATTTGTATGCATTACAGTCCTTCTGGTATTTGCAATAGCAGACTTACATTGTGCACCTTTGCCTAGTATGCTGTCTTTTTAATTTAACGTTATCCCTCATTTAGCCATATTAAAGTATATAGTTGCTTGCAAGTTCCTCAAACCAAAAAGCACAACTTTGCACTTATCTCATCTGTCATTTTCCTGCTCAGTCCTTTAATGTATCTAAATCCCTCTGTAGAATAGTATTATCCAGTTAAGACTGCATTAACTTACCAAACTTTGTGTCAGCTGTAAACACGGACACATGACTTCCACTGCACACTTTCGGATAATTATTAGAATACATTAAATAGAAATTACTGGCTACGTTCTGCAATATATAGCTAAACGATAATCGCTACCTACGATACCTTGTATTGGACCAGGGTTATCTGATCACCGTTTGTTTTTTTTCTGGGCACATATCACTTATCCATACAGATGGATACTACGTGAAAAGTGCTGCCCTGGAGTATAGGAAATGTGGCAGAACCCTGCAGCATATCAATTGTACGTCCCTATTATTATCAGACTCCACAAAATCTGTGGAATTTGGCCAAAAATCATATTACAGTATATTTACTAAACGTCGAATGCTGGTGAACGGAGAACCAAATTGCATAATTCAGGCCTTAGTCGCAGAACCATAACCATGTATGGCTTGGAGAATTTTTTTAAATCCACTATTTTGTCCTAAAATGTTACAATTCATTTTTTTTATTTTTTATTATTCATTACAATTTGCTGCCTAGCTATAAAACCCCCTATATTGTTACTAAATCCCCTTGTAGAGCAGGACATCTGGGCCGGCTTCATTGCATTTCCAGGATCTAAGAACGTTAGCATTTTTATTATAATGTTGAGATAAAAAAAAAAACAGTACGAATTCCTCATATGACCAAGCCCAGCCCGTAACATGATCATATCGCAGTTTGTTTGTTATTATGATGGCCTGTACTAAAATCAGTGCAGAATTGGATCTTCAGAAGTGCCTCCCATTAACCCCTGGTATCCCAGGGGACGTATAGCGCTTTCCCCAGCACTAAAGGGTTTATAATGCTATAAAAGGCAGACACAGCACATATAACCGTGTGCCGCGGGCCAACGGCTTCAAATGCAATAGACTAATTGCGTAATGTATTTAGCCATTAGCAGTATTACACAATATGGGTCTTTTTCTTGTTTAAACGAAAATGGTGTACCCTGATCAGAATACTGTAAGAGTTAATTATATAATGATCAAAATAATAAAATGAAAATGTAGCAAAGCACAGACAAATCTATATTTATAGTTTTATAGATATATACACCCACCTACACCCTGTGCATATTTGGTTCGTACACACCCAGACCTGTGCATATACAATGAGATATGCAATAACAGTAAAGTGAAGGTGTTAGATTATGCACATTTTAAGTTGTATATAAAATCATACAGCCAGCCATGTGTCCAGGTAAAGAGGCAGCCATTAACCATAGCATGATCTATGTGATTATACACTATACAGAGAGAGCTGTGTAATACAGAGATACACTGACACTATACAGAGAGAGCTGTGTAATACAGAGATACACTGACACTATACAGAGAGAGCTGTGTAATACAGAGAGAGGTATAATGACACTATACAGAGAGCTGTGTAATACAGAGATACACTGACACTATACAGAGAGCTGTGTAATACAGAGATACACTGACACTATACAGAGAGCTGTGTAATACAGAGATACACTGACACTGTACAGAGAGCTGTGTAATACAGAGAGAGGTATAATGCCACTATGCAGAGAGCTGTGTAATACAGAGAGAGGTACTATACAGAGAGAGGTATAATGACACTATACAGAGAGCTGTGTAATACAGAGAGAGGTATAATGACACTATACAGAGAGCTGTGTAATACAGAGAGAGGTATAATGACAGAGAGCTGTGTAATACAGAGAGAGCTGTGTAATACAGAGAGAGGTATAATGACACTATACAGAGAGAGCTGTGTAATACAGAGAGAGGTATAATGACACTATACAGAGAGCTGTGTAATACAGAGAGAGGTATAATGACACTATACAGAGAGCTGTGTAATACAGAGAGAGGTATAATGACACTATACAGAGAGAGCTGTGTAATACAGAGAGAGGTATAATAATACAGAGAGAGGTATAATGACACTATACAGAGAGCTGTGTAATACAGAGAGAGGTATAATGACACTATACAGAGAGAGCTGTGTAATACAGAGAGAGGTATAATGACACTATACAGAGAGAGCTGTGTAATACAGAGATACACTGACACTATACAGAGAGCTGTGTAATACAGAGAGAGGTATAATGAAGGTATATACACACTGCACCTTGCTGCTTGGCTCCTGCAGTGGCTGGCACTGTATATAATGGGTATTCGCTGTATGATGGTTTACTCCTGGCTCTGTGTTTTCTTCCTCTCTGCAGCTCCACCCTGACCCCCCTCTCACCCTGACTATGGGGGAGGCAGCAAACCATAGAGCTCTCACAGCGCCCCCTGCTGCCCGGGCTGGCACCCTGCATGGCACAGAGTGATAGTGTTAGATACAATGTTATTATTATTATTATTATTATTATTATTATTAAAAGTTATTATTATAATTAAAAGTTATTATTATTATTTTTCTTTTTTCCTTCCCTTTTTTCTTTTTTTTTTTTTATATCAGATATTGGGACTACTTTACGCCATTACCAAATAGCATTATCAAGGTCCCATATCATCAGATGTTTTTTAATAAACCAAGAAGAGGGGGAAAAGGAGAGAGAAAATATTGTATTATTATTAAAAGTTATTATTATTATTATTATTATTATTATTATTATTATTTACATGCATTGAGGAAAACTTGTGCCAAAACAAGACTTGGTGTCCCCTGGAGTGCCAGTCACATTAGTTTTTAATTCTGTTTGTGTTCTGTTTAGATGTTGTGGCTTCTTTGAGGGGCTGTGTATGTGAACTGTTTGTGGTATTCTATGTGTTATGTATGTATGTGAGCTGTGTAGGGGGGGAAGGGGGGCTGTCTGTGTGTCTGCTGTCTGTACCCTGTTTGGGCCACAGGGATATTATATACTAACATTACAGGATCATTATAAACTAATACTGTAGGGTTATTACACATTAACATTACAGGGTTATTATAAACTAACATCACAGGGTTATTATAAACTAACATCACAGGGTTATTATACACTAACACTATATGGGTATTATACATGAACAGCACACGATTATTATACACTAACATCGCCAGGTTATTATACAATAACATCACAGGGTTATTATACACCAACATAACAGGATTATTATACACTAACATCAGAGGATTATTATACACTAACACCACAGGGTTATTATACACGAACACCACAGGATTATTATACACTAACATCGCCAAGTTATTATACTCTAACACTATATGGGTATTACACACTAACACCACAGGGTTATTATACGCTGAAACGGGAGGGAGGGAGGAATCTCAAGTACTAATTTGAAAAGGGATAGTTACTGCACTGTTAATATGTTGGTAGGTAACTGGCTTGTAGGAATGAGAGAGTTTTAACATCTAACTCAACCAAGGTTATAAACTAAAGTGTGAATTGTTGGGAATGCAAAATAAATTTCAGATTATATCAGTGGGTAGGACAAACATGCGAAATTAATATTAAATTCACTTTGCATTTCCACTTTAGTGAGTAACTTAGTTAAATTACAGTAATGAGGCAATCTGTTTATCAGCGGTTTGCTCTTTTACCTGGCTGGTCCCTGCCGGACTCCGAGGCTAGTATCCGGCTGGGTGACACACAGTTTGGTTTCTGCAGAGCCAGTCTCTACTCATTAGCCAAAAATCTCAGCTGACCACTCTCAGGCAAAGAATGGCACACTGAGCATGACAATTTGCACAGAATTGACATTAGCCAGTTATGACACCCCGATGACACTGCCAGAGCCACTGCCATGACCCACTCTTACACGACCAAAAAATCCCAACAACATTATACCACCATGTAATTAAAGTTGAACACATAACCATTGCCACCAAGGGCATCCATTTTCACAGTACCACAATTGTAGGGGTATACCGAGATACCCAGGTTCTGAGCTACCAACGAGCCCAAACCTACCAAACCAGCCCAAAGGCCTACCTATTTTCCCTGAAGGAAACATTTTACCCCCTATCATTCCGACCTACCCCCCAACTTTTCTCTCCATCCCCCGCCGCCGTGACCAACGGGAGAAAATAAAGCGAGGGAGGGAGGGTGGGACAACAACAGGTAAGTGCAGCTTAATTAAATTGTCCCCTTAACTTAAATTGGCCCCCGATGCTGATTGGCGTTGCTCCCGGTCTCGGGGGACAGCCTGACAGCCCAGGCAGTCTTCCCTGTGCGAATTAGGCGCCCGCAGCCATGTGATCAATCTAACAGAGCGGTCACATGGCAGCAATAGGCGTCTGTGAATCTGCCTGCAGGGGGACTGCCTGAACTGACAGACAGTCTCCCTGAATTTGTAAAATAAAAAAAATAAAAATTGTTAATAAATAAAAAATATAATTATATATATAAATATATATAATGTCATACTAAGTGTATTTTTATATTAATATATACATATATTAATATAAAAACACACTTATAATTAAATTACACACGTATATATAACTATATATGTTGTGTATATATATATTATTATAAAATATAAATAATAAGTAAGTAAAAAGAAATAAAAAAAATGTAAAAATAAAAAAGTCTTTAAAAAAATTATATATATATATGTCATTTTATTCTAACTGTATTTTGAAATTAATATATATATATATATATATATATATATCTCAAAATACACTTAGAATAATATATATATATATATATATATATATATATATATATATATATATATATTATATATGTATATATAAATAAATAAAAATAATACAAAATATATATCCATATACAAAATAACATAAATATAAACGTAGACTTCAAATATATAAATATGCATATATATTTAAATTCTATGTGCATATTTATGTAAGATTTTTACATACGGTAATTAAGTAATTTTATTATTTGCAATATGAGGGACCTATTAAACACCCTATTGCTTTGTAAATGTGTGTGTTTTGTGGGATAAAGGTAACAGTGTGTAATTTTATGTCTTTTTACTAAAATGTGTTATCAATTATCTCAAACCAATTATCTCCAGGGCAGAGAGGAGGGATTGCAATGCATTGTGGGATTGTTGAAATGTGTAAGTCTGTGATTGGTCCTTTTACCCTTTGTGTCACAGTCTCCCATTTGGTCCCCTAGGGGAGTGTCCACCAGATGGGAGACCTGCATAAAAGCCAGGCAGTTAGCCCCAGTAAACCAGATTCTGCTTGACCCTCAAAACGAAGTGTCGTCTCGTTATTGGGGGAATTGGATTGTATGCCGATTGCCAGGAGTGTATCTTGAGGGTAGGCTGTTTCCAGTATTCGTGGATTTCCTGTTCGGGAGTTGGAGAATTCTTGTAGTTTGCAGCTCGGGAGATGGGTGCTTACAGTAGCTGTCGGTGCATCTTGAAAGGGGAATATCGCCTAAACGGTTTTTAACCTCTTATGTGTAAAACGGTCCGTTACACAGTGTAAACCACAATTCGGGGCACTCCATACCATGGGTGCCTAAACTATAATTGGATGACAAATCACTATTGTGGGCCAGTTAGAAAAAGCGAGTTGCCCATCTCTGGTGTACAGCTGTGGCCGGGCCTTTGACTGCCCGGCCTGTGTCCATTACTGAAGTGTCCGAGTAGTCAGTATGCTCTAGAAAATACATTTATAAATAAAGGGGATATTAACGTGGTGAATAAAGACTACGTTGAAGTGACAATAGCCTTCTAAATGTGCTTCCATTGGATCTTTCAGTCCCCGAGGTTAAGATTAAATATGGAGAACACTGTGTAAACCTTCGTACCAGCATGCCATGTATGATATAGTGTTAAAGGAAATGTTCTATACATTTGTGTTGTCTCTAAATATTGACAATGACTTATCCCAGCTTAATGATCTGTAGTTTAAATCATTCTTATGAAATAATAATCCAAGTGGTTCAGTCATTAGTTCACATACAATACCTGTTCATCTGCATTTTTACATTTTTGGTTACATGCCCTCTAGGGAATTTTAAACCTGAAAAACTGCTCCAGGACAATAAATAACCTCATTATATGATGATCTCTGCTTACTATGCATTTCCATTGTAAACACTATTAATCACTGAGGATCTCACTCAGAGGTGACCACACTCTGTATTAGTGTTATAGAGAGGGAATGACAGACACAGTGTAATACTGATGGTCTCGCCCAGAGGTGACCACAATCTGCATCAGAGTTATAGAGAGGGCATGGACAGATAGAATGTAATACTGAGGATTTTACCCATAGGGGGCTGCACTCTGTATCGGTGTTATAGAGAGCAAATGGACAGATATTGTGGAATACTGAGGATCTCACCCAGAGGTGACCACAATCTGCATCAGAGTTATAGAGAGGGCATGGACAGATATAGTGTAATACTGAGGATCTCACCCAGAGGGGGCCGCACTCTGCATCAGCATTATAGAGAGGGAATGGACAGATACAGTGTAATACTGAGGATATCACCCAGAAGTGGCTGCACTCTGTATCGGTGTTATAGCGAGGGAATGGACAGATACAGTGTAATACTGAGGATCTCACCCAGAGGTGACCACACTCTGTATTGGTGTTATAGAGAGGGAATGGACAGATACAGTGTAATACTGAGCATCTCACTCAGAGGTGACCACACTCTGTATTGGTGTTATAGAGAGGGAATGGACAGATACAGTGGTGACCGCACTCTGTATTGGTGTTATAGAGAGGGAATGGACAGATACAGTGTAATACTGAGGACCTCACCCAGAAGTGACTGCACTCTGTATCAGGGTTATAGAGAGGGAATGGACAGATACAGTGTAATACTGAGGATCTCACCCAGAAGTGGCTGCACTCTGTATCAGGGTTATAAAGAGGGAATGGGCAGATACAGTGTAATACTGATGATCTCACCATGAGGTGACCGAACTCTGTATCAGAGTTATAGAGAGGGAATGGACAGATACAGGGTAATGCTGAGGATCTCACCTAGAGGGGCCACACTCTTTATCAGGGTTATAGAGAGGGAATGGACAAGATATAGTGTAATACTGAGGATCTCACCCAGAGGTGACCACACTCTGTATTAGTGTTATAGAGAGGGAATGGACAGATGCCGTGTAATACTTAGGACCTCACCCAGAGGTGACCACTCTGTATCAGTGATATAGAGAGGAAATGGACAAATACAATGTAATACTGAGGATCTCGCCCAGAGGTGACCACACTCTGTATTAGTGTTATAGAGAGGGAATGGACAGATGCCGTGTAATACTTAGGACCTCACCCAGAGGGGCCACACTCTGTATCAGGATTATAGAGAGGGAATGTGCAGATACAGTGTAATACTGAGGATCTTACCCAGAGGGGCCACACTCTGTATCACTGTTATAAAGAGGGGATGGACAGATACAGTGTAATACTGAGGATCTCACCCAAAGGGGGTCGCACTCTGTATCGGTGTTATAGAGAGGAAATGGACAGATACAGTGTAATACTGAGGATCTCACCTAGAGGGGGCCGCACTCTGTATCGGTGTTATAAAGAGGGAATAGACAGATACAGTGTAATACTGAGGATCTCACCCAAAGGTGACCACAATCTGCATCAGAGTTATAGAGAGGGCATGGACAGATAGAATGTAATACTGAGGATTTTACCCAGAGGGGGCTGCACTCTGTATCGGTGTTATAGAGAGGAAATGGACAGATATTGTGGAATACTGAGGATCTCACCCAGAGGTGACCACAATCTGCATCAGAGTTATAGAGAGGGCATGGACAGATATAGTGTAATACTGAGGATCTCACCCAGAGGGGGCCGCACTCTGCATCAGCATTATAGAGAGGGAATGGACAGATACAGTGTAATACTGAGGATATCACCCAGAGGGGGCTGCACTCTGTATCGGTGTTAGAGAGAGGGAATGGACAGATACAGTGTAATACTGAGGATCTCACCCAAAGGGGGTCGCACTCTGTATCGGTGTTATAGAGAGGAAATTGACAGATACAGTGTAATACTGAGGATCTCACCCAGAGGTGACCACACTCTGTATCAGTGATATAGAGAGGAAATGGACAAATACAATGTAATACTGGGGATCTCACCCAGAGGTGACCACACTCTGTATCAGGGTTATAGAGAGGGAATAGACAGATACAGCGTAATACTGAGCTGGTCACACTCTTTCACAGTGTTTAAAATTTGCTCCTTGTAGTAAAAAGGATAGATTGGATTTATTCATGGGTGTTCAAAGATTTTATTGCTAGTTTATTATAAGAAAAAATGAGCAATAAAATCCAGTGGAAGAGAACTTACACATGTGCAACAGTGGATATATCTGTATTGTACATTGTCATAGACCAACATAAACGTAGATTTGGCAATTCAAAGAGTTCTTCATGGAGATGACCAATTGGTGGAGCACCAAACAGATTTTATTTTAATACAAAATGAAAAGTCCTGCGCTCACTCCCATCACTCCTGGCGGCAGCAATAACTACAGTACACATCACCTAATACATATAGTAAAAACCAAAGAAAAAAGGTTACCGGCGCTCTCTCCTTAATCCCTATGTATATTTAAACAAATGGAGGTCATTTAGTTACTCCAATGGCCACTGGAGGGAATGCACATCTGCCAGATTTTATTTTAGACTGTATCTCTTTCATCTTATCCCACAATAATTTTTTGTTTACCTACAATTGTGTAAAACCTACATGGGCACACATAGTTATGAGAACCTGTTTGTGGCAGATTGGGAAGATTGACACATGTGGGTGCAGCATGACTGGCAGATGAACATAATGCTCCGGAGAAGATATATTGATGATCTCATTATTATTTCAGATGGCCCAATGGAAAGTTTATCTGATTTTCTAATTTATATAAATGACAATAAGTATGGGATTAAAATTACAGAGATACCAAGTAAGTCTATATATTTTTTTACATATTACTCTTTTTGTACACGATGACAGGGCTTTAAACAATACTTTTATAAAGTTTTTTATATTTTACATGATTTTATGTGCGTTTGTATTGTGTTGAAAACTATATATACATTGTTATCTGCATATAAATGTTATGGATGCAATATCGGGTTGCCATGGAGATGAACGCTTCACACTGGTTATTTGGTTCTGCCCATATTTTCATTGCGCATGCACGGCTTTTTAGTCGCCCCGTGAGGTGACCCTTGGCGGCGATGATTTTGGTTTCGTTTACAGCTTTTAACACTCTCGTGATGAACGACAGGAAGTGTCAGACTGAATTGTGCAACCCTCCTTGAGAAAGCCTTCAAGGGCGAAACCACTTGGAGTAAGAGCAACTTTCGAATTTGTCCTGTATTCATTCATACTCTATTCGGCATTGAATCGGAAATGAATCTGTTCAGCAGCCTTCCTGCTGTATATGAACATTGTGTCCAGATTGGGTACTCTGGTGTAGCTGAGATGGGAGAGGAGTCCTAGTGACCTCAATGCCTGAATAACACTGTTTGTCCAGCACTCTGTGTTTAGAAGTGCAATCAGTGTGTTTGTCATTTTTATTTGCTGTAAAGTTTGCATGTTTTTATATATTATCTTTAAGCCTATTAAAGTTTTATTAAACACAGTATTTCCATTTGAACTGTTCTTCACTGGAGAGATTCAATACCCCATACATGATTGGCATGTGTTTTAAGTGAGACTTATCACCATAGCCATATACTCACCATCTTTTTGAGCCATATCTCACCCAGAGGGGGCCGCACTCTGTATCAGTGTTATAGAGAGGAAATGGACAGATATAGTGTAATACTGAGGATCTCAACCCAAGGAGGCCGCACTCTGTATCAGTGTTATAGAGAGGGAATGGACAGAATGTAATACTGAGGATCTCACCCAGAGGGGGCCGCACTCTGTATCAATGTTATAGAGAGGGAGTGGACAGATACAGTGTAATACTGAGGACCTCATCCAGAGGAGGCCGCACTCTGTATCAGTGTTATAGAGAGGGAATGGACAGATAGAATATAATACTGAGGACCTCATCCAGAGGGGGCCACACTCTGTATCAGTGTTATAGAGAGGGAATGGACAGATACAGTGTAATACTGAGGATCTCAACCCGAGGAGGTTGCACTCTGTATCAGTGTTATAGAGAGGAAATGGACAGATACAGTGTAATACTAAGGATCTTGCCCAGAGGGGGCCGCACTCTGTATCAGTGTTATAGAGAGGAAATGGACAGATATAGTGTAATACTGAGGATCTCAACCCAAGGAGGCCGCACTGGACAGATAGAATGTAATACTGAGGACCTCACCCAGAGGGGGCCGCACTCTGTATCAGTGTTATAGAGAGGGAATGGACAGATAGAATGTAATACTGAGGATCTCACCCAGAGGGGGCTGCACTCTGTATCAGTGTTATAGAGAGGGAATGTACAGAATGTAATACTGAGGATCTCACCCAGAGGATGGCCGCACTCTGTATTAGTGTTATAGAGAGGGAATGAACAGATAGAATGTAATACTGAGGATCTCACCCAGAAGATGGGCGCACTCTGTATTAGTGTTATAGAGAGGGAATGGACAGATAGAATATAATACTGAGGATCTCACCCAGAGGGGGCCGCACTCTGTATCAATGTTATAGAGAGGGAGTGGACAGATACAGTGTAATACTGAGGACCTCATCCAGAGGAGGCCGCACTCTGTATCAGTGTTATAGAGAGGGAATGGACAGATAGAATATAATACTGAGGACCTCATCCAGAGGGGGCCGCACTCTGTATCAGTGTTATAGAGAGGGAATGGACAGATACAGTGTAATACTGAGGATCTCAACCCGAGGAGGTTGCACTCTGTATCAGTGTTATAGAGAGGAAATGGACAGATACAGTGTAATACTAAGGATCTTGCCCAGAGGGGGCCGCACTCTGTATCAGTGTTATAGAGAGGAAATGGACAGATATAGTGTAATACTGAGGATCTCAACCCAAGGAGGCCGCACTCTGTATTAGTGTTATAGAGAGGGAATGGACAGATAGAATGTAATACTGAGGACCTCACCCAGAGGGGGCCGCACTCTGTATCAGTGTTATAGAGAGGGAATGAACAGATAGAATGTAATACTGAGGACCTCACCCAGAGGATGGCCGCACTCTGTATCCGTGTTATAGAGAGGGAATGGACAGATAGAATGTAATACTGAGGATCTCACCCAGAGGATGGCCGCACTCTGTATTAGTGTTGTAGAGAGGCAATAGACAGATACAGTGTAATACTGAGGACCTCATCCAGAGGAGGCCACACTCTGTATCAGTGTTATAGAGAGGGAATGGACAGATAGAATATAATACTGAGGACCTCATCCAGAGGGGACCGCACTCTGTATCAGTGTTATAGAGAGGGAATGGACAGATACAGTGTAATGCTGAGGATCTCAACCCGAGGAGGCTGCACTCTGTATTAGTGTTATAGAGAGGGAATGGACAGATAGAATGTAATACTGAGGATCTCACCCAGAGGATGGCCGCACTCTGTATCAGTGTTATAGAGAGGGAATGGACACATACAGTGTAATACTAAGGATCTTGCCCAGAGGGGGCCGCACTCTGTATTAGTGTTATAGAGAGGGAATGGACAGATAGAATGTAATACTGAGGATCTCACCCAGAGGATGGCCACACTCTGTATCGGTGTTATAGAGAGGGAATGGAGAGATAGAATGTAATACTGAGGATCTCACCCAGAGGGGGCCGCACTCTGTATCAGTGTTATAGAGAGGGAATGGAGAGATAGAATGTAATACTGAGGATCTCACCCAGAGGGGGCCGCACTCTGTATCAGTGTTATAGAGAGGGAATGGACAGATACAGTGTAATACTAAGGATCTTGCCCAGAGGGGGCCGCACTCTGTATCAGTGTTATAGAGAGGGAATGGACAGATACAGTGTAATACTAAGGATCTTGCCCAGAGGGGGCCGCACTCTGTATCAGTGTTATAGAGAGGGAATGGACAGATACAGTGTAATACTAAGGATCTTGCCCAGAGGGGGCCGCACTCTGTATCAGTGTTATAGAGAGGGAATGGACAGATACAGTGTAATACTAAGGATCTCACCACACCACACTTTGGATGAGGAAATGATGGAACCAGGTCCTGCTTTCTCTTCATCAAAAACCTTATGGTGCCAATAATCATGTGACACTAGAGTATAAGTGTATAATAAACGTGAGGTATTCATGTAATATAACCCAGTGGTGTTAGTGTATAATAATCCTGTGTTGTGTTGTATAATAACCATATGAGGTTAGTGTATGTGGTGTTAGTGTATAATACATCTGTGGTGTTAGTTTATAATAACCAGTTGGTGTTCGTGTATAATAACCAGTTGATATTAGTGTATAATAACCCAATATTGTTACTGAATAAGCTTCTGTAAACTGAGCTGATAGCAGATTTTACCTATGCCTTTTTTCTTCTCACAGCCAGTTGGCCTCAATCAATAACAGACATGCCTGTACAAATATTGCAGCTTTAGGATGACCTCCCCAGGGTACAGTGAAGAGCACAAGTGTTTCGACTCATAGCAGAGTCACGTTCATAAAATGAAAACTTCCAGATACAGAATTAACTGCTATTACAGAAACATCTATGAATGGCACAGCAGCCGGGCAGAGCCCCAGAACATGTTCATTAAGAGTTTGGCAGAGTCAGACAATGACTGGAGCAAGGCTTTAGAAGAAATATAGAGATTCCACGTTATGATAGATTCCGTTAGCCTAGAGACTTGTGATAGGAAATTATGACAGCTGTCCTTAGGGTGGGATAAAATTTACTATGGGAGGAGGGTAGACAGCTGTTGGAGAGGAAGGAAAGGTGGCTGTTAATGTTGTTACAATGTAATACACACCACAATGAGGACACGGCTCTTACCAACCAAGGAGGAGGAACTAACTCAATGACATTAGTTGCAACGTTGTTAATGAACAACCCAACTGTCTGCTGCTGACAAGATAAAAACAAAAACTCCCATCCACCTAGCTATCCATCATCCAACCGTCTATCTGTCCATCCATCTATCTGTCTGTATATCCATCCATTCATCAGTTCTATCTCTCTGTCTGTCTGTATATCTGTTTGTCTGTCTATCCATTTGTCGGCTTGTATGCCTGTCTATAGTACTATGATTAGTATTTCTGTATTAAACAGCCAATAAATAAAAGTAAACTTGTATTTTTAAAGATGTCTAAATGCATGAAAAATAAATGCAGAATGAGTTAACATCGAGATCCCTTTAGTATCACAGTGTGGATACTCAGTATCGTTATACAATCTGGTTACTACGAATACATGTATTATTAAATAGATACTTTAATATAAAAATACACTTTTTATATATATTAAAACAAGTGGAAAAATACAGAGCGTATATAAATATTCAGAGACATAAATATTAGGACTGAAGATCTGTTGCTGGCAATGGACACTCTCCTTCAAGCCAGCCATTCATCCATCCTCCCACAAAGGTGATGGTCTGCAGGCCTCTCAGAGTAGGGATATTCTGCAGTCTTCTCTTTTTGTTATTGTAAACCCTATAATAAAAAAATAATAAAAAGAAAGGACTTGTTAGCATGTGTATATTCAGGACTGGCATTATATCCCAGTGAGCCCAATTTCCCCAGATATGAAAATAAATCAATATATATGTATTACAGAATGCACTTTTAGTAGATGAAGCGTGGATTAAGAATGCATTATAGGAAAGCTTTCTTTCTGATATCTCTGAGTGAGAGACAAGATTACTTTACTGAGAGGGTAGTGGATGCATGGAATAGCCTTCCAGCTGAAGTGGTAGAGGTTAACACAGTGAGGGAGTTTAAACATGCGTGGGACAGGCATAAGGCTATCCTAACTATAAGATAAGGCCAGGGACTAACTAGAGCAGGCATAGGCAACCTTTGGCACTCCAGATGTTTTGGACTACACCTCCCATGATGCTTCGTCAGCATTATGGATGTAAGAGCATTATGGGGGATGTAGTCCACAACATCTGGAGTGCCGAAGGTTGCCTATCCATGAAATAGAGTATTTTGAAAATTGGCAAGACTAGATGGGCCGAATGGTTCTTATCTGCCGTCACATTCTATGTTTAGTAATTAAGGCCCCCATTTAATATTGCTGGTTAAGCTTTTCACATAATTTCATATTTTTGGGAAAAGTTTATCCAAAAATAAATACATCATTTCAAAAGCTTAACCAAAAAATATTAAATTGAGGCTCGACATTTGCTAAATATGTGTTTGTTTCTGTTTTTATAAAGAAGCAATTGCAAATATATTTCTTTATATTTTGATGTTTTGCCAAATATGGTTAATATCGGAATAAAACGGTACAATTAGTGTTGGATAATCCTCATCGTTTTTTATTTGTTTAGAGGAGCTGAAAGGTTGAGGAATAACATTTCAAGATTTTTATTTTTTTCCCATTCACTTAGTAATTGGTACAAGATCATAAATAATCTGCACATTTAATATTGATTTAAAAGAAGTATAGTCTGAAATATTAACAGGCTTTTTTTGTTTTTGTTTTTTTGCAATTCTTTATTTTTGCGTGTAAGGTTAGTTACAATACTACCCGTATGGCCACAAAAGCCTTCCGGGTTTTCAAATGTTTCATGACATCACAACATAGTTTAGGCATACATAGCAGTCTGTCGATTCTAATCTGTGGTGTCAGCTAGTTCTGCACATTTTAATATAATTTATGGGTCAGTTGTTGTCGAACTGAGGCAACATTGGAGTAATTTTGAGGAGTGTGTCTTTTTCCCCTCCAGTGTTAGGATTGTAGTAGTGTGGGGGGGTAAAGAACCCAAGGGTTGTCTGTTTGGAGTTGGTTGGTTGCATGTTTGTGCCCCCTTACATGTTCCCTAAAGGGGTGAATTGTGTGTACGAATGGTTGTCCTCAGTGGCGTTTGTGTCCACAGGTGAGTGCTATGAAGTCCTCATGTGTCCGTTTGCGTATAGGTATACGTGTGTATAGGGGTTGTCGCTCATTGAGCCTATGTGTGCCTCTGCGATCGTCCAGTGGGTTGGGAATTGACTCCTTACCGAGGAGGTCGCGGGGGGTGGGTGGGGGTGGGAGGAGGTGTATTCTCCCTGGAGCTTTTGGTGTATGTGTCAGGGTGGGTCTTGTCTGATGTTGTGTCAGCAGCAGTTATGGTGTAGCGTTTAGTTAGTCGTGTAGGTGCATATGTTACAGTAATACATAAAAATAAACAGTGAACCAACAGGAGAAACCAAAGGTAAGACAGAAGGCAAGACCGGAAACCGGTTAATGCATTGTATGCTTGTTGGCTACAATTTTACAGTTCAGGTCGGTTCTCTCCGGTGCTCTTTATTCCTGGGGATGAATGGAGTCGTTCTGTCAGGATCCCAGGTGTGCGAAGACGTGGGAGTTTCTTGTGCTGCGGGTCCAGCGTGAATCCCCAGTGCGCGTAGGAACTGTTCTGCCTCCTGTAGTGAGGAAAGATTGTGTGTGGTTCCGTTTTTGGTAACAGTCAGGGTCCTTGGTAGAGTCCATTTGTACTCAATTTTAGCTTCGTGCAGACTGCTCGTCACTTGTTCCAAGGACCTGCCCCACAACAGTGTGTTTCTTGTTAAGTCCTGATAGAAGGTGATGTGGGATGATTCAAAAGCAAGTGGTGTCTTTTCCCTGACTGCTGTAAGGATCTTGATTTTGTCTGCCACTGAGTGGCACCGGATGATGACATCTTGTGGAGCTGTGGCTGGGGCTTGTCTTGCTTTTTTGATCCTAAAGAAGCCGTCTAGTGTGAATTTTTTGGCTTGGGCGTACGGTAGGAGCGTGGTTGTGAGACGTCTGAGGTAGTGGGGTAGTTCTGTGGAGTCCACGCTATCCGGTATCCCCCTTAGTTTTAAGTTAGTGCGCCTGTTGCGGTCCTCTGCTAGGTCCATTCTCGTAGTGAGGTTGGATTGGGATGTCTGCATGAGTATTATTTGTTCTTTTAGCCCCTGTACCTCTTGTTTCAAGTCTAGGGTGTCCTCTTCGGTGGCTTGAGTGCGTGTAATTACTGCCTGCATTTCGGTCCTTAGCAAGTCCATATCTGCTGCGTGCATTTGTCTCATTTCTTTCAGCAGGTCGGCTATGTCTTGTTTAGTAGCCGGTGTGATGTTAGTTCTGTTAGTTTGTGGATCCCTTATTGGGTGAGCGGTTAATAGTTCTTGTTCGGCTCCGGATTTCTCTCCTTCATCTTGGGAGGCAGTTGTGCGGTCTGGCGAGGCCGCCATCTTGGGCGCCATTGGTTTTTGCAGCAGGTTGCCTATGTCCTGTGTGGTCCTGCTTGTGTTCTGTGTGGGTCTCTGGGATTTTCTGCCCATGTTGTAGTTGTTAGGTGCAGCTGTTCCAGTCTGCAGGTAGGCGTCCTGGTGCACTCGCAGGGCTGTGAGTTCTTGTGCTAGCCTTGAGGCTTGGTAGGCGGTGTAGGCCCCGGTTTTCTGTCGGGTCTTTCTGCTCGTTTGCGGATACAAAAAAGGCATCAGCTTGTTGCTCGCTTACTGGGGTTTCCCCGGGAGCTGGTAGAATGCCTCTGTAGGTGCCGCAGGGCTTCGTTTTAGGGCCTTTTAGGCGTCGTTTGTCTGGAGCTCGGAGGTGATGCGACCGTTCCTGTCTGGTGCTCGGCTCCGCCCCCAAATATTAACAGTTTTAACTATACTTGCACCACTTTTGGGCTTGCAATTGTAGTCTAAGCATCATTGACACTACAGAATTCAGTAGTTATGGGTCTAAGACTGTCCCTGTAAAGTCAGTTTAAAGATCTGTGAATTCCTCGTGAATTTCAATGTCAAAATCAGAATGGCGGAAATTGAAAAAATCTCTGGGTCAGCTAAGATTTCGGTTCAGCTACTTTGTATTCAAATTGGAAATTCACTGTGAATTCTCAGTCAAGATTTAACTATGGCTAAATTGGAAGTTTTTCACATCAGCAACCTTGAGATAAATGTTACAATTCCGTTTTCAATTCACTACAATTCACGGCATAGAGATTTAACCTAACTGTAGCCCTGTTCATGGCAGATCATGCATTCGCACTGTTTATATAATGTTGATAAGAGAACTGGTAAGATAGTACTATATCATAGTAAATCCTTCCCTCGTATTTAGTCTCAGCCATCTCTGCTGGGATGCTGCTACATGTATCTACAACAGTTTCTGATGGCAATGTTTCCTGAATTTAAGCTCCTGTTGTCTCTCCAGCCCCAGGCTATGCTATATTGTGTTCATTGGTAAAGGCATTAGTTAGAACAGCCCTTATTCTGAGCAACTTTTACCCAACTAGTTTTTCCATAATTTTACCTCATCTGCTCAAGGATAACAGTGACATTTATTGCATATTAGATAACAATGCATCCCGACTTCTCGGTGTTTGAGATTATAGAAAGCTTGACATCCAGCTGTTAGGTTGTATTTCCTTTTGGCTGTGAGAGAACTCTGGGAATTTTAGTCCAACAACATGTGCTGGAACTCTTTACCCATAACCAGCGTATCTTAAAAGAACCAGAGGAACTGTCTTTATTTTGAAGTATTTTCCTCGTACTCAAGTCGTGCCTGTGAAAGCCTGCAGCTCCTCTGTGTATATTTATTATTAATGCAAAATAATTTCCTTGAAGGAAAACAACCATCTTTGTTTTTGAAAAAAATTTTTTTTTAAATATTTTGAATATTTACATTTGATTGCTTCTGTGTGCTATATTGTAATGCACATATATAAATAAATATCCCTTCAATGCGAGCAGCCATCTTTAAATCCTCTTTGGTTGGAAGCCCTTATGGTATCTGATCACAGACCCCACAGGTAACAGAGACCTTTTGTGTGCCCAGCAATGCTGAGGTGGCATCACAAAATCGCACTCTGAGACAATTTCTACCATTCAAAGTATTCATGGACTTTTGTTGAGTAAGCAGTATTTCTTTTATTTTCTTTTAGAAGTTTTTTGTATGTTCTTAGTTTTGTATGACATAGGAGTATGTTCAGAAAATTACAGAAGTAAATGCAGAGTGCAAATTCAGACAACCAGCTTCACATTAATTCCAAGTGAAACATGTTCCATGTCTGAAGGGTAACTTCTGGTAACATAATGAAGTTGGGCGGATAGGTCTTGAAGTCTTGATGGTTGATCTTACTCAGTAGGCCCGCTATTGAATGTTCCACTGTTCAGGACGCTCTCTAGTGGTAACAAACTATGGCCACTGGGTTGTGGAATGGGTAGTAACAAGTGTCACATTGTTACTTAAGTTAAGACCATAATCTAATATAACTGAGGAATACACAAGCCCTTTGGACTCAACCTGAGTCTATTGCCACTATCAGTGTAGGTACCCACGAGGGAGTGGGGCATAGTTTGCTGGGTAGGTGACTTGGTGTGAGACAGGTCAGAATACCTGTACATTTGCATGAGACAATATTGTGTCCAATTTTACTGTGACGTGGAGTTATCTGACATAAAATTTCAACCAAGGTTCCCAGGTGGAGGTATAGATTGGGTACCTATCAGTCAAGGAAGCAGTAGTGTCTTCCATTACCCTTATCGATTCCACTCTTTATATGCATTCCAAGGGCCACAGTGGTAAGATTTTTTTTCCATTTAACTGGAACGAGAAGATTTGCAGCTGTCCATAAGTGGTTGAGTAGCATCTTTTGTGGTACGGGGATTGGATCTGGATGCAGCAGGAATAATAATGTTTCTGGGGAATGGGCGATCTGGACTCCTGTAATGGCGTTTATCATCAACACCACCCGTTTCCAGTATGTCTGAATTACTGAGCACTGCCACCAGACCTGTGCAGATGAGTAAGCTGAATTTCCAACCAAACAGGAATTAAAAATGGCCGCCCCTATGGAGGAAGTTTAATCCTTTAGATGCACTAAATATTTTCTTATATCTTCGCTGTACAAAATGATACAAACAGAGGCTATAATGCATATAATTTTGTATCAGAAATGATAATAAAAATGATGACAGTTTTCCTTTAACACATGGCTCAGCAGCTCATTACATTAATTGTTTAATGACTTCATTTAGAGAAAGCGTAAAATTAGAGGATTGAGACTTACTGGAAACACTGAGCTAATTAGTGAACTCATAACGTCTCGTCAAGACTGGCATAATACCATTCTAATTACTGTATAAAACAGGCATGCTACAGAATAGGAACAATTAGCAAAGCCCTGAGATATACATTCCTACAAACAATGCGTGATGCGGACTACTTAATTTAACAGCGCCAACTCTGACCTGTCATGGATCCTTCCTGGTTTAATTTCCTTATTTCTCACTTTCTCGCTATCACCAATGTCTGCCATTTCATATTCTGATAACTTTAAACTTGATCCTGCTCCTATCACAGAAATGTATTTCTACACATCCCATGGACTCAGTCTGAGGGGCACAAGGCATACTGGCTGCTTGCGCAGGTATCCGCCATGATGTCATGTGATGTCACTTTAAGTGCCCCAGAAACATGCCTCCTATTAATCCCAATTTCCTGGTCCTGTCCCACCTTACAGAATTAGTACCACTTTTAGGGACACCATGACACCAAACAATAATAGCGCTAGTGTGTCATTAGACGCACTTACACTACGTTCAGGGCGCCAGGTTTCTGGAGAGAGCACTAAAACAGTGCTTGCCGCAGGGTCTGCCCTCAGCGGGCTGGTTAAAATTATTGGCACACAGCCTGGCGTGTTTTCCCACAGGCTCTCACCTTTGTGCCCTTTCCCCCCTCCCAACGGCTTCCCAATTTCTATACTGCCGAAATCAGGAGGTGTGCAGACACCAGAAATACATACAGATCACGTGATAAGTGTTTACACAAGCTGCATTTTAATAATGACAAGAAGTGTCCCAGGGATTCCTATATTTATTTCTCCCTAAAGGTAGACAGGTTCACAGCAGCTGAGCAATCCCAGGCTGATAATTTATGTGTCTCTCTATGATAACTCCCTCCCCCCCCCCGTGACTTTTATTTATAATTTCTAAACCTTCACAACCCATCCGGGGGCCATTGTACACAATTTCTCCAGCCACCTTTTATGTCCTACCCCTTACAGTGTGCACAGTCAAACCCCTGCTCTTTAACAAATAGTGAATATTATTATAATTTATAAAGAGCTAACAAGTTTGGCAGCGCTGTACAATAGGTGGACTAACACACAAGTTTTAGCAACAAGACGAGCTGGGCGTACAGGAACAGAAGGTGCTGAGGGCATTGTTCAAACAAGCTGACATCCTAGGGTGACATTACAGAGTAACGGTCATACAATGCGGTTATAACAGAACAGACCAGCGGGGTAGCATTGATTTTATGATTACCCTGCAGGACACATTTTAGATAACTGCCATATGGTCACTATTAATAAAACATTAGGCCTTGTGTATAGATCATCCAGCTATCCACTGTAACGTGCTGTCAGTAATAGGCAAAACAGCCACAAACTACTTTAACACTAGCTGCAAAGCATTATGGAAACACAATAAAATAGCCTCTGGGATCAAACTCCCACAACTCTTGGGCGGCAGCAGTGGCTATAGTATTTATCAGCCTAAATACATGAAACAAAACAGAAAGGTTGCCTGCTCACTTTTTCACTTTTTTGAATTAATGCTTTCCTATAGGGAAAAAATCTGACGCTGATGTCCTCATGCAGAGCGTAAGGATGTGCAGCGTCATATACCGGATCAAAAGTCCGTTTGGATCCAGGAAGCTCCTCAAGTGGCCCCTGGAGCTGCAATGTAAACATTGCTATGGAAATACAATGTTAAACATTGCAGCACTAGGTTTAAAAGGGACACTGCACACAGACCACTTCAATGAGCTGCAGTGGTCTGGGTGCCTACAGTGTCCCTTTAAGAAAAAAATTAAATTACAAAATTTAAAAAAAATCTATAAAATAATAATGAGAACGTGCTCAAGAATTGGGACTTCAAAAATCTCTCTAAGTTTGTTAACTATAATTTCGTACTTGGGGCAACAAAATCATCCGGATTATATTTAATTTGAATTTTGTTGAAGGTTAGTAATGATTGTTTGAATATAAATTGTCCAAATTGGCTATAGAGAGAGAGCTCTCCAGAAGTCAACATCAACATCAGGGTGCTCATATTTCAGAGACCACCAGGCATTTCCCTTTACCTCCTTAAAGGACCACTATAGTGCCAGGAAAACATACTTGTTTTCCTGGCACTATAGTGCCCTGAGGGTGCCCCCACCCTCAAGGTCCCTCTCCCGCTGGGCTCTGGGGAGAGGAAGGGGGTTAAAACTTACCTTTCTCCAGCGCCGGGCGGGGAGCTCTCCGCCTCCGATCCTCCTCCTCTCCTCCCTTTCGGCTGAATGCGCATGTGCGGCAAGAGCTGCGCTCGCATTCAGCCCGTCGCATAGGAAAGCATTTACAATGCTTTCCTATGGACGCTTGCGTGTTCTCACTGTGATTTTCACAATGAGAATCACGCAAGCGCCTCTAGCGGCTGTCAATGAGACAGCCACTAGAGGATTTGAGGGCTGGATTAACCCATTTATAAACATAGCAGTTTCTCTGAAACTGCTATGTTTATAAAAAAAAATAAGTTAACCCTAGCTGCACCTGGTACTCAGACCACTTCATTAAGCTGAAGTGGTCTGGGTGCCTAGAGTGGTCCTTTAACACATCCCAGGCTTTTAATGTTGTTTTAGTGGTGGGGAGCATTCCCCCTGATCCTGGGGCATAGCTTATGGGCAGCCACAATATTTATGCATGCAAATTTTAATTGGGGACATATCTACTTAATTGTTACTTTTATATATTTTTTGTACTTGGGCAGTTACGTATCTCTTTATTTTACAAATTCTGTCTCTATGCTGGTTGTGTTGTATTTGGTGTGTATAAAGGATTTTAAAAAGATTCCCAGTGGATGTGTCTTACCGACATAATTACACATGGTCATTAGGACTGCATGTTGAACTCAGCTCACAATTTATAAAGTGGGGCAATGGCTCTGGAGCACTATCAGCAATACTATGACAGCAATTAAAGGGTACCTATCATGCCCAAAAGTACCTATGGTCTTTTAAACAGCGTAAAAGTTTATCTTTACCTTGTGCTAGCAGATTGGCCGGGAAATGTATAGATTGGGAGAAAGACCTATTTTAAAACGGGTCTTTCTCCCATCTGTCAGTCAATTATTTGGCATATATTCTATGCCAAAGGATTCACCGACAAAGGAGAGCAGAAAAGACCCTCCATTTATTAAGTGTTTGTACCTTTTTGCATGACCTTGTATAGCGTTGATCAGTACACAGTGAACTATGGCCACTTGACAATATAGCTGTACAGTGCAGAGTAAAGTAGTGAGTCCGTGACTTTAGATGAAATCGAGATTTCTTTTCCAAACCAGCTATGTTGTCCTGAATTTTTCAATCTGATTCTCTGGTTAGTGAAAACATCCTGTGGTTTTGTTAATAAGCAGAAGTGGGAAAAAAAACCTGAGTCTTAATAAAACAAACTCGAAACTGCATGTAAAGTCCACACTACATCCGTGTGGAACAAATGCAGGATTTACTAGCCCCTTCAGTGCGAGCTTTGTGATTAAAAAAACCCAAAATCACAGCACACCATTTATTTGAGATAGGGGATGCGCAGCTAGCCTATAAATATATAACATGATTTTTGTGTGTAGATTGCTCTTCAGAGAAAAAATCCAATTGTTATATAAATTTACATAATTATTATTTTTCACTAATTCTTTCATCTTTTATAAAAAATATTTGGTAAATGAAAACCTTTAGACGGTATACAGTGTTTCATGTTGCAATATTTCACACGTGGTCTGAAAAGTTAGTATAAAAGTAAAATTGCTGTTTTTCTCACATACAGTAGGTGTGACGCAAATACATAAAAATGGTCAAATATTTTGCTTGTAGGTGGGGAGTGTAGACAGGAATAAAGAACTAGGGATCTTGGGAGGTATTTACATGTAATTTTCATTATTATTCTCCATTGGCCACACCAGGCAATACACTATACACAAGGGATAGGCAACCTTCGGCAATTGTCTGGGTGACCGTAGTGGTCCTTTGATTCAAAGTGAACTTGAATTTAAAGGAACACTATAGTCAACTAAATTACTTGAGCTAAATAAAGCAGTTTTAGTGTATAGATCATTCCCCTACAATTTCACTGCTCAATTCACTGTCATTTAGGAGTTAAATCACTTTGTTTCTGTTTATGCAGCCCTAGCCACACCTCCCCTGGCTATGATTGACAGAGCCTGCATGAAAATAAAACTGGTTTCACTCTCAAACAGATGTAATTTACCTTAAATAATTGTATCTCAATCTCTAAATTGAACTTTAATCACATACAGGAGGCTCTTGCAGGGTCTAGCAAGCTATTAACATAGCAGGGGATAAGAAAATCTTAATTAAACAGAACTTGCAATAAAGAAAGCCTAAATAGGGCTCTCTTTACAGGAAGTGTTTATGGAAGGCTGTGCAAGTCACATGCAGGGAGGTGTGACTAGGGTTCATAAACAAAGGGATTTAACTCCTAAATGGCAGAGGATTGAGCAGTGAGGCTGCAGGGGCATGTTCTATACACCAAAACTGCTTCATTAAGCTAAAGTTGTTCAGGTGACTATAGGGTCCCTTTAAGGTCAAAATAGTCAACTTAACACAGAATTGACTTGGCGTTTCTTCAAATCTGGCTGTACTGGCCTAAATTTTGAAATCACTCAATTTGAATTCGCAGCAATTTTTACCTTAGTTAATAACCCTATTAAAGGGTATGGTCTTTGCTGCTTCACTCTGTGCACTATTTTGGCCTTAGTTTGTTCCAGTACAGTTTGCTGAGTGTGTAGATCTGTTATCTATACTCCCGTCAGCGAGAATTCCTGTAATTTAGAATCAGATTGGCGGCAGCTGCTCAGTTCCTTCCTGCTGTCAACACACACAGATTGCTATATACCCCAGATAAAAACACAACCAGCACAGCATGCTGTGTACACACAGTAAGAGTGGTGTGTGAGACCTAGGGGTTTATTCACGAAACTCTGATTTGAGATCCAAACTGGAAACCTCAGGCAAATATAGTCGAGCTGTGACTATAGTGGATATGAGAATTTTTCAAGAGCAACTATTTTTGCCTAAATATTGCCATTTGGATTTTAATTCAATACAATACAAAGTTTAGTGGAAAAAAGCCTAGAGACTGCCCAGCTGCAGCCATTGCGAAGAATCCTTCTGCTGGCTGGCAGGAGTGTAATAAATAAATACTGTGCGTTTCTACGTGGAAGAACAGACAGCCGCATATTTTTAAGAATTCCCTGTTCTTCATTTTTTTAAATCGAGGAAGTGTTTTGTTTTTTCTTTGAAAATCTTTTATTTTATAGAAAGATTGAATAGTACAGAATAAGCACAACATTTGAGGAAGTGGTTTTTTGTACCTTTTTACTTGACTTTTGTACAGAGTTTACCGTTTATTCTCTCAGTGAATTTTGTTGAACTGAAAAATCTAACCGCAATGTGCTGAGTAAAATAATGAGTCTGTGGCTGTAGATAAAGTGGATAATTTTTCTAAATCAGCTATTTTGGCCTGAATTTTGCAACTTCGTTCACGTTAGTGAAAAAAGAAATCTCTTGTTTTGTCAATAAGCAGAAGTGAGAAGAACAAAGTTTGCTGGGTGAGTGGAAGCCAGCGAGAGCTGCCCGCCTGCTATGGAATGTACTGGCGCACATCGTACTGGTTGGCTCTCAGCAGAACCATTTACCATGGGTTTAATTTACTAAACTGGGGAATGTGGAGAATTGGCAACGGATTTAGAAACGCTGGAAGAAATTCAAGTTCAGCTTCAACTCAGCTATTTTCCTGCTTTACTATTTGGTGTAAAATCTGTGTTTCCTTTGTCGATTCTGTACAGTTCCTGGTTAGTCAATAAAACCTAATAGGAGCTGAGGGGGTTTCAGTGAAATTCTGAGATTGTCACCTTGATATTGCTAAAAATAAATGGAAATCCTAATGTCTAGAACGCTGCTGAGTGCCAGGCATGCATGTAGGGTTGCAGTGTCCTCCTTGAGTTTGTATGTGCATGAAAAGTGCTTCCCAGAATCCATGCACAGCAGCTGATCATGGCGCCCTGTTTGTGGCTATTACATGGTCTCTCCCAGGCTCGCAGTGTATTCTGTGCAGTTACATACAGCACTTTTCATGTGCCGACCAACAGCTGAAACTGACAAATATTTGGCAAATAGTGAATTAAAGAGACATTATCCAAAAATCAGATGACTACACAGAATTTCCACTCCAGCATTTTACCCAGCAATATAATCATTATTTGTCCAATACTCAAATAATACTATCGGATTAATTCACTAAATTGGGGAATATGGGGCAATAACACGAAAATTAGACATTTTAGACAAAGCGGAATTAGCTGATTTGGACATTGTCAGCAGTTTATTCCTAGTCTCTGACAATTCCCAGTTTAGTGAGTAAATAATGTGTGGTACTCTGGTTATTTCTTTGTTACAAACATTATCAGAATACTCAGAACTGTTACTCATGGTATCATAATACTCAGTACCACAATGTATTAGAATACTCAAGTACTCAATATTGTTACTGTATCATAATACTCTGTACTGTAACATATTGTATTGCAATACTCAGTATTTGTACACACTAGATTAGAATATTAAGAGTATCAGAATACCCAATATTATAACCATCAGAATACTCAGTACTGTTAGTGTATTAAAATACTCAGCACTGTTACTGTATCAGAATAATCAGTACTGTTACTGTATTAGAATACTCAGTACTGTTACTGTATTAAAATACTCAGTACTGTTACTGTATTAGAATACTGAAGTAGTCAATATTGTTAATGTATCATAATACTCCGTACTGTTACATATTGTATTGCAATACTCAGTATTGTTACACACTAGATTAGAATATTAAGCAGCTGAGTTTAAGAATACCTAATATTGTTACTGTATCATAATACTCTGTACTGTTACATATTGTATTGCAATACTCAGTATTGTTTCACACTAGATTAGAATATAAAGTACCTGAGTTTAAGAATACCCAATATTGTAACTGTATCAGCATACTCAGTTCTGTTAGTGTATTAAAATACTCAGTACTGTTATTCTATCAGAATACTCAGCACTATTACACACTGTATCAGAATACTAAGTATTGTTACACAGTATTTAGAATAATCAGAACTATTACACTATGTATCAGAATACACAGTATTGTTACTGTATCAGAATATTCAGCACTATGACACACTGTATGATAATACTCAGTACTGTTACTGTATCAGAAAAATCAGCACTATTACACACTGTATAGGGATACTCAGTACTGTTACTATATCAGAATACTCAGTACTGTTACTGTATTAGAATAATCAGTACTGTTACTGTATCAGAATACTCAGTATTGTTACTGTATCAAAATAATCAGCACTATTACACACTGTATCAGAGTACTCAGTTTGTTACTGTGTTAGACTAATCAGTACTATTACACACTGTATTGGAGTAATCAGCACTATTACACACTGTATCAGAATATTCAGTACTGTTACTGTATCAGAATAATCAGTACTATTTCGCAATGTATCTGAATACTCAGTATTGTTACGGTGTTAGAATAAATCAGCACTATTACACATTGTGTCGGAATAATCAGCACTATTATACACTGTATCAGAATAATCAGTACTATTACACAGTGTATCAGAATGCTCAGCACTATCATACACTGTATCAGAATAATCAGCACTATTATACACTGTATCGGAATAATCAGCACTATCATACACTGTATCCGAATAATCAGTACTATTACACAGTGTATCAGAATGCTCAGCACTATCATACACTGTATCAGAATAATCAGCACTATTATACACTGTATCGGAATAATCAGCACTATCATACACTGTATCCGAATAATCAGTACTATTACACAGTGTATCAGAATGCTCAGCACTATCATACACTGTATCAGAATAATCAGCACTATTATACACTGTATCGGAATAATCAGCACTATCATACACTGTATCCGAATAATCAGTACTATTACACAGTGTATCAGAATGCTCAGCACTATCATACACTGTATCAGAATAATCAGCACTATTATACACTGTATCGGAATAATCAGCACTATTACACAATGTATCATAATACTCAGCACTATTATACACTGTATCAGAATAATCAGCACTATTACACAGTGTATCGGAATAATCAGCACTATTATACACTGTATCAGAATAATCAGTACTATTACACAATGTATCAGAATACTCAGCACTATTATACACTGTATCAGAATAAGCAGTACTATTACACACTGTATCAGAATACTCAGTATTACACAGTATTTCAGAATAATCAGCACTATTACACTCTGTATCAGAATAATCAGTACTATTATACACTGTATCAGAATAATCAGTACTATTACACAATGTATCATAATACTCAGCATTATTATACACTGTATCGGAATAATCAGCACTATTACACAGTGTATCGGAATAATCAGAACTATTATACACTGCATCAGAATAATCAGTACTATTACACAATGTATCAGAATACTCAGCACTATCATACACTGTATCAGAATAAGCAGTACTATTATACACTGTATCAGAATAATCAGTACTATTACACAATGTATCAGAATACTCAGCACTATCATACACTGTATCAGAATAAGCAGTACTATTACACACTGTATCAGAATACTCAGTATTATTACACAGTATTTCAGAATAATCAGTACTATTACACAATGTATCAGAATAATCAGTACTATTATACACTGTATCAGAATAATCAGTACTATTATACACTGTATCGGAATAATCAGCACTATTATACACTGTATCAGAATAATCAGTACTATTACACAATGTATCAGAATACTCCGCACTATCATACACTGTATCAGAATAATCAGCACTATTATACACTGTATCAGAATAATCAGTACTATTATACACTGTATCAGAATACTCAGTATTGTTACACAGTATTTCAGAATAATCAGCACTATTACACTCTGTATCAGAATAATCAGTACTATTACACAATGTATCAGAATTCTCAGCACTATCATACACTGTATCAGAATAATCAGTACTATTATACACTGTATCAGAATAATCAGCACTATTATACACGGTTTTAGAATAATCAGTACTTTTACACACTGTATCAGAATACTCAGTATTGTTACAAAGTATTTCAGAATAATCAGTACTATTACACAAGGTATCAGAATATTCATCACTATTATACACTGTATCAGAATAATCAGTACTATTACACACTGTATCAGAATACTCAGTATTGTTACACAGTATTTCAGAATAATCAGTACTATAACACAATGTATCAGAATACTCAGCACTATTATACACTGTATCAGAATAATCAGCACTATTACACAATGTATCAGAATAATCAGCACTATTATACACTGTATCAGAATAATCAGTACTATTATACACTGTATCGGAATAATCAGCACTATTATACACTGTATCAGAATAATCAGTACTATTACACAATGTATCAGAATACTCCGCACTATCATACACTGTATCAGAATAATCACTACTATTATACACTGTATCAGAATAATCAGCACTATTATACACTGTATCAGAATAATCAGTACTATTATACACTGTATCAGAATACTCAGTATTGTTACACAGTATTTCAGAATAATCAGCACTATTACACTCTGTATCAGAATAATCAGTACTATTACACAATGTATCAGAATTCTCAGCACTATCATACACTGTATCAGAATAATCAGCACTATTACACAGTGTATCGGAATAATCAGCACTATTATACACTGTATCGGAATAATCAGCACTATTACACAATGTATCATAATACTCAGCACTATTATACACTGTATCAGAATAATCAGCACTATTACACAGTGTATCGGAATAATCAGCACTATTATACACTGTATCAGAATAATCAGTACTATTACACAATGTATCAGAATACTCAGCACTATTATACACTGTATCAGAATAAGCAGTACTATTACACACTGTATCAGAATACTCAGTATTACACAGTATTTCAGAATAATCAGCACTATTACACTCTGTATCAGAATAATCAGTACTATTACACAATGTATCATAATACTCAGCATTATTATACACTGTATCGGAATAATCAGCACTATTACACAGTGTATCGGAATAATCAGAACTATTATACACTGCATCAGAATAATCAGTACTATTACACAATGTATCAGAATACTCAGCACTATCATACACTGTATCAGAATAAGCAGTACTATTATACACTGTATCAGAATAATCAGTACTATTACACAATGTATCAGAATACTCAGCACTATCATACACTGTATCAGAATAAGCAGTACTATTACACACTGTATCAGAATACTCAGTATTGTTACACAGTATTTCAGAATAATCAGTACTATTACACAATGTATCAGAATAATCAGTACTATTATACACTGTATCAGAATAATCAGTACTATTATACACTGTATCGGAATAATCAGCACTATTATACACTGTATCAGAATAATCAGTACTATTACACAATGTATCAGAATACTCCGCACTATCATACACTGTATCAGAATAATCAGTACTATTATACACTGTATCAGAATAATCAGCACTATTATACACTGTATCAGAATAATCAGTACTATTATACACTGTATCAGAATACTCAGTATTGTTACACAGTATTTCAGAATAATCAGCACTATTACACTCTGTATCAGAATAATCAGTACTATTACACAATGTATCAGAATTCTCAGCACTATCATACACTGTATCAGAATAATCAGTACTATTATACACTGTATCAGAATAATCAGCACTATTATACACTGTTTTAGAATAATCAGTACTTTTACACACTGTATCAGAATACTCAGTATTGTTACAAAGTATTTCAGAATAATCAGTACTATTACACAAGGTATCAGAATACTCATCACTATTATACACTGTATCAGAATAATCAGTACTATTACACACTGTATCAGAATACTCAGTATTGTTACACAGTATTTCAGAATAATCAGTACTATAACACAATGTATCAGAATACTCAGCACTATTATACACTGTATCAGAATAATCAGCACTATTACACAATGTATCAGAATAATCAGCACTATTATACACTGTATCAGAATAATCAGTACTATTATACACTGTATCGGAATAATCAGCACTATTATACACTGTATCAGAATAATCAGTACTATTACACAATGTATCAGAATACTCCGCACTATCATACACTGTATCAGAATAATCACTACTATTATACACTGTATCAGAATAATCAGCACTATTATACACTGTATCAGAATAATCAGTACTATTATACACTGTATCAGAATACTCAGTATTGTTACACAGTATTTCAGAATAATCAGCACTATTACACTCTGTATCAGAATAATCAGTACTATTACACAATGTATCAGAATTCTCAGCACTATCATACACTGTATCAGAATAATCAGTACTATTATACACTGTATCAGAATAATCAGCACTATTATACACTGTTTTAGAATAATCAGTACTTTTACACACTGTATCAGAATACTCAGTATTGTTACAAAGTATTTCAGAATAATCAGTACTATTACACACTGTATCAGAATACTCAGCACTATTATACACTGTATCAGAATAATCAGCACTATTACACTCTGTATTGGAATACTCAGCACTATTATACACTGTATCAGAATAATCAGTACTATTACACAGTGTATCAGAATAATCAGTACTATTACACAATGTATCAGAATACTCAGCACTATCATACACTGTATCAGAATAATCAGTACTATTACACACTGTATCAGAATAATCAGCACTATTACACTCTGTATTGGAATACTCAGCACTATTATACACTGTATCAGAATAATCAGTACTATTACACAGTGTATCAGAATAATCAGTACTATTACACAATGTATCAGAATACTCAGCACTATCATACACTGTATCAGAATAACCAGTACTATTACACAATGTATCAGAATACTCAGCACTATTATACACTGTATCAGAATAATCAGTACTTTTACACACTATTTTAGAATACTCAGTATTGTTACACAGTATTTCAGAATAATCAGTACTATTACACAATGTATCAGAATACTTTGCAGTATTATACACTGTATCAGAATAATCAGCACTATTTTACACTGTAACAGAATAATCAGTACTATTACACAATGTATCAGAATGCTCAGCACTATCATACACTGTATCAGAATAATCAGTACTATTACACACTGTATCAGAGTACTCAGTATTGTTACGCAATGTATCTGAATACTCAGTATTGTTACGGTGTTAGAATAATCAGCACTATTACACATTGTGTCGGAATAATCAGCACTATTATACACTGTATCAGAATAATCAGTACTATTACACAATGTATCAGAATACTCAGCATTATTATACACTGTATCGGAATAATCAGCACTATTACACAGTGTATCGGAATAATCAGCACTATTATACACTGCATCAGAATAATCAGTACTATTACACAATGTATCAGAATAATCAGCACTATTATACACTGCATCAGAATAATCAGCACTATTACACAGTGTATCGGAATAATCAGCACTATTATACACTGTATCGGAATAATCAGCACTATTATACACTGCATCAGAATAATCAGTACTATTACACAATGTATCAGAATAATCAGCACTATTATACACTGCATCAGAATAATCAGCACTATTACACAGTGTATCGGAATAATCAGCACTATTATACACTGTATCGGAATAATCAGCACTATTATACACTGCATCAGAATAATCAGTACTATTACACAATGTATCAGAATAATCAGCACTATTATACACTGCATCAGAATAATCAGCACTATTACACAGTGTATCAGAATAATCAGCACTATTATACACTGTATCGGAATAATCAGCACTATTACACAGTGTATCGGAATAATCAGCACTATTACACAGTGTATCGGAATAATCAGCACTATTATACACTGTTTTAGAATAATCAGTACTTTTAAACACTGTATCTGAATACTCAGTATTGTTACAAAGCATTTCAGAATAATTAGTACTATTACACAATGTATCAGAATACTCAGCACTATTATACACTATCGGAATAATCAGCACTATTTTACACTGTATCAGAATAATCAGTACTATAACACAATTTATCAGAATACTCAGCACTATTATACACTGCATCAGAATAATCAGTACTATTATACACTGTATCGGAATAATCAGCACTATTATACACTGTATCAGAATAATCAGTACTATTATACACTGTATCGGAATAATCAGTACTATTACACACTGTATCAGAATACTCAGTATTGTTACACAGTATTTCAGAATAATCAGTACTATAACACAATGTATCAGAATAATCAGTACTATTATACACTGTATCAGAATACTCAGTACTATTACACAATGTATCAGAATAATCAGCACTATTATACACTGCATCAGAATAATCAGTACTATTATACACTGTATCGGAATAATCAGCACTATTATACACTGTATCAGAATAATCAGTACTATTACACAATGTATTAAAATACTGTTACACATTTTCCACTCGAGTAATGGAATCACTTTTATTGTATCTATATGTTATAAAGTGAATGGAGTATTAAGTCAGATTTCATACACAGACAGCTGAGCATTGCAATAATGAAATGAAAGCAGTCTATAAACGCTAGAATACATTATCATTCTCAACACACAGTGTTCTTTGCTTATTCATTTTGACTTGATGTAATATTTATATATTATTAAATAAATGATCGGTCTGGTGCTAATTTCTAATTATAACTAAATCATTGGAGCTTGTCCAAGAATTGTAGACAATAAAACAAAATATGGTGAACCTACTGAGATGGAGAAGTTTTAAAATGTAGCGGTTCTGGCCTACAACTTGCAATATTTTATTGTCAATTCTCCACAATTCCCAGGTTACAACAAACCCCATCAGATCTGAATGAAACTTTTTTTCTTGGTTAAATATAAATAAACCCCTGCCTTGATAAAGGTACCGTCTCACCTGTGCCCCAAACTTCTTTCTCTTGGGTGGTGCTGGGAGATTAAGGCGCCGGGCAATGCGGGTGGTCACTCCAAGTTGGATATCTGTGGTCACCCCCTTCCAGCTCATGGCTCGCCCACATTTTGGACATATCAGCTGCCCGCTAGTACTCTGTTTTCTGCCAGTGTGGGTCACCAGGCAGCCCCGGCAGTAACTGTGCCCGCACTCTGTGGTCACAGGATCCTCAAAATAGCAGGCACAAAGTGGGCACACTGACCCCTCCTGCAGCTCCTGCATGGATCCTGGAGAGGACATTTTGACAGATCAGAACTACGCTACGCATGCAGCAGATATCGAAAGCAGCGTACACATATTATTCTATATTTATATCCACATGCGTTCACGTTTCCACCCTCCGTGTACTTGTCATGCATATTTCATGCAGCAGGGCGTGGAGTTATGCGGTTTGGCAGGTTTCAAGAGGTAAACCAACATTGGATGAGCCCTGCAGAAAAGCATGACACCTGATGGATCATCTCATGAGGGGGTTAATATGCTAAATATAGCCAGAAGGCAATTAGAGCATTTATTATGGGCTTTAGGATTTAACTACAGAGTAAAGTTGCGTGGCGAAGTGTTCTATCCAACACCTCTCACTTTTAACGTATTATGATAAAGCGATAACGTAGTCTGCAGCGTTGTATGTTATACCAGAGGGAATTAGAAATGGATTGAAAGGCTTCTCTTTGCAACTTAGGGGGTGCATTTTGTTATACTGGGAAAATTGGTAAGCATATTTTATATATACACAAGGTCTGTCTGAAGAGTATCCAGGCTTGTAATATGAAAAATAGACATTTATTGTAGAATATACAAGAAACATTGTAGGATATCGACACTTCTGTCCCCTTCAAAGTCGGCACCATTCAGTCATTTTGAATGTGACGGCCACACAATACACATGCTCACTCACCTGCGTCTAGCGCCCCCACTGACTAGTTCATGTGCATTCCAGTCCACTCTCCTTGGCTGTCAGGTTACATCGATGTCGCGCACATCGTTTTTTTAGATATGCAATGGTTGGACTTTGTCCAGACATCTTGTATATGTGGATATTGTATGTTGTTTGAATCGGCCCCTGCAGCACCATTATAACGTATGCATGTTCAGGTAAGTGCAGACTGTTTGGTTTTATATATTATATATATATATATTTATGAGCCTCTTAAATAAATAAACAAGTGAAATAAGGTACAAGCAATGCAAAAAACAAGTTTAAAAAAAACCCATTGTTGTAAACCCTGAGGAGTTTATTCATTACACATTTATTGTAGTTCAGTGAAATCGGAATCGCAATATTTAGGTTTAAATAGTTATTTTACTCGTTGTTTAGCAAATAAACCCTATGTGCTCTGGACCTGACAAAAGGATGCATTGTACGGAAAATCGTTATTTACACAATTGGGGTCATTCAGTAAACACTAAATTGTAGCAAATTGAAATCTAAATGACATAGTATTGGCCAAAATAGCTGATTTGTAAAAATTCTCCAAATTGGCTACATTATACTAAACTTTGAAATTCTGATTTTGGTTTGCTGCGATTAAGACTAAAATAGCTCATTGGGAATAATCCTACAGCTAAATTTAGAATTATTTAATGATTCTCCACAATTCTCTATTTGGTGAATAATCCTCATTATGTGCTTATAACTTGTACGTTGGGAAAAACATTGCACCACTTCACAACTTCACAGGTTCTTTGGAAATGTTTGGAATAATACTGACTGCATCATAGCATCTCCAAAATCATAAGCCTTATGGGGTGTTCCTGGTATGCAATGGTTTCTTACCTTCTAAATGTGGAAGGATAACCGGTGAACTGGCGTCAAGGTCATGGGCTCCAAAGGCACTTGATGCACATGGGGAGCGAAGGCTATCCCATCTGGTCCAATCATACAGAGAGCTACTGTAGCTCAAATTGCTGAAAAATGTTTTGCTGACAATGGTAGAAAGATATCAGAATACACGTTGCATCAAATTTGCTGCATATAGGGCTGTTTAGATGCAGAGCGGTCAGAGTGCCCATGATGACCCTTGTCCAGCCCCAAAAGTGCCTTCAATGGGGAAGTGAGCATTAGAACTGGACCATGGAGCAATGGAAGAAGGGTGCCTGGTCTGATGAATTGCATTTTCTTTCAGATCAGGTGGATGACTGGGTGCGTGTATCAGTTACCTTTGGAAGAGGTGGCAGCAGGATGCACAATAGGAAGAAGGCAGACCGGTGGTGGCAGTGTTATGCTCTGGACAATGTTCTACTGGGAAGCTTTGGTTTTTGGAATTCATATGGATGTTACTTTGACACGTACCACCTACCTAGAGATTGTTGCAGACCAAGTACACCCTTTCATGGCAATTGTGTTCCCTGATAACAGTGACCTATTTCAGCAGGATAATGCAAAAATAGTTCAGGAATGGTTTGAGGAACATGACAAAGAGCTCAAGGTGTTGCCTTGTCCTCCAAATTCTCCAAATCTCATTCCGACTGAGAATCTGTGGGATGTGTTGGAACAACAAATCCGATCCATGGAAGCCCCACCTCACAACTTGCAGGACTTAAAGAATCTGTTACTAATGTCTTGGTGCCAGATACCCAGGGATGTATTTACCACAATGCAAAGAGGGCATTTGCCTAGGGCCGCACTTTCAGGGGGAGGGGCACCAAAAAATGCCACCCCAAGTTCCCAGTCAAATGCCTTGTTTGCCACGTGCGCTTATGACTGTATGTGTGTGCCAACGACTGTGTATCTGTCAGTGAGTGTATATCAGTGCATGTATCAATGAGGGCATGTGTCTGTCAGTCAAAAAAATGTTGTGCCTAGGGCAGCACAAATCCAAAATACACCACTGCAGATACCACAGGAGGTCTTGTGGAGTCCATGTCTTGAAACTTTAGAGCTGTTTTGGCAGCACAAGGGGTTTAACATGATATTAGGCAAGTGGTTTTAATGTCGGGGCTGATCCGTTTATAATGCTTAAAACCACCTCTAAGTCATCAAGCGCTATCATCTTCAATAGGATCCCTCCTACACTGCACTCACATCTATAGGAGCCCCTCATATACTCAGCAGATGCCCCCCACACATACTTTACAGTCCCCCATTGACTCCACTTGTGAATTAATTGTACAATGATGTCATATCCTGGAATCACATAGCATTTGTTTTATTGCCATTTCAAATCTGAGTATAATTAAGCTGTCAGTTAATCTAAATAGGATGATGTAACCCCTAATTAAACACATACCGTGTTCAGGAAACACATGGCTCCGCCTTACAAATCCTATAGACGTGTGGGGCCAAGTGTTACATCACCCGGTGTATTGTTCTTTGGGAAGTTATTTTAAGAAGAACATGTTATTCTCGTAGGTTGTTATTCTCTGATTAAGATGAAGATAAGGTTTGTCATTAAATGATAGCTATGCACAGTACAAGATGGAATGTGTTTGGATTTACTGTTTTGCCTAATGCCCAGATTTACTGTAACAAATGAGATAAGAAAACGTAACCAGGGGTCCTGTACCAATGTGTCAGCAGCTTGTAGCTTGTTTTCTGATGCTTTGAACTTATTGAGCATTTGTGTGTTAAGAGGAATATTTGATCCCAGTGTTGATCTGTGAGCTGTATCCCAGTCTCCTTCTCCCATTTTTCTGTGAAACCTAGTTGGCATCTATCCCCACTGATCAGAAGAGAGGCGTATAGGCATGAAACGCCATGTGCACTGTGTCATCTGGTCATGCATAATTGTTCAAAGTCCGTCAATGTCCTATGGAGATGGTCTCTACCTCTTAATGTTGTGTGGTATGTCTTCACTTGATGGTATTGGAATTTGTCCAATTGGGTTGGTTGTCGGTCTGTGAGTATGTCTGTAAGTGGTTTGAGTGTGCCAGCAGAGCTCCATTGGTGCATATTGAAATGGCTCAAGAAAGAGGGAAAACAGGAGAGGGGACAGGGGACATCCCTGCCAAGTCCCGTTACGTCTGGGGAAAGGTTTAGTCAGGGCCCCGTTGATGCGGTTTCGTGCTGTCGGTATTGCATATAATGCTGAAAACCAAGATGAGGGCCGAATCCCATGTAGCGCAGCATTTTGGCAAGGTACGTCCATGCCACCTGGTCGAATACCTTTTAGCGTCAGTCGAGAGGAGCGCGGTCTCCCACCGCGAAGTCTTGGCGGCGTGAATGATGTTAAGTGCTCATATGGTATCATCCCTTGCTTCCCTGCCAGGGAGAAACTCAACTTGGTCAGGATGTACGAGGCCCGGCAGGGTCTGAGAGATCTTCTGGGCCAAGGCCTTGGTGAACAACTTCAGGTCTACATTCAGCAGCGGGATCGGGTGATAGCTGAAACAACTGGCTGGGTCTTTGCCTTCTTTGGGGATGACCGTGACAGTGGCTGCGATGGAAACCACTGGGAATTGTCCTCCTGCTTGTACAGAGTTCAGGCCTGGTAGGAGTCTCGGCAGGAGGGCGTCTCGGAATGTACGAAGGTAGGTAAGGGGTAGGCCATCCGGATCCGGGGCCCAATGTAGTTTTGAGTGTTTCAAGGTGGCGACAAGCTCCCTCAGTGTCAAGGGACGCTCCAAGTCTTCTGCGAGCTCTGGTGTATGTTTCCGGGAGATGTGCTGTGCCGGGTAGTCTGTTACCCTTTGTCGATGTGGCTACGCTGCAACTCAATCATGGTGAGGCGTTGTGCCCAGGTCTGTCTGTCCTAGTCCGTTCAGTAGTTATACTCTAAGCCCCAGTCACATATCCCCTTCTACAGGGTTCGGTCAGTATGCATGAATGCTACCAGTTTCCCATTTAGGTGGTTGGGAGTACATGGCATGGCGGGGCTGCAAGGGGGCACCGCCACAGGAGGTCCCTTTAGTGAGTCTCTTGGTCTATCCGACATGTCCGTGGGTTCTGGTATGGTGTCCTCCATCATACTTAGGGTCTGGGGTCATCCTAGGTGTTAGTCAGGGGTGTCCCTATCACTTAGGAACATGTAACATAACATCAACATTGCAAATATTCAGTAACTTTTAGCTTATGGCCCCTCTGCGACACAGTCGCCTGGTCCCCTGCACCTCCGCCGTGTATTTAGGTGCTGGAGTGGGGGAAAGGGACGTCAGGGGCGCTGCGGGCGTGCGACATCCTCCCCCCCAGCCTCAACAGCCCATCCCTGCAACCCTCCGTCCCCGGCCTTCTCTGCAAGGGTTCCCCAACATGCAGCCAGTGGCTGTTTCCCTCAGCCCGGCCTAGGCCAGGGTGCCAGGTGTGACAGTGTGTGGTTGAATTGCCCTAGTAGCGGGTCCCCTGTGTCCACAGCCAGATTCCCAGTCTACCATACTTTCCCCGCGGCCCCCCACCAACTCAAATCTGTATTCAGTCTTTTTTAGTAGCCACTTAGTCACAAACACTGGACAAAGTTAGCGTTCATAATTGCTTTTTGTATTTTTAACACACAAACAAATATAAATGCTAACTTTGGCCAGTGTTTGTGACTAAGTGGCTACTAAAAAAGACTGGATATACCCCATATGGAATACCCTGGGTTGTCTACTTTACAAAAAATATGTACATGCGAGGTGTGATTCAGAGATTTATGACAGATAACAGTGTCACTATTGATAAATTGTAAAAATATATCTTTTGAAACAGCAATGTCCTTCTTGTACTTATAGCCCTATAACTTGCAAAAAAAAAAAGCTAAGAACATGTTAATATTGGATATTTATAAACTCAGGACAAAATTTTGAAACTTTTTAGCTTGTGTCTTTTTTGGCGTTTGGAGATGCGTAACAGATTTTGGGGGTCAAAGTTATTTTTTTTTATTCTTTCATCATATTTTATAAAAAAAGTTATAGAAAATTATATGAAAATAATGGTATCTTTAGAAAGACCATTTAATGGCAAGAAAAACAGTATATAAAATGTGTAAGAGGAAAATATTACAGCTAAACACAAACACCGCAGAAATGTAAAATCAGCCCTGGTAAGAAAATTGAAAAAAACTGTCTGGACACTAAGGGGTTTATGTTTTATGTTTTATGTTTTAATGCTAGACGAGAGTCCCCAGTAGCCCATGAATTAATGAGGAAGCATTAGCCTGAGCAGCAATGGATAGCTGTGATTGGCTGAGAGTGTCAGCTGACAGCAGTCAGCCTATCGCAGTGCTCATTCCTGGTATGGCTACAAGGAAGTGTGTAATCTCCGTTTTATCTACACCTCCAATGGAGGCGGGGCTATGGCAAGCCAAGAACTCTCATTCAGTTTTAAACTTCTTGAAAATAGTATAACACTGAATGTAGGGACCGTGCCAGAGAACTCGAAGCACTAGACTTGTGCACTCAGTTTCAAACAAATGACTATTTGTCAGAATTTTGAGGGCGATTGGCGTTGTCTGAATTCCATTATTCAGAATTGTTATGTGACAGAATCGTGAAATTAGCAACAACAACAAAAAAAGGAATGAAAGATCCATTTTGTTTTGATTCATGATTCAGAGTTCCAGCCATTGCGCAAAAAAAAAAAAAACGTATAATTTATGGGGGAAAAAAATTGCTGATAAATGTTGATTTACAAATCAAGTGATAAGTGACTAATAGAGGGGAAAATGTGGAGCATTTAAAAAAAAATATCTATATTTATTTGGCATTTATTTATTTAATATATACTATATACATTTTTACTTTTGTTACTGCTCATCCTTTAAGTTTTCCGCCATTGGTCACTTGATTTGTGAATGAAATGGTGCAAAAATGTGCCTATCGGTACACTGCGAAGTATGTTCATAATATTTATATTTTCCAGTACGCTGATTGGCCCACTTTTGCTTAATCCGAAACATTTTCCTGAATTGTTCGATTGAGTGAAATTCACCTGAGCCAAAACACTAGAAGAGCAAATTTTGGGCCACATGAACTAAAGAAAAAGTAAAGGATTTTCCAGATAAATTGATTTGGCTGACCCGTATTTTTTACCAAGCACTATAACCAATTCACTGAGATAAAGTAGTAGTGCCTGGATAGTCTCTTTAAAATGATCATTGTGAAATTATCAGAAATCTAACTCTACAACAAGGCAGAATTTAATATTGCTTTGTAAAGTTTGGACAGTCTAAATAAATGATCCATTGGTTGCAGCTACTTACAACTCACTAGGTTATAAATGGAAGCTAGTGTAATTTGCTGGTACCCTGGCAATCCTCCACAACTGCTGGTTCAGGGAATAAACCTCTAAATGTAAAGCGCTGCGGAATTTGACGGCGCTCTATAAATATCAAAATAATAATAATAATAATTAATAAATGTGTATTATTGATTGGGCAGTTCTTGGAATATTTGGAAAATGCCAGGTACTATTTAGTTTCCGTGCTGTTTGCTCCCTTGCGTGGCTCACCGTTGTTCAGATGGTGGTGGGTGCTGACAATAACTGAGCACATCTCTAGACTGCAGCTGATAAGACGAGAGTGCTGTCAGCGCAATCTACTGTCACATATCTCCTGCTCTTATCATCAGAATTAAGGAAATGGCGCGTGGCAATGGTGCTACATTCATACGAGCAGAGTGTAATTATAATTTCCTTCATAAAGGCATTAGGGTGCACATCAGAATTCGATTTAGGGTTAGGGGACTATTAATATTTTGGGGGTACCTTTTTACTTGGATAATGGGGTATTTATGGGTTAGAATGCACACGAACCCCAATGGCATTTTTACAATCAAGGCACCAGTTGTGTTAGGGGCACATCTGCACGGCTCACTGTGGACTGCAACTGCCACCATTCTCAGCCAGAGGAAACGGTTCCATTAAAGTGTTGTCACAACAATACTTAAAGGGTTAGTCACTGAAGGGTGATTTTTTACAAAAGTGAATTTTAAATTTTAGGTTAAAAAAATACAGATATACAAAAATGGCCATTGGAGTGTTTCTAAAAAACCTCCAGTTATTTAAATGTGCATAGAGATTTGGGATAGTGCTCGAGTATGAATTAGGGCTGATGTGTACTATAGTCATTGCTGCCGCCCAGGAGTACTGGGAGTCTGAGCGCAGGACTTAGTTTCTGTATATTTGTATTTGCTTGGTATCACATTCACACAGCCATGTTACTATGTTGCGACCCCCCATATTGGGATAGTGCACACATATCTCTTTTCTTTTATAAAATGAATACCTGTAAATAGCCATATTAAATAATGATAATTTATGCTCTAATGGAGATCATGTTACTGCTTTTTATTCGTAGCTTTGATTACATTAGTTTAATAACGAAACTCAAATTCATTTAGGGAATCTGGATAACAGATAGTTTGTATCATACATCCCTGCAGACCCTGTACACACATATTATTATTATTTATATAGCGCCAGCAAATTCCGTAGCGCTGTACAATCCTCTAGTCTTCAACTCTTTCTGTTGTGTCTTTATACCCCACCTCTTCTAGACTGTAAGCTCTTGCACGCAGGGTCCTCATCAACATATTGTTCCTATAAGATTTTATATTTCTGAATAACCCCCTTTATAATATTGAAAAGCTCTGCGGATTATGTTGGCATTATATAAATGATGATAATAATGATAAAATGTGCCAAGCTTCTCTTCCTAAAGCTAAATTCCTAGCATTTTGTGGCCAGTCGCCCACGGGCATTTTCTCCTTGTCGCTGTACTGAGTGAGATTTCCCATTGAGCAGAAATAATACTGAGCTCGGATTGTCATCATATTGGTATCCCAGGGACATGATTTGGCTGCCTTTGCCTTGTCTAAGACTCCCCCTGTGGCTGTATTGAAAACTACAGTTACAGAAACCAGTAAAGGCAAAATCTTTTGGTAATTTATTCACTAAATTGGCATATGTGGAGAATTGCAATTGCAAACCAAAAAAATTATCCAAACTTAATTTTACCAGCACAACCAGTTGATCAATCCCCTTCCCATCAATCCAGCAAAATTGTCAGTTAAGCAAACAAACTCTTTAATCAGGAATTTCAGCCCATTACACACATGATAAAAATAAAGCAGGAAAAACAAAGCTTGTCTCATCTTATCTATAATACTATATTTAATAAGTAGACATACATTATATATTTAAAAATCAGATTCATGCTGCAAAGAGGTCTCATTCCGTGTAGACTACACATAGTATATGAAATAATAAAAACTGGTATATGTGGGATCAGAAAGCCTAAAATTGCACTTAAAGGAGCCTTATCACTGATGACAGCAACTCCCACTATTCTCAGCAAAAATAGTGTCAGGAGTTGCAATCTGATGAAGTTGCATTGAAGATATTGTCTAGCTACCTGGGACAACTTTTCTGGGCATGGGTGTAATTATAAATGAAAGATGAATACAAATACAGAAAGATAAGTCCTGCGCTCACTCCCATCATTCCTGGGTGGCAGCAACGACCACAATACACATCAGCCCCAATATATATAGAAAAACAAATTACCTGCGCTCTCTCCTTAATCCCTATGTATATTTAAACAAATGGAGGTCATTTAGTTACTCCAATGGCCATTGGAGGGAATGCCCGCCTGCCAACGTCAAGGCAGACCCCCCTAAGCAGGTCCTAACACTGACCCTTCACCTTGCTTCCTTGAGCTTCTGGCAAAGATATCTCCAATGAGACAGAGAGGGATATTTTTTTTATATACACCCCTATATACATATTAACCCTTAATAGGGAACACATGGGATGGGCGGCAGCATTGTAACCTAGCTGTGTGATACAAAAAGTGAATACAAATACAGAAAGATAAGTCCTGCACTCACTCCCATCATTCCTGGGCGGCAGCAACCACTGCAATACACATCAGCCCCAATATATATAATAAAAACCAAAGAAAAACAAGTTACCTGCGCTCTCTCTTAATCCCTATGTATATTTAAACAAATGGAGGTCATTTAGTTACTCCAATGGCCATTGGAAGGAATGCTCGTCTGCCAACGTCATAAATGAAAGATGGGTGAGCCTGATAGGAGTGGTAGTGTCCAGCAGCCAAATGTCTATCATTGGCGCAGACTCCAAGTAGCAGAAAGTTCCTAGTTTAGTCTATCACTGGTGGCACAATGTCTGACAATGTTTCAGGCATAGGTGGAATTATAGCCTCTACGTTGCTGGTGCCAGATTATTTATAGCCCTTCGCCCTGCAAGTGACAGCATCGGGATACATTGATATTTTATCATGTGTAGAATGTAGACAGCTAGTCACGGGTACACGGCACCGGTGATTGGTATCTCAGGCACTTGTAGCAGTGTGGGCACTGCCTTCCGGCTCTGTCTGTTACATAACAGAGTTGGTTAATCACCAAACTCCAAATTGTAGTGAATTCAAATCTGAATGAGAAATATTACTAATCTGAACAAGCCCCTAAGTCAGCTATCGTCAAAGCATCCGTCATATCATCCAATTTAGAGCTGAGTATTAATCTTGACAGTTTCAGATCCTATTAATTATTAAAATACAGACACGCATTTATTGCAGTTGATTAAAATCTACAGTAGGGCCCTTTTTCTGCAAATATATAGATTGCTTTAAATTGAGGATTATTAAATATGATTTTAATAAAATAAAGCAAAAGAAATATAATATAAAACTCGGCATTACGGAGCATAAATTAATTACCTAAAAATGGAAAACCAATCAACAAAATCTTAACTCAAACTATTCACCAAGAAATCATCATGGAGTACGACACAGCGTGTAATATTATTATACAAGTATGGTAATAACAAGGATTGATCATATAACATTATATTAATGTACTTAACAGGAAGCGGTCCATGTTAGAATTAGAATTGTATTGTGATCAAAATATCAGATTATAAGACAAAGATGACAATACACTGTGTTTTTGAAAGAACAATTTGCGGCAAAATGGGGTAAAAGGCCAAACTTCTTCGGAATGCCTGTATCTGGTCATTTTCCATCAAGCGGTCTTTGCATAAAAATACTTAAGACTCCACAAGTGACAATACCACTTTAAAAAACAAGCCCAGAAATTGATCAAAATGAAGACTCTCTTAATAATCAGATATATTACCAATAAATTAAATTCATAAGGATTCTTGTATTTCCCTAACCAATGTCTCCCTGACAATAAAATACATATAATATTAAGATGCATATATATGGGACTATTTTTTTTTCTTTTAGGAATTAATAATAATAAGTCCTTATATCAGACAGAATAAATTCAACAATCTCCACTGCCAACTCATCATGATGTCTGGTTTAGTGGATAAACCCCAAAGTTTTAATCTGTCTCCCTTTCTTTTCCAAATGAAAGCTTGTAAACGGAACTATCTGCAACACACAGTGTATTCATCATAATCTTTCAATTGGGGGTCAAATCCTGGGGAATAAAGTGTGGGAACTTACCCAAGATCCACCTCCCACCCCAAAAAAATAATATACACTCAAATGCATATATAAATGCGTACACATACACATGGACAGGTGCACACACACACACACTCAGACATACACATACACACAGAAACACACATACACTCACAGACACACACATACACTCATACACACACACACACACACACACACAGATACTCACAGACATACACACACATACTCAGACACATACACTCACAGACACACACACACTCAGACATACACATACACTCATACACACAGATACACACGTACATTCATACACACACACACACACACACAGATACTCACAGACACACACACACATACTCAGACACATACACATACACTCACAGACACACATACACTCACAGACACACGCACACATACACACACTCACAGACACAAACACACACACAAACACACACACTCACAGACGCACACACATACACTCACAGAAACACACAAATGATGATTATTTTTTAAAATTTAAAAATGTCCACCCAGCCTCCCTACCTGGAGAGCTGGCGTGGACCTGTCCCTGGGGTCCAGTGGGGCTTCAGTGCGGCGGGCGTCTGTCTCCCTGTCAGACGCGGCGAGGGAGCTGTGTTCTCTCTGCTCTGTTCCCTCTCGCCGCGCGGGCTGTCTACTGATGCTGGGAGCCACAATATGACATCATATTCCGGCTCTCGGCATCAGCAAACGCACGCGGGGAGCAGAGCAGAGAGAACACAGCTCCCTCGCCGCGTCTGACAGGGAAACAGCTGCCCGCCAGGGGGTCCATCAGGCCACCTCTTGGGTCCCCCCTTGACAGGGGGAACACGGGGGCCATTTTTTGCCGCCCCCTGAGTGTCTGCAGGAGCAATGGGAATGGCGTTCCTGCTGTAAAAAAAGTGCAGGAACCCCATTCCCACGCGTTCCTGCAGGACTCGAGCCCTGCTATCAATACAGTTTATATTACACTCTGCACTGAATAGAAACGTGTTCTGTTTATTAGGTAAAATACTATATTACATGGATGGGTAGGTAGAGATAAACAGCTCATTCTTTCAAACTGAACCCACCACTCATCACAAATTAATAGATATCACTGCTAGCTAGCACACTGGCAATTCATTTACCAGCCTCTAAATTAGGCCTGGACCACCTTTACTGGGAACAAAACCTGCAAACTGGATGTTTGACCAGTCTCTATCGCATGGACATCTAACCAGTCATTTTAATTTATCCATACTTACCTGTCTGTTGTCCCACCCTCCCTCCCTAATTTATGGTGCCAGGGTTGTTATTCTTTCTCCCATCACAGTGGTGGGGGCCTGATAGGAAAATTGGGGGTAGGTTGAATTGCTAGGTGGGATGGTTGGAGTTTGGTATGAATATTTACCTAGTTGAAGTTGGTATTGGTAGGTTGAGGTTCATTGGTGGCTTATAACGTGGTGGTGTAGAGGTATCTCGGTATTCCCCATCAATGTTAAATCAGTTGGTAAAAGATGGGCGTTGTGGCTGTGTTATGTGTTTATGTTATTTATTGTATTGTTATATTGATTAATTAATACCATTTATGGTTTGGGTCATTGTCAGTGGGTATAATGTTATTAAAGGGTTGGATGGATTTTCATGTCAATGTTGATTGTGTGTATTTGACAATGCTCTATTTGTGAATACATTTTTAAATTAAAACTGTGATAAATTTTATCCAACTTAAAATTGTGGGTTATTTTGGTTGAGGGATGACCATGCGCATGTCATTGGCTACATACATCTTTGCCACAATATAATTAAAGGATAATAAATGCAACACTGTTTATCTGCTGATGCTGCGTAATGATCCTCTTCACAGAGATATCAAATTTTTCTAATTAATAATACATAAATTAATAAATACATCTACCAGCTCGCTGTCTATTGTGAACTGTCATTGTCTGCCTTTCTGTGTGTTTGTCCCTGAATGTTTCCGTCACTGTCAGACTGTGTCCCATTGAGTTACAGCAGCAGGTGGCTAAAAGGAAGAGGGGAGGGCACAGACACAGTGACTAGGAAGGGGGATAACATTTGGGAAGTAGGAGAGACTTGGGGAACTGGTCGAGGAGGGTGGGGGGGGAAAAGGAGAGGCCTGAGAGAGAGAGAGAGAGAGAGAGAGAGAGAGAGAGAGAGAAACAGACTAAATGAAGGGGAAAACGATAGACAGAATCAGATACAAGACAGAGAAATGTAACAAGAAGAGAAATCTTTAGCGTGACAAGTCCCAGGCAGTGATTAGATACAAGAAATTCACAGTAATATTTAAAAAGTGCTCATGTAAAAAGGGGCTAAAGGGGCAAATATATTACGAACAAAGAAATAAAGAAAATCTAAAAGCAAGAGCGGACAGCAAGAACGACAGAGAAGTTTCACGAACGCGAGATGTGTGGATTTTCAGGGTGAGTGTCTGAAGTGAACCTCATTCCCATTAAAGGATCGGTCCACGTGTTAGATCAGCTGATATAACCTATAGGATCCTTACGGACCACGAGCCTACAGACGTTCACACTGTAACTCATCACATCGATTGCTTTAAGGTTCGTCCAAGAGAAGATCTTAAAACTTTAAAGAAAGTTCTTAGGATTATATTGGGCATTGCGGACGACATAAAGGAAGAATTTACGAGAGAAGGAGATCGCAAAGCATCGTTAATTGTGAGTAAACTTTCCTTTTGATTCGTGAAATTCTTCTCTGCGTAAATATCTGTAAAGCTCTTTATGGGTTTAATGTTTTTACTTTACAAGACAGGTGATGCTGTGTGTCCCGTTCATGTTAACGGTGTGATCGCCAGATCCAGCATATGTTCCTGGATATATACAGGACTTTATTTACTAACATGAGAATTCAGAGTGGTTTTCAAATTTAAGGCCATAGCTGATTTAGAGAATTTTTTTACCTTAAAGTTGAAATTCACTTTGAATTCTTACTTCGCTAAATAACTTTGGTAGACTTTTCTGGATGATTGAATAAGTCATGGGAATTGTCACCCTGTCGTATGCATGGTTCATATGCTGCAGGAGGGAAACCAGTGAATTAACAATGGAGGACACAGAACAAACTGCCTGATCAGTTAATACATTTCCCTTCTACAGCATATGATTTCTACATACAGCATGGCAGCCCTTTTCACACGCTCCCCAACAGCCTGAAATTGTGATGATATATATGAAGCCTGGATTATCTGGTAGCCAGACATAGGTACATTGCTATTAGAGGTATTGCGTTCTGATGGGTGTGATATCTGCTATCTATCTTACTAACTCCTCGTCTCTCTAATATGTCAATAACGCATTTCTATAAAATGTCCCTGGATTTCCTTGTGTATTGAATTTATATTAAAGCATTTAGTCATTAACCCCTTAAGGACACATGACATGTGTGACATGTCATGATTCCCTTTTATTCCAGAAGTTTGGTCCTTAAGGGGTTAAATAGTGACAAAGCTATTCAGTAAAGTGGGAACTGTTGGAAACTCTAAGTAAATGTCCAATTTTAGGGCAAAATAATGCAAAATAGGGCAAAATAGCTGACTTGGAGAACTATTCCAGTTCCAATACGGTGATCTAAAATGTTACATTCTCTGGCAATTCACATTATAGTAAATAACTCTGTGTGCTGTGGTAATCCTATATTACATACATATATACGTACCTTCATTTTTATTCCAATAAAGCAGAACTAGAGAATATTTCTTCATATGAGAAATCTCCTTCTTTACATTTTATTTATAGTTTAATCTCTATTCCAAAAGCAATGTACACCAAAAATAACCCATATAATGACGTTTCCCATGGCCGTTTGACTTGTGAAATGTATTTCTTATGATCTATTAAAAAAATCTACAAAATCTATTAGGCCACAATAGAAACCGCTGCGGAGCAAGTTCTGAATTACCCACTTATTCCTAATTATGATAACGTTGCTCGAACATGCTATATAACCAAGCGTCTGATTAATTTACACACGCTTACCCCAAGGCTGCTACCTTATCAGACGTTATAAAAAACACAAACAAACAAACAAACAAGATGGCTGCCCTCAGTGGTTGTTTTTCTGGTAATCTTACAAATGGATATCAAAAGATTTCAATAGAATATGCAGAGCGGAATTGTTTCAGCAACTTCACATACCGGTATTTATCTATTTACACTTATTAATTTAACATTTTATTTTGAGGCGTAATTCAACATTAACCCTTTGCCTGCATAATGTATTGCTAAGGATTTATTTAATGGATAATCCGCGCAGTAAGCGTGGCCCCCTGCCCTGTACGGGGGCTGGTTTTAATTTTTCGTTAGGCCAATCTCTTATTATAATTATTAAGTTTTAGACAGACTCCCCTGTCAATAGGAAGTACGGCCGTAAAGCACAGTCCGCTATTGCCAGCCCATGAGAAATCATAAGGTACAGTGCTTCTCATTCCTAGTAACTTGTTTATCATGGAGCAGGGCTAGGTAAAATCTATTAAAGGGACACTCTGGGGACCATAACAACTTAATTGGAATGAAGTTGGCATGGTGCGGGAATGTCTCTGGGTGCTTGCTTACCTCATGGAGTTAAACCGTTAATAAAGGGTTTAACCCCAAAATGCTGAATCTGCCACCCTATCGTTCTGACCATCTCTTTTGGCCACAGTCCGAGGTTTGAATCAGGAAGCCTTGGACCAGGGCCCGCTGAGAGCATCAGCTAATGCACTAATCTGTCAGTAGGTCCCCATTCACAAAACGGCTTGAAAATGTAAGTATTGAAAAACGTAAGTATGACACTCTCAGCCTATAAACGGTGCCCCGCGGCTTCCTGATACAGACTGCGGCAGAAGGAGATGGGCTGAGGGATCGCGTGCCGGATTCAGCACTTTGGAGTTAAACCATTCATTGATGGTTTAACCCCTTAAAGTAAGCCAGAGCCCGAAGATGTTGTGGCACCATAACAACATCATACCAATAAGGCTGTTACGGCTTGGAGTGTTCCTTTCAAGAATCAATGGAAACTTTAGCACGTTATTTACTAAACTGGGAATGGTTGGTAATTTACCAGGGAATAACAAATGTGAAGCCAAAATGGCTGCACTGCAAAATTAGAAAATTTGGAGAATTGTCCCATAAATTCTCTGACTACTCGCTAACAATTCAGGGTTTAGTGAATAAACCTAGTCAGTCTCTGCTCCTGAGCTTTGCCATTTGTATAAATCAGTCTGTACTTCTATGCACATGAGGCAGACAAATATCAAATTATTTAAATAAATTAATAAATAAAAGTTTCTTGCGTGTTTTTGATACATGGTAGCCATTACATCCTGAAAATGGCGGCCTGAGGTTTTCTTTTTGCTACCAGAGTACCAGCTAAACATTTTTATCATTTTTTGGGGGCGCTTCATTGATTGTAAATGCGTTTTTCAGGGGGACGGGTCCACGTTTAGATCATTTTTCGGATTTTGGGCAGTTGTCATGCTGGGTTTCAGCAATTGTCTCTCCAGCTGTTGTTGGGTTAGATGCTGGTTAGACATGATGGATGCAGGGAGCGTCCCAGCAGCTGCTGTTTGGCCTATCCCTGCTTTCAGCCTGCTTAGTCAGATTGAAGAATTGCAGTTACTGCCTCAGCGCTATGGGAGTTGCACTCTGTTCTACATAGTCCTGTCTCCGAAGTTGTGCAATACTGATGGGAGTTGCAGTTTTTCCTGGCTGCCTGAACTGAGTGATTTTCTTAAAAAAGAATGAGTTCAACAATGATGCCTAATGCCTAATCCCTACAGAGACTGCAGATATTGCTGCCATAACTCCCATCACTCTAGCTGAATGAAAAACAAACACCCACATATAGCAATACTTCTTTACTTTGTTTATAATTTAATTTAAACATTTCTTGCGTTGAACACTGACTTTGTAAACATTTTTGCCAAAACCACAAAAATATCCCCGTCTGCAGGCGGCAGGGGCTGACTGCAGATGGTGAAGTATGAAGATGAATTAGGAATGCACACATTATTTCCCATACCAAGTGTCTGCATTCCTTAACCCATTCCCACAATCCCCACGCTATAGTCCCTAAACCGTATCATAGAAAGGAAGAGATAAAGTGGAGGTCGACAGATGTATGGGAATATCCTTAGGTTTGCAGATGATGCTTTTGCTATTTATGTGGGTGACGCAGTAGAACCCACCATTTTGGTACATGTACTTGCCACCATAAATCTCAACAAGGCTAACTGGAGTATCCTACTGATATATAATGAAGAACCCCCTGAGTTAATTAGTACTGACACTTTTGGGGTAGACAGGCACTTTTTTACATCGTATATTCTTTCCCAAATAGGCCAAAAATTATTATTGTGCTTCACGATTTAGTGACTGGTTTCATCTCTCTGCGCAGGCCTCAAACTGGCCTACTTCATGGGGTTAAAAAGAGCGGTTTCAATGCCTTTTGAAGATGAAATATTGCATTATTATTTACTAATCTGTAAACTGATGGGGATTTTTCCAAGTATTGCAAACAGGCTGATTTTGGAGAATTTTTCCACTTTGACTATTTTTGTAAAATTATCGATTTCAGGCGTAACGTAAATGAAGAGAAAATGGAATGGAATAATGGAAGGACAAAGCTTTTGTGTCAGCCCAACTCTAAACACCCTCAGTCAGCCGCTCGTTTGTCTCTTGTGCAAAACAAAACCTGCTCCAGCTCACTGAGAGTGCTGGGAGTTAGCTTCTCCAATCTGCCTTTAGTGTTTTTTCTTTATCTTTCATCTTTCCTTTAAACTCTCCCCCCATACATTTGTCATTTCCCCTCTTCTCACCCAGCATGCTTTGCTGCTACGTGATCGCCCCCCATTTTCCCATCACTTGTCGTTATCCACGGCGCACCATGCCCAGGCCAGCCTTCGAGTTCTCTCTCTCATTTCTTCTGCCATTCTCTCTTCCCCCTCTTACTATCTTTCTCAGACTCACAATCTCCCCATTGTTCCCTCTTTCTTTTATTCCTGGCAGCTGTCCTGCCAGCCCCCCTGTGCCGGCCTGCACACCAGGCAGCTGATATCCCACATGCCCCTCCCCAACCACAGTTGACCCCCCATTACACAGAGTCTGGACCCTCTGGCTAGCTGGGGTGGGGGGCTCTCGGACAGGTGTTGGGGATAAGCGGTGCACAATGTACAGGATGCACACATTACACTATGTACACATCAATTAATAATCTAAGCCTGGCATCCTCTGAGAGAGGGGGAGGGAGTGCCGGACTCCATTTTGTCGCTTCTACATGCTGTGTGGCAGTACATGAAGAATGCTGCCTTGTAATAAATAGCATTACTAAAAGGGAATCTAATGTATACATTAACACCGTCGCCTTGGGATTGATTTTCATCTATTTGTATTTTTTATTTTTTTACATTTTATTATTATTTATTTTTATTTTTATTTTAAGCCAGGTTCCGAATGTTATTTTTTCAGGGGGCACACCCTATTGTAATGTGCTGCACACGCCTGTGGCACACATATGTACCTACACAAACACACGCCCCCTCCTCCCCCGTCACGGATCTCACAAACAGCTGGGGGACACGGATCCAGTTTCATTTATGCCAGAAGTGATTGCTCCCAACAGGAATTTCTGTCATGTGCGCACATGTGTGCGAGAGACATACTCTGGGTGCGTGTGTCATGCTCGGTGTTTGTATGTTACGCAATGTGTTTGTTGGTTTATAACATGCATGTATAATAAAAATATGTCTGTTATTTGCGTATGTTTTTCTTTATATTCGCTTGTTAATAAAGAAACGACATGTATTGCGGGACGACACATTGCACAAATAATCGATAACACTTCACATCGACACACATGGTGACAAATCAACATAGAGCACTACACATGCAGATAACTATTGCACTCCCATCACTCTCAGTCAGAGGTAGCCTTTGGTAAATGTTGGCTCTCTGGCTGCAGGAAACTGTCTGTCGCTCTGTCTATCTGTCTGTTTTATAGAAGAGCAAACAAGTCCCTGTTAGCTTGAAGGTGGCAAACTTAGTGTGATGATATTTCCTCACGGTGACAAGTTGGTATTTAGAATGTTAGCCTTGCAGCCTACATAGGAATAGGGTACAAACTCCTCCTGGCAATTGGCCGCAAATGGTTAATTCTGAGAAAAAGATCTGGAGAAATCCAACAGGGAAGAGGTTAATGGGGTTAATATTCTACTGAAAGTCACCGACAAGCAAAGGGTTATTGGGGAAGTAACACTCATGGTTTATTGGTAAAAAAAAATAAAATCAAACTTTTTGTCAGAGCTCCAGCAGGTTGAGGGTTAAAAGGTTTGAGTGGCTCTGCAGGATACTAACAAGCTACAGTCTTGGTGTCTTTTATCTTTTTATTACCAAAACCACCTGAATTTAATCCACCTACCCCCCCTCAGAGCTCACACACTGTCTCTCTCTTTCTCTGCTACCTTCTCTTTCCACCTCCTCCTCGTTCTGCGCTTCTCACCCTAATCTGTGACATTTCACAAGGAGCCGACACATTGTATCCGCTCATATAACATGTTCTTGATTTGCTATGCATTCTGGGCACCGATTCCCAAATCTGGATTTGTGGTAACATCTCCCGTTCCGTTGCGTTTTCATTTATAGCATAGTCAGATAATGAGTTTTCTGAAATATTGCTAAATAAATAATTCGCACACGGGCACTTGTGAAAGTCACACTGAGATAGCAAGATGTAAAATGTGCGAAGAGATTGCTCCCAATGAAATACTGAGCATTCACAGCTTGGGAGGCTGAGTTACAATGTAATATTTAAATAGATTGAAGTTCTAGTGACGTTGCAGTCGTATGACCCCACCGTCATATAATGTCACAAAAAAGGGCCCTTGTGTAAGGTACGCCTGGGATACTGATGCTGTAATGACATGGGATTCACCATGCTTTGGATGTACGTAACCGTACTAACCCTAACCATAACCACCTGAAACCTTTATTTATTACTGTCATTTATAAAGCACCAGCATATTCTGCAGCGCTGTACAATTGGGAATAAGATAATACAATATAAATAGAGCCCTGCCAATGAGCTTACAATCCATCTTGGAGCAAACGGCTGTACCTCACATTGTAATGGCTGTACGTCATGTTATAATGCTACCCCAAACCTAAATCCACCAGCTCTAACCGTACATTTTTTGAGGTTCAAGTATAGTGTCATTGGAATGTTGCCCAATTTAACAATATCCAATTTTCTTTTTTATTGTATTTGATTATTGTTTTTGCTTATTGGGTACAGAATTATTTTTTCTTTCAAAGTAACTTGAATTTTTCATGGCAACATTACTTAGGTGCACTGTGCCCAGCAAACAATACGAGCTGGTAGTAAGAGGCTTGTAACCAATTATTACACCACCACCAGCCAATATCATTAATTACAAGAAATATGGATCTATAGATTCGAGCAGATTGCTACAGGTTTCCATCTAACTGTCTGACCGTCTGTTATGATCAATTGAATTATTTTTTTTAATTTAGCGGAGTAGGAAGCGATCTGTATATAAAGACGTTTCCCAGCCAAACACTGTAAACAAACTGGTTACTCCCAGATTCCAGATTGGTGCTGTGTCAATCAAATCGTCATTTGTCAAATTTGATGTTTTTCTAATTGTCACTTGTCTACTTGGGATGATCACAAGTCCACTTGAGCCTCATCATCCTTTACTGAAATGAAAATAAAATAAACAAATGTGTAGTAACCTAGGTACACAATGGTATGTGGTGTCACTCCATACAACGAGACGTACATGTCATTGTAAGGGTTGATTATTTGTGTGTGTGTGAGATTTCTATTTCCTAGAATCAGTCTGGCCATTTTCTTTCTCTCACCTACAGAATGGTCACTCATTTAATGTTTTTTTTTTATTTTTATTTTTATTGAAACAGCAGATACGTGCGAAAGCTTATACTATGCATGATTCAAATGTAATTATAGCTATACTCATCACTTTGTGTATCCAGTGCTGAATTTGCTGTCGCTATATTAATAAATTATAATATTAAGCAGATCTTAAAAGATAGCAATTAAACACAAGATAAAAAGCCAGGAAATTCTTTTAAACACTTGTCTTATTTACCGAGGCCTCGCCAATGTGTACCCTGCCTACCCTGCTTCTGTGTACCCTGCCTCTGTGTACCCTGCCTCTGTGTACACAATAGTGAGAAGCAAACACGACCAGTGCTGGTTTAGTTCTGTGACATGCTCATATGTACTTTTCAGTGTACGAGGGAAATACACAATAGACACAAAATATAACAAAATATTTATTTAAATGTTATTCCTGATCTCTGGAGAAAAAATTGAGTATTTCAAAATAATGCTGTAGTTTTGATTTTTTTCTATAAGAATTCTAGAGAAAAAAATACATTGTATCCACCAAGGGGTATGCACTATTCATTCTGTGACTCAAAAATTATTACTTGCACCAAAACATTATCTTCTAGGTTCCCGAACTAAGACATGCGACTTGTCACACAGCTATACAGACTTCACAGTGCACAGAGCACCTCGGAAGTGCATATTCTGAAAATGCTCAGGATTGAGCCTGCACCCTGCTTCTTGGGGACACCAGATAAATTATCTGGGACAATAGGATAGGGAGTCCAAGACGTATCTGCCTTTAATTATACGCGAAGTCTGTAATTTTGCTATTTAGTGTATCTATTCTGAATCTGGCAGCAGAGGGCGTCTGATTACACCTGATAATTAACCTTTAAATATTGTGCCCATAACTCTATCCATGATATTGTACTGGCAGTCTGGCTAGCTGTAGGTAGGTTAGCCGTGACATACTTCCCAACATTTTAAATAAACAAAGACGACTATTTTCACTTTAGGGATGTTATGGGGGGGGGGGGAGGTGGAGCTCTGCTATACACTCAGACACATTACTGGGAGTATTATTGCTGCGGAGCTCTGTTAAACACTCAGACACATTACTTGGAGTATTATTGCTGCGGAGCTCTGTTATCTCTGTTATACACTCAGACATATTACTGGGAGTATTATTGCTGTGGAGCTCTGTTATACACTCAGACATTACTGGGAGTATTATTGCTGTGGAGCTCTGTTATACACTCAGACACATTACTGGGAGTATTATTGCTGTGGAGCTCTGTTATACACTCAGACACATTACTGGGAGTATTATTGCTGTGGAGCTCTGTTATATACCCAGACACATTACTGGGAGTATTATTGCTGTGGAGCTCTGTTATACACTCAGACACATTACTGGGAGTATTATTGCTGCGGAGCTCTGTTAAACACTCAGACACATTACTTGGAGTATTATTGCTGCGGAGCTCTGTTATCTCTGTTATACACTCAGACATATTACTGGGAGTATTATTGCTGTGGAGCTCTGTTATACACTCAGACACATTACTGGGAGTATTATTGCTGTGGAGCTCTGTTATACACTCAGACACATTACTGAGAGTATTATTGCTTTGGAGCTCTGTTAGACAGCCAGACACATTATTGGGAGTATTATTGCTGTGGAGCTCTGTTATACACTCAGACACATTACTGGGAGTATTATTGCTGTGGAGCTCTGTTATACACTCAGACACATTACTGGGAGTATTATTGCTCTGGAGCTCTGTTAAACACTCAGACACATTACTGGGAGTATTATTGCTATGGAGCTCTGTTATACACTCAGACACATTACTGGGAGTATTATTGCTGTGGCGCTCTGTTATACACTCAGACACGTTACTGGGAGTATTATTGCTGTGGAGCTCTGTTATAGACTCACACACACTACTGGGAGTATTATCGCTGTGGAGCTCCGTTATACCCTCAGACACATTACAGGGAGTATTATTGCTGTGGAGCTCTGTTATACACTCAGACACATTACTGGGAGTATTATTACTGTGGAGCTCTGTTATAAGTTCAGACACATTACTGGGAGTATTATTGCTGTGGAGCTCTGTTAAACACTCAGACACATTACTGGGAGTATTATTGCTGTGGAGCTCTGTTATAAGTTCAGACACATTACTGGGAGTATTATTGCTGTGGAGCTCTGTTAAACACTCAGACACATTACTGGGAGTATTATTGCTGTGGAGCTCTGTTATACACTCAGACACATTACTGGGAGTATTATTGCTGTGGAGCTCTGTTATACACTCAGACACATTACTGGGAGTATTATTGCTGTGGAGCTCTGTTATACACTCAGACACAATACTGGGAGTATTATAGCTGTGGAGTTCTGTCATACACTCAGACACATTACTGGGAGTATTATTGCTGTGGAGCTCTGTTATACACTCAGACACAATACTGGGAGTATTATTGCTGTGGAGCTCTGTTATACACTCAGACACATTACTGGGAGTATTATTGCTGTGGGGCTCTGTTATACACTCAGACACATTACTGGGAGTATTATTACTGTGGAGCTCTGTTACACAATCAGACACATTACTGGGAGTATTATTGCTGTGGAGCTCTGTTATACACCCAGACACATTACTGGGAGTATTATTGCTGTGGAGCTCTGTCATACACTCAGACACATTACTGGGAGTATTATTGCTGTGGAGCTCTGTCATACACTCAGACACATTACTGGGAGTATTATTGCTGTGGAGCTCTGTTATACACTCAGACACATTACTGGGAGTATTATTGCTGTGGAGCTCTGTTATACACTCCGACACATTACTGGGAGTATTATTGCTGTGGAGCTCTGTTATACACTCAGACACATTACTGGGAGTATTATAGCTGTGGAGCTCTGTCATACACTCAGACACATTACTGGGAGTATTATTGCTGTGGAGCTCTGTCATACACTCAGACACATTACTGGGAGTATTATTGCTGTGGAGCTCTGTTATACATTCAGACACATTACTGGGAGCATTATTACTGTGGAGCTCTGTTTATACACTCAGACACATTACTGGGAGTATTATTGCTGTGGAGCTCTGTTATACACTCAGACACATTACTGGGAGTATTATTACTGTGGAGCTCTGTTTATACACTCAGACACATTACTGGGAGTATTATTGCTGTGGAGCTCTGTCATACACTCAGACACATTACTGGGAGTATTATTGCTGTGGGGCTCTGTCATACATTTAGACACATTACTGGCAGTATTATTGCTGTGGAGCTCTGTTATACACTCAGACACATTACTGGGAGTATTATTGCTGTGGAGCTCTGTTATACACTCAGACACATTACTGGGAGTATTATTGCTATGGATCTCTGTTATACACTCAGACACATTACTGGGAGTATTATTGCTATGGATCTCTGTTATACACTCAGACACATTACTGGGAGTATTATTGCTGTGGAGCTCTGTTATACACTCAGACACATTACTGGGAGTATTATTACTGTGGAGCTCTGTTATACACTCAGACACATTACTGGGAGTATTATTACTGTGGAGCTCTGTTATACGCTCAGACACATTACTGGGAGTATTATTGCTGTGGAGCTCTGTCATACGCTCAGACACATTACTTATTGCTGTGGAGCTCTGTTATACACTCAGACACATTACTGGGAGTATTATTACTGTGGAGCTCTGTTATACACTCAGACACACTAACAATACAGAGCCTCTAGAAAAGAGGGACATTATGATAGAAAAGAGGGACAGAGGGAGTTGGGCCCAAAATAGGGACTGTCCATTCTAAATAGGGACACTTGGGAGGTATGCTGTGGGCAGGATGGGCTAGCTATTGTAAAATTACTGGCAGCCTCATATTTGGGACCAGCAGAGAATTTGCATGTTTAAGATATCTGTTTTAGTGTATACATTTAACTGATGTATCACTTCAGACGAACCAAATATTATCAAGGTGCACAAATCCCCGTTTTCTTGTATCCTGGCCTATCCTGTTCCGTTCTTTTAATTAAAATAATAATGGAAAATTGTGGCAATTTTCATTAATAAGATTATTATGACACAAATATCAAGTTTAGTAAATATAGATTTTGTACATACTGTGGGCCGATTTAATAACAAAAGACATTCATTAAAACATATATGAAATAAAATGGCTGTTTTTTAATTTAGTCCTCTTGCATGCACAGCTTTACGTTTAAAAACATTCTGTCCCCTGTAACAAAAATGTTTAAAAAGCAGCGTAACAGTCAGAATTATGTAACTCCCTGGGACAAACACCGTCTAATGAGAAACTTGCTTGAAACAGCCAAGAACGTTAAACCTGCCTTAGTAGGTGTGACGCAGGGGAATAAACCCCTCTTATTATTTAACCATCCCCACGCCTGCTCTAAGCCTTATATAATCTGTGTCTGCCAGAGGTTAGAACAGCAAAGTACTGAGGGACCAGCCCATTAATAATATACAGAATGCCAAAGTTAGGGGTTCACTCAACCCCCAATAAAGCCAGAAGAAGGGATCCAGAATGTCCGCTGTGAAACAGCCGGGAGATATGTGACTTTGAATTCGTCCCCCAACCTGCTTGCAGTGGGTGACAGTGACGATACTGATGGGATGGGTAACTGCAGGCCTCCCAAATAAAACAGAAGGATTTATGAATTTGTCCCCTCCAACAATATGAAGCCTGATCAGGAATCTTTCATAACCAAGGAAGATGTGTTTTATTACCTTATGTCTTCCTCACCACATATGTGCTAGGTGTTTATAACTATGGGTGTTCTGTGCATCTGCCAATGGCATGATTGGCCAGGGGGTGACAAGCCCCATCACCAGGCCAGTTAAAGGATCAGGACATACCCAGTCCTATTCTTTCAAAATGCTCGTCCGCCTTTGCTCTTGCCTTGTGTCAAGCAGGTTTTGTGTCCCGGCAGATAATTGTGATAAAAACATTACACAAATCTCTGTCAATGTGCATGCGCAGCTCCCTCGTGTCTCCACAGTCAGGGACACATTGTAGCAGACAGAGGCCTATATAACTAATCTTGTGTTGGTTTCTGCTTCCTTGTATTGTTGTGTTGTTTTTGAATTCCTGTGGTGACCCCACTCACATCCTGTTCTCCAGGCTCTGACATTGGCTTGTTAACTGATTCCCCTGTGTGCCACCTGCACTGGCCACTGACTGGTCCGTTTACTGTCTGCATTTCCTTATTCTCATTCCCGACTAGTCTTGTATTTCCTATCCTTTTATTAATGTGGCTTTTTTCTGGAGTTAAATTACTTTCTGACAATATTATTTTACACTAGTGATTCTTAAGCCGGTTCTCATGACCCTACAGTCCAGACTTTGTCCGTGTCTCCATTGAAAACGAAACATAAATCCTGGACTGTTACAGGGCCGTAAGAGCTGATTTTGACAAACACTGGTTTAGGCCATTTCTTTTACCTCTGTTTCTCACCTTTTCTACCAAGCCGCATGGTCAGCTAATGGTAACGTACTCCGACCCACCTCAAACATGGCAGCTGAATATTATAGTAATAGACATCAATTATTGATATTTTATTACCTTTAGAAAATAAAAATAACTTTAAATATGTTTCCACTGTGGTCACAGACGCCTGTTACTTCCCTGTGTGAAGATAATGATGCCTTTGTTTGATAAGTACAGGATATTATAAGTATCAAACTAATTTCTTTGACAAGTTTTTACTATTTTTAATTAAAATTCGAGAAGATAATAATTAACAATAAGTTGGTGTGAGTGAAGGTAGGGACTTTGTTGATTTTTCATCAAGAGGAAAATTTGGGCAAAGGGGGATGAGGGGCAATCTCTTTGCAGGATGATGACACATAACCAGGGCATATTGCAGGGGGAGGCAACCTCCGGCACTTCTGATGCTGTGGACTACATCTCCCATAATGCTCTCACAGCTATAATCAGGGAAGATGTAGTTCACAACGTTTTGAGTGCCAGCATTTATCTACCCCTGGCATAGGGCATGCTGTAGTCCTATAATAATTTATTATTAATAATAATAATAATTGGATTATATCATATTGAAATGATTCTTTGGTATAAATGGCCAAGAGGCTTGTGAACCCCTGGCCGTTGTGACTATAACAGAGGTAGGTACATAAAGTTCTCAATTACTTCTATTGGTGTATACATTGAAACACATAAAGGGGAGGAATACATGGGGTCCCGGGTACCCCAACATTTCAGATTATTTGTTAATTATAATTATTGTTATGTGGTGTAAGTTCGTTAATGTAGGGTATGTGTATTGGCCATCAAACCCGCTCCCAATACTGGGCTCTTTTTCTGTGGGTTGATTAAATTCCTTAGAAATTCCTTAGATTTCTATAGTAAAAAAAAAAGTGTTTTTACAAAAAAAAGAAAAAACATTTTGGGTCAATTTATAAGGAGCCCAAAGAATGACGGAAGGAGTTAACTATAGGAGAGTAAAAGGGAGGAGGGAGACAGAGAGACAAGTGAATTCTGAGGGGGGGAGGAATTACATGGAGTGGGTGGGGAGAGGTACTTTGTTTGAGAGAAAGAGTTCAGTTCCTGGATGTCCCAGGAGAGAGAGTCCAGGATATGCGAGCTCCTTAGTCCAGCCTAGGCCCAGCCCACAGGTGAGTGAGTCAGTTCTCAGTTGCAGCCTGCAAGGTAAAGGTTAGAATAATAACTATTGGTATGGGGGAGCAGGGGGGGAGGAGGGAAGCTGGGACAATAGAGGACCTGGGGTACAGGTCATGGGGAGCATGCCTGAGATGGGACCAGGAGCTACAGCAAGGGGAGAGATCTTCACAGAGACAGACAAAGGGCTGGCCAGGGTCTCAGGGTGCTGGGCAGGTGTTTACGCAGTGTCCAGCGTAGGGTTGTAGGATTCACCTGGCTTTACTGGACACATATCAACTGTAGATTTTTATGGGCTGCACATGAAAAGTACAACCGTGCAGTATGTAGGCGTCAAATGCTGCAAGAAAAAAATTAGTGCATTTGTAAAAAAAGAAATTCTGAATTAATGAGGTTGAATAGTTACTTAATTTTTCTTTAGCACCGTATGAATGCTGCGTACAGCAGTGATGCAGGGTTTTTTTTAACTTGCCACTTGAAGAAGTGCTTTGTGTCCTGAAAATCAAGGTGGATCTGACAGCCCCAGTGCAGCGGGGAGGAGATGGGGGGGAAAGTGACACATTAAGTGGATTATTTGCAAAGAGACGCCGCGTTGGTTCCCAGTAGGCTGCGCTTTCTCCCCTGACATGTCTCTGCTTGTGAGCTATGCAGGGAAAGAGAAAATCTGTCTTTGTTATAGACTACCAGGCAAGAACTGAAAGTGCTATTCACAAAACTGTGCCCCCACAACACTGTAATTTTCTGCTGTGCCAACCCTTGTGTTGCCAAGATGCCTGTTACTGTCTGACTGATGCCAAATATTCTAATCTCACTGTACCAGATTTAAAGTGCAAGGATCTGCTTGCCCACCACTGCCCAATCTACATATGGCACGCTCTGTACCTTCCTCTACCTCTATAGAAATATTTACTACATGGCGATCTGGGAAATATAATATATCAGTGTTCAGTTATTTATCATTTGATTACGTCATAGCAGCAATCTTGGCATTCCTGTTTGCTAAGTCACTGTGCCCGTTTTACAGCCAGTTTATTGTGCATTATTTGTCAGCAAGCTGTGCGGTTTCTGGGTTCTGTGTGGTGGCACGCTTGATTGAGTCCACTTCTTTGTTAACGAGCTGTGCCCGTCTTGCCGGTTGCGAGTTCTTTATTAATCAGAATGTGCCAGTCTCTGTATCATTCCTTGTGCCAGTCTTGATTGTGTCCAGTTCGTTATTTGCAAGCTGTGCCAGGATTAGCTGTGCTACGGTTAATAGATCAGCTAAACCTGTATGTGCCAGGCTATGCACCCATGACTTGTGCCAAGCTCTGTATATTCACTCAGCCGGGATGGCTTAATGTTACACAGTTTGTATTTACATTTATCACTCTGTGTCAATCCTGGGCAGGTTTCTCTCAAGCGGTTTTCAGTTGGTGCCCAAGTGTTGTATGAGTTGCAGTTGGACAGTATTCAAAGAAATACTTGGTGCTTCCTTCTGCAAGTGCCATATTCTGCTTTTGGGATATTACATAGCACTCACATGGTAGAAATTCCTGAATGTATAAATAATGTTTATTGTGGACATATTCTATAATTTTTCTCCTTTTTTTTTTTTTTTTTTTGCAGTTAAGAACATGAAGCCTTTCTCCATTGGGCGTCACTGACAGAAATGAAAATGGCTTGGGCAACAAAGATGGCGTCTTATGTTCTCTCCCTCTTTCTGTTCCTTGCCCCCTGCACCGCTGAGCCAGACGCCCATTTTGATCCATGTGAGTTACAGATAGGGCGCCTGGTGCTTCCCTGGGCAAGACACAGAGTTGGAAGCATTGAGGCTGGAATGAGACCATGTAGTGGACCCTTCCCTAAGACCCGATGGTTTTTACATAAATCTGGCTTTAAAAATACTATGGGAGCATTGGATAAAATTAGAAGCATTTTCTGGACCTTGAGTCTGGGATGGTCAGGTCTCCATTGACTTCAGTGTCGACTCAACCAAGAAGCACAACTTAGGGAAAACCTGTTATACCGACCCAGGGGGACAATGGGTTTCCCCTACAGTTTAATCGCACTTTGTACCACTTGCATTGAAATTGCTGGGTTGAGGTTACTAAGGCAACCAGACCACTTTATCAAGATAGTTGGGTTCTGCCATTTCTACCAACTTGTTGGGTTTTCACTGAGAATTTTCACAACTGTGGCCCATAACATGGGGTTTTAGTGAGTAAACCTAGGGGCAGGGCTAATCCAGGAATATGGCCTCCTATCCTCAGTATTGGCACTAGGGTATGGGATTGGCCTCTTTAGGGTGGCACTGGGCACAGCATATCCAAGCCTGATCTTTATCCCATTTTCTACAGCTTCTTGCCGATACGCATTGGGCATGCAGGACAGGACTATACCAGATGAGGACATCACCGCATCCAGTGCCTGGTCGGACTCTACAGAAGCCAAACACAGCAGGTGAGAGCTTGCCAGTCCACAGATTGCCAAAAAAGGCTAAATCACTACAGGCAATAGGTGCTACTAAGAGAATCTGGGCTTCCTAGTACAGTGCTGTGGTGCTGAACGGTGCATGTCAATGGCAATCAAAAATTGGTTTAATGTTCTAGAGTGAGATTATCGCCTGCAATGTATGAGTTAGTTACAGTGTGTTCTGTGAATTCCCTGAATTGTATGACTGTAGTATATGCTTTAACACAAGACGTATCTCTAGGTAGCACTTTTCCAGAACGCTGTGTGGTGCAATAGGCAGGGAAGTATGTGGATATTATTAAGAAACACAATGATGCCTAAATCAGAGGTTTCACTTTTCACTGATCCCATTTCATCATCATTGTTATAGCACAAACTCTTCTGCTATGAATAGGACAGGAGTTCTCCCGTCATAGAGCACTGCTCAACATATTTACTAAGAATGGATAAGTAAAAAAATGTGCAGATCCTTTGATCTACCCGAATCATGTCTGGAATATAAAATCTTTTCTGTTAGTCTTTCAAATTCTTAAAAAGGAAAGTTTTATATATAAATATTTTTATTTTTTTTAAACAACTCCCATTTTTTTTTTTTTCCCTCAATATTCTGTTCTCAAAAATATCTCTTATCGGAATGCGTAACGGGTTATAATTTAATAAATACTTAGTAGTTCAGCGTGGAGTAGATCAGGTGGTTTTTATTGTAAATCACATAAATTTTCTTTATGCAGATTATATCAGAGTCAGGTTTGAGGCTCTTGTACTGCACCTTATGTTGGTGATTTTAAGTAATAAATATCAGCCGATTATAAGACTGAACATGAAAGTATACTGGCATGGGAGCGCATGGTTTTAAAGGTAATTAAGAGCAGGTTATGCTTTTAGTATAATCTCCCTTTACGTTCCCCTTCAGATGTCTCCCACATGTAACTTAAAACACTTTGCCATGTGCTCAGTCTTATAGGCACGGTGCGTGAAATGAACTATCAAATTCCACAGCTGACCTTCAACTTGTATAATATTTTTGTAATTTTGTGTACGGGTTCCCGAAAGAACTTTCACGTCAATTTGGGTCACCCCACCCACTCCATGTCCTTGAGACAAGCTGCAATATATATAATTGATAAAGAAAAGTTCACGCTGCTCTTGCCACATTACATGTTGTACGTTAGGCTGGGAGAAGACGAGGTTCAAATTCCTTGATTTAGAGAAATTGGGGGTAAGGTTCCCAAAACACCATGTTTTCTGCCTTCTGTCAATCAGGCTTCAAAAAAAAAAACTACCCAACAGTATGTGAAATTCAAATGCTTCTCATGTGACCTCATTAAAGGGACACTATAGCGTTACGAATACTAATGTGTATTCCTAATGCTACACTGCCCTAGTCGCAGTTTAGGGGACCGGGCCCCGCTGGGAGGGTTAAAAAGGTATGTTTACTTACATTACTTCCTCGCAGCGCCAGTTTCCTCGAGGGAGTTCAACCTCTTTGGCTGAGATCAATAATCTCATCCAATCCAATGATATCCCATAGGAAAGCATTGGGGCACTAATGTGCATGCGCAGCAATACTTCACACTGTACCAATCAGATCTTCTGTCTGAGACCTCCTGATTGCAAAAAGTGCAGCTTTACTCTACCTTTTTGTGGAAACCACCGCTAGTGATTGTCAGAATGACAGCCATTAAATGCAGGTTAACTTGCAATGAAAACACTGACGTTTCAGCAGGCAGGACATGGCACACAGACCACTTCATTGACCACTTCTTTAAGTAATCACAGCACTTTCTTCGAGACTGCGGCAGCAATTAGTCAACTGATTTCACACGAGGAGCATGTGAACTCTTTTTATACTGCTGGGAAGGACTTTCAAATCCCATCTTAGAAAATTCAGAATTTATAAATATCGTCAAAAAAGCAGGAGGAGACCTTGAAAGCCGAGGAGGATATTATTTGTTGTGTAGGGGTTTCTACATTTGTTTAATTCTTATTACTTATGAAGTGTTTTGATATCATACAGCACTCCCTGAGAGTTAATGTGAATAGAAAGATGTTAATACACACATTGCATCAATACAGATAAGTAGGGAGTCAGGGGCCTTGGTCAGAAGAGCTTACATTCTGGAGAGTTGCTCTATGTTAGAGACATTAGGTGAGGGGGTGTTTGGTGGATAATGGGATGATAAAAGGGACGGGAAGGTTGACATCACTGGGACGGGTGTATAAGGGATATAAATGGAGATGTGGTAATTCTCTCTGAATAGAGGCATTCTCACAGAACACTTTTTGAGATCCTTTAATCTTTCCAGACATCACAGATTTGATCTAAATCGGGTCTGTGCTACTTTCTGAATCAAAGACTAAAACGGGAGTTGTGTCCGCCATTCCTGCTTGAAACCTAATGATTGTCATGCACTCCAGCAAGTGCGTGCTCAATCTTCACAGTAACATTTTCACTCTGTTTGGAGGACTGTCGAGAAAAGGGTGTTTATCTAATGCAACTCTGGGAAATGTAGTTGAGAAATAACTGCAGTGCCAATCTTAGCTCCTCTTTGTTCTCGGAGGGCAGTAACTAGCCTTGACATCATTGATATTTTGAAGTCTATCTGCAGCCTGTGCAGAGCTTCCTCACACAGAGCATGCTCCAGTATTGAACGTCTTCTGAGATTATTTAAATTTACCCAGCGTTAGTCATCAGGCCATATTTTTCTCATGAGCCTCATGTAACAGGCGGTAACATGTACCGGGAGATTTAGTGTGTTTATAAACCTGGAAAGTTTGAATGTGTCCTGTCAGCGAGACAGTGAAGTGTGGGATCCTCTTAAGTAGAAACCAGAGAGTTTCTCTGAAAACGCTGAGTAAGAAAGTTTGACTTGTCCCTTCGCGTTGAAGCCATCGTGTCGAGACACGCCAAGGACTGTTTTATTCTCTTGTCTCTGTTTTCACTTTCTCAGGATTTCATGGCAAGACATCATTGCACTCATTTTAAAAACAACCATGGCATCTACAACTATTGAACCGACATTTCTCTTTTTTATCTCTTTGTACACAGATTGGAAAGTCATGATGGCGATGGTGCCTGGTGTCCAGCAGAATCCGTGTATCCCAATAATGACGAGTATTTGCAAGTAGACCTAAGGAAGCTGTATTTTGTAACTCTGGTGGGCACACAGGGTCGAGATGGTGGTGGGCTGGGCAAGGAATTTGCCCGACATTACCAACTGCGCTACAGCCGTGATGGCTATAAGTGGGCTCAATGGAAGGACCGCTGGGGAAATGAAGTAAGTGAGGGGATAAAATGGGGTGGAAGGTTTATGTTGGGTTAATGAAGGAAAGAAGGATTGTGATTGGAGGATGATCTGTGTAACAGGGACAAACTAATACTGATTATCTTCATCCATCAGGTCATAGCAGGTAATGAAAACACACAAGATTTGGTATTGAAGGATTTGGGGCCCCCGCTTATTGCCCGTTACGTTCGTTTCTACCCCATGGCTGACCGTGTGATGAGTGTCTGCCTGCGGGTAGAGCTGTACGGCTGTGTGTGGCAGGGTGAGTCTTTCTCTTTGACCTGTAATGATAGAAGTTCATTCTAGTTTCTTGATATAATCAGGACCTGGCTTTCATGTTGTTGGTCTCTAACTTTTTCTACAAGTTGTATTGTTCATCCTGTGGTCTCTGATCGTCACTAATTCATGTGGTTGTCACTGATTTCACTAAGTGTGTGTATCTGACTTCCTTTCGGATCAGACACACTGACACTAAGTGACACGCTGTGACCCAAAATGCTGCTTGTACTCCGTGATCAGTGTCTGAGTCCATCTCCAGCCTGTTGTCTCCCCCTTTTCTATTTTTCTATTTTCCCCGCCTTTGGTTTCATTAATATTTCTCACTGTCCGTTTCCTTCCCCATAGATGGACTTCGCTTTTACACTTCCCCACCGGGTAACGTGATGCATCTCCCATCAATGCTCATTAGTCTTAATGACTCTACCTATGACGGGCTCACTGTGGGAGGGTAAGCATTCATTTTACACTGTGACACACACATCAGACTCAATGCTAATTCTCACATACTGCCACACCGTGACACGTCCACATGGCATTCAGCGTTTCAAACTGCCACATCGTGACACGGCATCCAGCGTTCCACACAAACTGCCACACGTGACACGTCCACACGGCATTCAGTGTTCCACAAATACTGCCACACCTTGACACGTCCACACGGCATCCAGCGTTCCACAAATACTGCCACACCGTGACATGTCCACACGGTATTCAGTGCTCCTCTCATACTGCCACACCGTGACACATCCACACGGCATCCAGCGTTCCACAAATACTGCCACACCGTGACACGTCCACATGGTATCCAGTGCTCCTCTCATACTGCCACACAGTGACACGTCCACACGGCATCCAGCGTTCCACAAATACTGCCACACCGTGACACGTCCACATGGTATCCAGTGCTCCTCTCATACTGCCACACCGTGACACGTCCACATGGCATCCAGCGCTCCACAAATACTGCCACACCGTGACACGTCCACATTGTATCCAGTGCTCCTCTCATACTGCCACACCGTGACACGTCCACACGGCATCCAGCGTTCCACAAATACTGCCACACCGTGACACGTCCACATGGTATCCAGTGCTCCTCTCATACTGCCACACCGTGACACGTCCACATGGCATCCAGCGTTCCACAAATACTGCCACACCGTGACACGTCCACATGGTATCCAGTGCTCCTCTCATACTGCCACACAGTGACACGTCCACACGGCATCCAGCGTTCCACAAATACTGCCACACCGTGACACGTCCACATGGTATCCAGTGCTCCTCTCATACTGCCACACCGTGACACGTCCACATGGCATCCAGCGTTCCACAAATACTGCCACACCGTGACACGTCCACATTGTATCCAGTGCTCCTCTCATACTGCCACACCGTGACACATCCACACGGCATCCAGCGTTCCACAAATACTGCCACACCGTGACACGTCCACATGGTATCCAGTGCTCCTCTCATACTGCCACACCGTGACACGTCCACATGGCATCCAGCGTTCCACAAATACTGCCACACCGTGACACGTCCACATGGTATCCAGTGCTCCTCTCATACTGCCACACAGTGACACGTCCACATGGCATCCAGTGTTCCACAAATACTGCCACACCGTGACACGTCCACATTGTATCCAGTGCTCCTCTCATACTGCCACACCGTGACACGTCCATATGGCATCCAGCGCTCCAAAAATACTGCCACACCGTGACACGTCCATACGGCATCCAGGGCTCATCCTCTCATACTGCCACACTGTGACACGTCCACACGGCATCCAGCGTTCCACAAATACTGCCACACCGTGACACGTCCACAGGATATCTTATACTGCTACACCATAACACGTCCACAAGGCATACAGTACACCACACATACTGCCACACCATGTCATGTCCACACGGCATACAGTACTCCACACATACTGTTCCACACGTGATGTCACACTATTCATACATTCTTTCCCCCCCCCCCCAGGCTGCAGTATGGAGGCCTGGGTCAGCTGACAGATGGCGTTGTGGGGGCTGATGACTTCACCCAGCATAAAGAGCAGGGAGTCTGGCCGGGGTATGACTATGTCGGCTGGAATAAAGACAGCTTCCAATCCGATTTTCTGGAAATGGAGTTTGAGTTTGACGCACTGAGAACATTTACCTATATGAGGGTGAGACCTGTCTGTCTGTATCAATAATGTACATCCTGCAGCCTTGCACACATGTTGGTGGACTACAACGTAACCTGATATGGTGAGAGTTGTAGTCCAGTAATACTGCAACAGGATGCATTGTATCAATAATATAACCCTTGTCTTGGTTCTACCTTATATATAATAATAATATAACCCCCATCCTGGTTCTGCCTGACCTATAATATAATCCTCATCCTGGTTCTGCCTGACCTATAATATTAATAATATAACCCTCATCCTGGTTCTGCCTGATGTATAATATTAATAAGACAACCCCCATCCTGGTTCTGCCTGACCTATAATATAATCTTCATCCTGGTTCTGCCTGACCTATAATATTAATAATATAACCCTCATCCTGGTTCTACCTGATAAAGAATATCAATATTATAACCCCCATCCTGGTTCTACCTGATATATAATATAACCCTCGTCTTGGTTCTCAATAATAATAATAATAATAATATTAATAATAATTATTATTATTAAACACATTTTTAATGGAATGTATTTATCATTGTAATCTGATATATTGACATTTTATGATAACTTTTTGATGTGGGATTTTATTGGGGTTGTTCACAAAAGTGAGAATTATGTAGAATTTAATAGTTTAGGCCAGAATTGACAAATTGTAAATATTCACTAATGCCGTTATTATTCCTGCTTGACTACTTTGATGTAAAATTTCCCAGTTAACTCTGCACATGTCTTAGTTTAGTGAATAAACTCCATTAAGGTAAATGTGACATGTTTCTAATCTCAGTGATGATCCTCCTAGGTACACTGCAACAACATGCGTTCCCAGCGGGTGCAGATATTCCGTCAGGTGACATGCTACTTCAAACGCTCCCTGCACACGCCGTGGGACGCGCAGCCGGTCAATGTGTCCCTGGCACTGGATATCCGGGACCCCAGCGCACGTTCCGTCACCATCCCCCTGAATGGCAGAGCCGCTCGCATCCTGCGCTGTCACTACTTCTTCTCCAGTCAATGGCTGCTGTTCAGCGAGATCTCCTTCCTCTCCGGTCAGCACTGACTCTCTCTCTTGCTCTTTGTAATCCACGTTCCTGTTTTATCAGACCGCACTCTCCTCTTGTACATTATTGTTATCTGTGTAGCACCTACCACATCTATTAAAATAAAAGATGGCGATTTATACCAATAGGCCCCATCACAGAGAGCTCACTCCCATCAAACACAGTATCCTACCACACACAGTCCAGTAATACACACACAAACACCACCTCATTGGTTTGTTACCATCACACACAAACACCAACACATTACATACATGCAATCCATAGTACAAACAGCTCACTCTCAGTACTAACTCCCATTAAACCCAGGTGGCCCCAAAAACACATACAGATAGTCTACTCTCATTACCCACTAACAGGTCACATCTCTCATATTCATTTCTCATCAGTCCATCCTCTCCTTGTCCCTTTTCTATCAGCCTGGCTGAGAAGTTGTAAATTAGAGACGTGATGGTGGGATACGACACAGAGTTCTAGTAATGGGAAGATTTAGGTGTCCTATTATGTATACTATTATGTGTATTTGACTGATATTTGCTAAGCCAATCTGGGGGTAAATAATACTTTAGTTGTTCGTCTTGTTCACAGAAATTATGGACTCTTCAGAACCTGAGGAACCCAGTCCACTGCCTCCACCAAAAGAGGCACCTCCTATACCAACGGTAACGAGCCAACCTCAGGGTACCAGCCAGCGAGTGACTACTGCTGCAATGAGCACCGAAAACTTAAATGGACAAGGTAAGAAGTGAGAGTTTAAGACCACCTCTGTCCATGGTTTTTATTGGGAACCAACTTCTGTCCAGCCTCCTTCCTCAGTCTTATCTAATCCCTTTGCCCTTCTCTCTCTGTAGCAAAATTCTTCATCTTATTCCTGGCGCCCACACAACCACATCTTGCCATTTCTTTTGCCTTTCTCCTCCCCCAGAACATTTTTACGTTTTACCCGTTCTCTGTCTTTCACTCTAACCCTTTTTTTTTTTTTTTTTCAGTCCTCGAGGCAGGCAGTGACATCAGAATGAACCAACCAGTTGCCAAGGATGACAGCGGAGACACTTTTATTTTAATAGGATGCCTATGTATCATTATTTTGCTTCTTGTGGTCGTCATCATCCTCATCCTTTGGCGCCAACGCTGGAAGAAATTGCTGGGGAAGGTGATTAGGGGAAGTGGAGATAAACTTTGTCATGAGTGCAGTTTAACTCTTGCAAGCTCACATTTACCCCTCTTAATCCCCAGGCTCAGCGCCACCACTCTGACAGTGACCTCACCGCTCGACTCTCCCTCCCATCTGATACCGTTGTCATCAACAACACCCAGAATCCTCTGCCTCCTCGGCATGGAAACCGATATGAGCGTATTTTGACTTCTGAGGGAGAATACCAAGAACCAAGTCATCATCCCAGAGCCAAAATAGCCACCCTCCCTCCTACCCCTGAGAGTGCAGGTAACAGGATAGCATTCTATTCGCGGGCTCCATGTAAATTGTTTTAATGACAGATTTGTATGTGCATTAATATATGTAACATGCTACGTGTGCCGGTATGTAGGTGTGTAGCGTATGTGAGCATGTATACAAGGTGTATGTGCATGTTAAGATGTCTGCTCTTAGCATGTGTAGGCCACGTATTATTTGCATGACTATATTCTAATAATTGTTTATTTAATGTGACTAAGGAGGGATTGGTGATATCTAATGCAATATGGGAATCTTGCAAACCTCAATCTTAGTTCTAACGACTAATGTGGGTGTCGTAGTGTCTTGTGATGGTATTTAGTGTATATTACACCTTTTATGGAGAAACTTTAATGACAAAATAAAATGTCCATATATAGGAACGTTTATTGTTCTAGTAAAGGGTTACTCCAACTACAATGACCACTTCAATGATTCGAAGTGGTCATGGTGGTACGAGTCAATATGTGCAGTGTTTCAGCCAGAGATATTTTTAATTGTGTGCTTGGGGCTTGTTATACACCCAGTGCACATGATATTGACAGCCTGGAACTCTGTCCCCGGGTTGCCAATGTCAATTGTTTATATTTTTTCAGCCATTAGCACACAAGCAAGGGGAAGATTGCTTCACCCTCCCTCCCTTCACGCTGTGTGCTCTCTCCACCTCCCTCCATTTCCCTCAGTGTTTTAAAAAAACAAAAACAAAAAACCTCCATCCCTCCTGTCCTCCCCTCCCCTCGCCGTCCCGGAGCGTACATGCACTCTGAGCCTGCTAAACGGACCAATCTTTGAGAAGCCCATGATTGGACCGCGCAAGGCCCCTGTGACACTGACAGGGGTGCAGAAGTCAGCTCCGGGGGCTTTGCCTGGTGCTGGATTCCAGGTAAGTTAAAGTCTCATATTTACAGGTTATACTGCAAACAGAGGTGGCCAATAGAGGTCTCCTTAGTGCCCAATAGGGCACATTACACAAGAAAGGATCCCACCTCAAAAGGATGGAGTAACCCTGTAAGCAACTGTCAAGGTTGGGTTTACCAGTCAGTTTTCAATAGATTAAGGAGACGTAGGGCTGTTTGTACTGTCTATAAATCCAGACATAGAGATATATATATATATATATGAAAACATTTGTAAAAAGAACCTCACTCAATACTTTCTCCCCAGTCTCTGATTCTCCTGATGCCCATGTCTTCATCCAGGAAATGGCTGGGCTATACCAGCCAGTCCACATACTCCACATTCACTGAGTGAGCGTGCTAATTACTAGTCGGACTGAATAACGCTGGATAATTCTAGCTTCCTGATAATGAGTAGGAATATCATACTTACTGAAATTTATAGCTGCTCCCATTTACTTTCACTTTTATGGCAACATTTTACACCCCAGCCATTTATTTCAATAATATCCTTATAATGTTATAGGAAGGGATAAAAACTGCTTAAGAAGTAATAGGTGTGTGTATGTATATGACATGTCCATGTGTTTAAATCTGTTTGTATTAGAGTCCATGGGTGTGCATGTGTTTTCCTGTGTTTATGTAGGTGTACAGCGTGTGTGCATGTATATAAAGTGTACACTCTATACTCTGCATGTGTTTCTCCAGCTTTGCTGCTAAACAATCCAGCCTATGCACTCCTCCTCTCCACCTACAACCAGCCAATCACAGAGCCCAGTGGCGTGCAAGCTAAGCCACTCAACAGCCAGGGTAAGGGGCGGCCATTTTGGAGCAGGCCATCTCTAGGCTGTATCTCTGTTACCTCCATTTTTAACTCTCTCTCTCTTCCTTTCTCTGGAATCTCTAAGACCAGGAAGGTCCAGACTTCTCACCTCTGTCTCATACTGTCGTTATATCATCATAATAAAAATAGACACGTTACTTTATGCATCACTGATGTCCAGATAGTTCATTTGGTTAGTGCACCACCTGTATTGTGTATTCAACCTTCAGATTTGCACGTTTCGTTTCTGGTGGGATCAGCTTGACCTCTCATAGTTCTGAGGATAATAACACGTACCCAAGAGTATATCTCAAACGTAGAGAAATGTAAACCCATCCTGGTTGACATTATGAATAACTGGAGGGGGGGCAAACAGTGGGAACAAATTGTCACTGAGCTCGTTTTATATTTCAGACTGAATCGCCATGATACTACTGTGCATTATTTGGTTTCCTATCCAAAATGTTTGAGAAACGCTCTTTAATAGACATTTCTTCTACCATTGTAACTGGACTGTGCTGAGTGGTGGCTAAATACATAACCCAGACTTACAATTTTTTTGTCTTACTTTACTTGCTTCTACTGTCTCCTGTCCTATTTCTTTCTTTCCCCGCCACCTGTTTACCAAATACTGCTTTCCCTCCCTAGATGGGGGCTACAGGGAGCTGGAGTCCCCCAAACTTCCAGTGCTGTGCCCCGCCAGTGTCCCGCACTACGCCGAAGCAGACATTGTTACTCTTCAAGGGGTAACAGGGAGTAACACGTACGCAGTACCAGCACTGACTGCTGACTCTCTAGCCTCCAAAGAGTTGCCTCTCAGCAAGTTTCCCCGGGGACATCTCCTCTTTAAAGAAAAGTTGGGAGAGGGACAGTTTGGCGAGGTAATGTCTGTTTGCTGCTGTTTTTGTCGATGTTGACCTTTTTGGATCCCCCGTGATTGTTACCCAAACATCATGCCTCTTACATTCTAGGTACACCTCTGTGAGGTAATGAACCCGCACGAACTCCCTACTCTTCAGTTCCCTTTCAACATGCGCAAAGGCCGGAGCCTCCTTGTGGCTGTCAAGTTACTACGGTCTGACGCCAATAAAAATGCCAGGTAAAGGTTTTCATGTTGCCACTGACCCTTTGTTCCTTGACTTACGTCCCTCCGTTTTTGTTGCTCACATCCTCTATTTTTATTTTATATTTTTTTTTTATCTTCTCCAATCTCTCTCCACATCTGCACTGACATCCAGGAATGACTTCCTGAAGGAGCTAAAGATCCTGTCCCGTCTGAGTGACCCTCATATTATACGCCTTCTGGGGGCATGCTTGGACGAGGATCCTCTGTGTATGATCACCGAGTACATGGAGAATGGGGATCTCAATCAGTTTCTGAGCGCACACCAGCTGGGTGAAGAGGATGAGAGTCCCGAAGGACGAGCAGGTCCACCCTGCATTAGGTCAGAAGATTTTTTTCTTACTTTCCCTCCCCTTCTCTTCCAATTTTACCTGTCTTTACTACTCTCACAGATCATATTATTCATTTCCATTCAGTTTACCTTTCTACTCCCTCTTCTGATTATCTTTCTATCTATCTACATCCATTTGTATCAGTGATTTTCTGAAAAGCTTGCTTTTCCTGTACTTATCTGATACAGTGAAAATTGTGCCAGTGCAAATATATTTAAAATCTGATATCTGACATTTTCCCTATTTCCTCGAATTTCCAAGAGTTGGATTCGCAGCTGACTTGGTAATATTGTTATTTCCCATTCTGTAGTTACCCGAGCCTTCTCCAGGTGGCGTTGCAGATCTGCTCTGGAATGAAATACCTCTCATCTCTTAATTTTGTGCATCGTGACCTGGCCTCCCGGAATTGTCTGGTGGGAGAGAACCTTACAATCAAAATCGCTGATTTTGGGATGAGTCGCAATTTGTATGCTGGAGATTACTATCGCATACAGGGCCGGGCTGTACTGCCAATCAGGTGGATGGCATGGGAATGTATACTTATGGTGAGTGGGTTGGTTGGTTGCAGAATAAGTTAGCTTGGTCCCATCCTCGGGGACTGTGACTAGTACAGAACTCCGTAGCAGTATGATAAGGTCTAAAATAGACTCTAACACATTCTGTTCCCACATCTTTACTGGCGTCCAGTGATCTTCAGAATCCTAGATGACTTTGCTGTATTGACCTGCGCACAGTTTAGGACCCCACCAGTGGTCGTCTGTTTGATATTATCCCTCTGGTTTCCTTTATTGCCTGTTACTCCTCTCTCTTGATCACCTCCTTAATGTAGTGTTAGCAAGGTTGAAGAAAGGATATGATGTTACTCTGTCTTACTCTGGACTTTTGGAAATAATGAATGGCGCTAACATAATTAAATACTTCTGTCCCATGCAGGGAAAGTTCACCACAGCCAGTGATGTCTGGGCATTTGGCATCACCTTGTGGGAGATTTTAATGCTGTGCAAGGAGCAGCCATATGGAGAGTTGAGTGATGAAGATGTGATCGAGAACGCCGGGGAAGTCTTCAGAGACAGCAAGAAACAGGTAAGACTGTGACAATCCTGGTGAAGGGGAGCTCTCCATTAAATTTGATGTGCTTACTATGTTGCATAATTGATTTGAAAGAAGACAAATATTTTACCTTTAGCAGCTGCCTCAATATGATATACACAGCCTAATTTGCCACGCGTAAGATGTTGCCTAGGTTACATGGGGTGGTGCTGCGTGGCGTCAATATGTGCCAGTTCCTACATAGCCGTGTGGCCTGCAAGCCTGCCGTGACTATGTATCATTATTACAGATATAATGTGTCTCTGCACTTTCTCCCTCCTTACAGATTTACCTATCTTGCCCCGTGATATGTCCTACGACCCTTTACGAGCTGATGTTGCAATGCTGGGCCCGAGATTGCCGGGAGAGACCTTCGTTTCAGGACATCTACGCCTCCTTGTCCTCACACGCAGTCTGCTCCACTCCGCTGAGACTGAAGGAATAGTCCAAGCTTGACCTTCATGATAGGACCTGCAACATTTGACACTCCTCCTTTCCTGCCCACCCATGGAAGTGGGAATTGCGGGAACATCTCTTAATCCTGTACATTATATTCCTATAAACTGGAAATAACCGTTGTGTAGGTCAGGCTATACGATGCTTACACACCAGACTTTTCACCAGAATTCTGCTCCTGTTCAAGCTTATACAAATACCATGGCACCGCTCACATCCCCAGTCTCAAACACTGGATGTCCAGACATTATCCTAGTACTGTGCCTCATGTCTTCATATTAGCTCCTCTTGATTTTTCTCTATATTCTGTTCACTGACCCATGAACAAATTTCAAATGATCTTCTTAATAGACTCTTTATCATACACTAAAGCATCCACCGTTCTTTGTGATAGAATACAGCAATGCAGAATGTTCTCCCTTTGCAAACAGCACCTGCTGAATTCCCCTTCTGTGTCCTATAACATTCCACTATTAATTTATTCAGATTCCTTTCATTACCCCTGTATACCAGATTTCTTATCACTGCCACACGATGAAAGGTTATAAGATGGAGTCTTGGTTCCCCAAACTCTCCTGTTTAGCATTTTGTCTGCCGTAGGAGCGTGGACAAGCTGATTACTTTTAATCCAGGGGTGAAGTCCAAACAGTTTTGGACTATTATTATAGTTGCCCAAACACACTCTCCACAACGATATTCTTCAGTAGTTCGATCTCTCGGCTAAAGCACACTAGCAGCCATTCAACTGCATCATTTCTGAACCTTATAGATCTGGTCGCATGATATTTGCTGCCTTGAGACCAGATAGCTAATTATCGGAGTTTCCTCCCATGGCCAGATCTCTAATAACTAAACAAAAAAATTATAAAACCTGATAAGAGCAGTTTGAGTCTTCCCTGTTCTTTACCATCTACTCCCTATAGAGTTAACCAACGAACCCACGCGTTTAGAGACAGAACTTTCTATATACACATTTAGCACCTTAAAAAAAAATTCATTTGTGTGATTTCACCCCTGCACTTTACTGATAGACCCCTGAACTCATCCATGACCCTACCCACACATGCCATATGATATCACAAGGATGAGAGGAGGATCTTTATTCTCATCTTCTTCATGATCACAGCCATCCAATTCACAAACACTGGAGTCATCGTTTTGCATCTTCTCTCCGCAATAATGTGAAAAGGGAAGCTTTCCTTCTCAAAATCCAGTGTAATATTAACTATGAGCTTAGGTATAAACACTGGCTGAGCACCTTTAGCCCAAACACTCCTTTACTACAAAATACCTCTCCTTGATGTGCCTTTGACATCCCATGCCGGCCGATCTAGTGAGTTACTGTCTTTACGCTGACTTCTATCAGCGTTTTGAGTTTTTGTTGACTTAACGGAGGACTCAGCGTGGAAATTAAGAGCCATGATCAAGAAACCAGAGAGGCCTTTCTCACAAGATGTCCAATAGTTTTGAGGTTGTATGCGACTGTTGGGCAACAAGGTTCTGTGGTAGCATTGGCTAACTTTTAGCCCCTGGGTCATTGTGGACTACATCACCCAGGAAGCTCAGCCATATAATTTATATCCTTATCCAGCAGGTTTGTGAGATGGCCCTCCATTACTGTTCTCAAGTTGGGATGTAAAAGATATGTTTCACTTAAAACACTGGACGTTTGTTTTAACTCTCTCTCCTTCCAAAACATGTGTTGATAAACTGCTGTCTTATTTTAATTGTTTGTTTTTAGCTATAATATAATCCACACAACTTGCAGTTAACCAGGTAAAGCCAACACGCTTACCCCGTGCAGTGTAAGCACATGGTAGACACACAAACATACAAGCACTCCATTAACATACTTGGTGTTGAAGGGTTAAGCAACACAGGTTTGGCTGTTTTGTTTAACACATTGACAGTCAGGAAAAGTTAAACATTGGTGATGAAATCTCCCACGAGGTGGCACAATTTTTGCAGGAAATATTAGCTTAAATGGAAGTCGCTCTGTAGGTGTAAAGGACGACCGTGTCATAAGTAAATGTTTTCTTTAATGGTACAAAATCTTGGTGGCTTGGTTTCAAAGTTTAGAGGCCTACAGCTACATACAAAAAAAATTTATACAAAAGAAGACGCACTCAACAAAACTACAACACAAGATCTTTTATTTTGATGAACTTGCTACCTAATGCTGTGAATCAGAAGACCCTTGCTAAATGAGAAGACCTAACGATGAAATTGACTGAAAGTATAAAGAAAGATGGATAAACCGAAATGTATGTACCCTCTAAAATAGTGGTGAGATAGCATTGTGGATCAGGCTCCAGCTGAAGTATCTCACAGTCGCAGGTTCAATTCCTAGCAAGATGAACTTTAATATTTCCGAAGTGTCAATAATTTGCGTAACAATAATATCAAGATCCCTTCTCCGTTATATCTGGACTGGGCATCACATCTGTTCTGCTCCTGTACAGTTCTTGATGGTAATGGTTAAATTAATCAATGATTTGTGGTTGTCTTTGCTTTTCCCTCCGCATCATTGGTGGTTGAAAAGACATTTTATTTTATGATAGCTGTATATGTCCTAGTGACCTAAAACATTTTAATTTCTGAAGAAAAATCCGGTATGATTAATCGACTGGAGAATTATTTTAGTACCTCCGTTATCTTGTAAAAGGTTTTTGTGGGACGTTCATTGAAATATTTGATGATTTATTTACTTCTCAATATGAGAAACCTCTTAAACGTTATCTAGAGATCAGAAGTACTTGAATAAAAAAGAAAATATACAAATTTAGAGATTCCTTTCAGTTTTACGTGCGTGAGAAATTATGGTGTGAATAATACATTTTATTGGAAATCCAGAAAACTATGAATTGGACTGAAAATAAGTGCATTTCTTTGTGTCAAGTTTAACATTGTAGAATTGAGGACAGTAGAAAGAGCGTAGTATGAATGTGAATGAAGAACATTTAAAAAAAAAAAAACTGAACTTTTGACAAACTAAACCCGATGGATAGAAATATTATATATTTACAAGTATCTCTGCTCGCAAATCACAAAGTGTCCAAAAAATGTCCTCTATAAGGTATTTACAATATGAATTTTAGTGGACGTGTGATTAAGATGACTGTTAAAATGATTTTTACTTTTTTAATCTGGACATTTGGTTCACGTATTACGAATTGTCACAGGCGAATACAGAACTGAAAGAGTCTTTTATGTCCCTTTGCTAACCTTACAGGCTACAGCGTGATGTGTATATATAGTTCTGCTAATTTAAAGCAATAAATGAGATTGTTACGATTTTTATATGATGTTAATATATAAAGATTTGCTCAGTATTTCACTAATTTACAGAAATAAAGATGCTTTTTTGTAGATTATTCTAGAAATCCTGGTGTTAGTGGTTTTATTTTGTGTGAATATTAGAATTCAAACTATTCACTGAGTAATCTCTTGTCATGTCTAATTCAATAACCTATCTAATTTAATTATATTGTACTGTAGAAGGGACCTTTTAGAAGACGCTCAGCAAGTTAACCATGTTTTAAAATTACTTTTATAACAAAAATAGTCCTGATGTGACTAGAGCAGGATCATTTTTCCAAATCACTTCGCAGTTACCTAAATTTTTCTATTAGAATTTCCGTTCTGTACAATTTGGAATTTTTTCAGTAACCAAGTTTCTAAATGCAATGTAGTCATACTGAGAATTCAAGAGGATTTAAAATTTTAGGACAAAGTAGACGAGTTTGAAGCAGCGCGGATGAAGAGAATGTTTCAAATTCAGCTATTTTGACCTTAGCTCTGAAATCCACTTTGAACCCTACAAATGTTCGTCTAAATTGAATTTATTTCTGTTAATTGAATCAAAGAGTTCTGGACATTCTGAAATGAGCAGCTGGGGCAAACATGCTTCTAATCAGCTTAAATATATGTGTTATGTAGTTTTTATCATTCTTATTTCCCTGTATATACCATACACCCTACATTGTAGCTATAGTGACTCCTGTTCATTAAATTATCTGATCCAATGCATCATATTAAATTCACTAGTGAATGGCAGACCCCTAACAGCTAATTAAAAACACATTTTACCATTTGGCAAATACTTGGCAAGCTGAAGAAGTCAGAACGCTCGACATTTTTTAAGATGGCCAAAGCATCTGGTCCTTGTGGCATATCTTGCGAGCTTAGCCCAGTAATTGCTAGATCTTTCTTTTTAATCTACACAGTGTTCATTTCATATAACCTTGAGTCAGAGAATTACATAAAGGTCGAAGTGGTGTTATCAATTAAAAATGTATCAAAAGGGAAAATGAGTCTATAGTAGTGGTGACTTTATTCTGTCAAACCAAATGCGTGTGACCTACATTACCCATCATGCTGGGCAAGCCTTGGACACGTTACGGGTGAGAAGACTAGGTCAGTACTAGTCTAGGACATGACAGCAGGTAAGAACTTGTTTGCAGTGATCAGATAGTCGTGCAATTTAATTTCGCTAAATCTAAAATAAAAACGTTTATCTAAATCTTAAAATGTTCACATTGGCTGAGGCATTTATAATTCACTAAACCTCAAACTGCAGTAAATTGTAAAAATATTGCAACATTTAGGGGAAAAAACAAACTTGTGACGAAACCCGTTTTGCCGAATCACTGGAGACAATTCCGTTCGTATGATATTCATATGTTTGGCCCTTTCGTGCTTTTATTAAAATAACCGAACAAACTCCCGAACCATCCGACCACCTCCAATGGTCGTGTACAGCTCATTAACCACCTAGCCTTTTTGGGTAACCACAAGTATTTGTCGAAAGGCTGGGTGGTCACCCTACCTTTCGGGACTTTCCGAACATACGAACTAGGCCGACCCCAGGTAGCTGAAGTTATGGAACTCTTTTCGGATTCATTTGCACGAATAGCGGTGAACTAAAACTTTAACTCGACGAGCATTTGAACTTGGTTCGTGGGATCTGAGCGCTTTTCAACTATATTA